TGCATGTGCCCGCTGCGCCGGCGGGGAGGCTTGTAATTGTATAGCCACCTCGATGGCTGCCCGACGTCGCCTCCGAGCTGGTGCAGCGCGCACTTGCACCGCGGCGAGAGCTTCTCGAGGCTCGCGACGAGGCAGGCCATCAGACCCTCAGACCCGACCTCCCGCGGGCAGAGCGCGGCAGACTCCGCGCGGCACGGGTGCGAAGAGCCCTCCTCTGACTCCTCGGCAACGTCGCGCGCGGCGGCGGCGTGCGGCATCATGGCGTCCGGGGCGAGGAAGATGTTCATCGCCTGCGCCGCCATCGACTCGAACAGTGCCCCCTCCTCGAAGGGGGAGAAGCGCCCCCCCTCGCGGTCAAGCGGGGAGGCGGCCGGCTCGGCGTAGCTGCCGTACGAGTAGTCGAAGTAGCTCGAGTAGTCAAAGTACGAGCCGTCGCTCTCGCCGCCGAAGACGCCGTTGAGCAGGCCGGCCGCGCTGAAAAGCGAGGAGTACTCCTTCTTGCTCAAAAGCCAGCGCGCCGCGTCGTCCTCACTCTCCTCGGTCTCGACGGTGAGGGAGAAGGAGGAGGACGGGCGCGCGTCCGCCCCAAGTGAGCGCTCGCACTCCTCCGAGAGCGCCACGTTCGACTCCCTCACGGCGGCGCGGAAGCACTCGAAGCCGTCACAGCCGACCGCCCTCATTGCCGGCGCGCAAGGGTGCTCGAGCGCGCGGCTCGCGCCCATCTGCAGGTCGAGCTGGTCGAGCATTGATTTGATGGCATCGAGGGGGGTGGCGATGCCGGGCGAGATCTCCACTTGCGCGGCGAGCAGGGGCCCGAGGATCATTTTTGGACCGGCGGTCAGTTCTTAGGCCGGGGGAGGATGGACGAGACCGCCGTGACCGGCAATTGTCTGAGTTTCTTTTCCCTTAAATTTTTCCCTAAAAAGAAAAGGGAAAAGTTAGCGAAACCTCATCTCCGCGGGGAGAAGAGGCAGTGAAGGGCCACAGAGCCTGACAGAGCCGACGCAATGCGCCTCACGCCTCCGCCGAGCACCTTCGCCGGGGCTGCCGCTCGCTCCCTCTCGGCCGCCGCGCTCGCCGCCCTGCTGTCTGTGAGCTCAATAACGCCGTCCGTGCCGCCCGCCTTTGGGCCGGCGGCCGCGCAGGCGAAGGAGCTCGCGTCGGGCTCCGGCTCGCGCGTCAACAAGGACCCGATCTCGCTGCTGCGCCTGGCGCTTCCCAGAGTAAGCAAGGAGGCGCGCGAGCTGCAGGCCGGGCTGGAGGAGTGCCAGGACAACCTCGCCCGGCTCAACGGCCAGGTCGCATCGTCAGCGCTGCAAAAGGCAAAGGTGGCAGCCGGCAAGAGCGGTGCGATGCTCAAGTCGGTGCCGCCCGCCAAGGCGGCGGAGGCGCAGGCGGCGCTCGACACCATCAACGCCGCGATGGACGAGGTCGGCGCCAAGATCGCCGCCAGCAGGCAGGGCGAGGCGCTCGCGGCGACCGAGCGGGCGCTCGGCGCGGTGACGCAGCTGCAGGAGGCGATGGCGTCGGGGTACGCGCAGCCGAGCCCGCCCAAGGAGTTTGCGTCGCTGCCCTACCTCAAGGGCCGCGCCACCGTCGACCTCGTCCTCCAGCCGGGCAAGCGGCGCCGCCCCGCGCGGCGCCGCCCGTCCTTCCGTGATGTGTGTGATGTGTGAGATGATGCGGAGTATAGGCAAGGAGCACGGACAGTTTGACGTCGAGGGGAAGCTGTACAAGCAGCTCGAGGTCAAGATGGTGGTGGACGGGTACACCTCCCCGATCACGGCGGGCAACTTCGTCGACCTCGTGCGGCGCGGCTTCTACAACGGGATGCACATCCAGCGCTCGGACGGCTTTGTCGTGCAGACGGGCGAGCCACATAGCCGAGATCATCGCCGAGGTCATGGCCGATATCATAGCCGCGATATGGAAACTGTGAAAGAGATCATAGCAGAGATCATCGCGGTTATATAGCAAAGGTGAACGAGATCGTAGCAGAGACTAGCCAAGATCATAGGATGTGAGCAGAGAGATGGCAGAGATCATAGCAGAGAGTTATATAGAAAAGGTGAACGAGATCGTAGCAGAGACTAGCCAAGATCATAGGATGTGCATAGCAGAGAGATGGCAGAGATGGCAGAGAGATAGCACGATAGCTGCGCGTCGACGGCTGAGGCGACGCCGAATTTGCGCGCTCGACGCGTCACATCCACCCACGCGTCCACGACACATCCACCCACACGTCCACCCACACGTCCACGACACGTCCACCCACACGTCCACCCACACGTCCAAACGACACATCCACCCACACGTCCAAACGACACGTCCACCCACACGTCCACCCACACGTCCACCCACACGTCCACCCACACGTCCAACGACCCACGGCACGTCCGCGACATGCCCGCAGGCGACCCGTCGAACGAGCTCGAGGGGTCGGGGGCGGACGCGAAGAAGAACGGGTATGTCGAGGGCGGCAAGGTGCGCAAGATCCCGCTCGAGGTGATGGTGCGCGGCGACAAGGACCCGATCTACTCGGCCACGTTTGACGACGACGGGCGGGGAGGCTACGCGGCGGCGATGCCCTTCAACTCGTACGGCGCCCTCGGGATGGCGCGCGACATGCGCACTGCCGGTCCCACGTGCACACTGGCGCTCTCTCGCTGCCGAGGGGCGCTCGCTCGTTCTCGTGGGACGCTGAGATGTGCCTGGGCCCGCCGCCTCGCCGCTGTGTGCGGAGCCGCCGCCCCTCTGCCTCCCCTCAGGCGCGGGAAGAGTACGACCCCGACTCGGCGTCGTCGCAGTGGTTCTGGCTCCTCTTCGACTCCGACCTCACCCCCGCCGGCAAGAACCTGCTCGACGGCCGCTACGCCTGCTTCGGCTACACGGTCGACGGCGCGCGGCTCCTGTCAGACGTCAAGGAGGGCGACATCATCGCGTCGGCGAAGGTGAGCTCGGGCGAGAGCAACCTCGTGCTCCCCACCGCGCCCGCGCTGGCGGTCGCCGCCGAGTAGTAGCGCGCACGCCTCTGGACGGGCGCGGGAGGGGAGAGGGGCACGCGTCGCGCATTGCGCTGCGCCGTGCCGTCGGAGGCTGCATGTCTACCGTGTTGCGTTAGGGCATCGCTGGCGCACCACACCCACACTCACGCGCGACCACTGCGGAGGTGCGCCCGTCGGGCGTGTGCCTCTCAGCTCTCTAGCTCTCTCTTTCCCGCTGCAATCTCTTGCGCGAGCTCTTAGCGTGGGTCGCGTTTGTCGAGGGGGTCAGCGAGGGTCTCGCCATGTGGATGCCATGGCGCGCGCTGTGTCGTGTGTGTTAAGCCTTCTATTTCCTGTAGAGAGCGAGAGTCATGATGTTGATGATATGCATACACGCGACATGGCTAGTTCCAATTCACTATTCAGTATTCACTCTGACAGCTGAGACGTGAGAGCTTGACGGATGACGCACGCTAATAGAGTATGGTAGGGGGAAATACTGAAAAATGGGACCCCCCGGACGGACCTTGCTTTCATGCCGAGCGTGAAGAGCTGAGTCTCAGCTTTCAGACCCTGCAAAAATCATTGAAAAATATTAAGATGGTCCAGAATGGTGACCGAAAGACTCCGGCGCCGCAGCGCTCCCGCTTGCTTTCCTCGCAAATGCGACAAGTGAGGCTGCTGAAAGGGAAAAGAATGATGGTGTCGAAAGAAAAACCGCAGAGCAAGACCGCAAATGCTGCCGCTCCTGGTGAGCGCCAGCCCGCGCCGCGTGCAGGGCGTGTCCGGGGCGCCCTCCCCCCGAGTTCCCCCGCAAAATCCGGCCCGCGGTCGCGCGCGCGCTCCCGTCTCGCTGCTTTGGAGGAGTCTGCAGCCCCGGGCGCGCCCGCACGGCGATTGCCGCCTCCACTCCAACCTCATCCACTCTCACTCTGACATTCTCTCCAGAGTCCTCGCGTCGAGCCCGTGGCGCCGGAGCGCGAGCCCCAAGCTCGGGACACAGCGGGACATTGACGATCTGCGATGCTCTGTGCGTGCAGGTGATCACGATGAGCACGGCGCCGGCGGTGGCACCCTTCCTGGTGCTCCAGGCGCGCTGCGCCCGCGCGTTTGCGACGCCCGTGTGTGCCCCTGCGCGCGCCCCGCTCGCCGCGCCGCCGCCGGGCCCGTGGGGGTCTCAGGTTTGCGCGTGTGTGCCGCAGATGTCACGACCGAGCAGCTGCAGCAGATCCTCCAGAGCGTGCAGGCCGAGCTTGAGCGGCGCGCGGCGCTGCAGCGCGGGGCGCCCGAATCGAAGCGGTGCGTGCCCGCCCTCGCCGTGGCCGCGCTCGCCCCGCCTTGGCGAGCTCTTGCCCCTCGCGCGCGCCGCAGGAACTCGATCTTGTGCGCCTCGGGCAAGGCGTTGCCCAGCGAGGCGGAGGTGCACGCATGGGCGCTGCTCGTGCTGCTACATGGCCGCGGCGCGGACGGCTCGTGGGTCGCCGTCCCGACGCTCGTCGACCAGTGGATGAACGTCGTGCTGCTGCAGTCGAGTCGCTACAAGCAGGCGCCCGCCCTGCTCTCCCACCGCCCCCCGAGCCGCCGCCGCGGCTGCTACACCTCGGCTATATCTCGGCTATATCTCGGCTATATCTCGGCTCTATCTCGGCCTTGCTGCCTGAGCCGTGTGTGCGTGTTGTGCGCAGTTGCGCGAGAAGATGACCAACAACTTCATCGAGGGCATCTACTTCTTTGACATGTACCGCTCAGCGGCCTGCCTCAAGACGCCCGGCGCGGTCACCAAGGCGCTCAAGGCGCTGTCGAGCGAGGTGAAGAAGGTGGAGCTGCTCAAGGAGCAGATCCGCATCCGCGTCATCGGCCTCGGCTTCTCCGACCTGCACACGCCGTGGAGCGAGGGCGGCAAGGCGCACGGCTCGGCGCACCTGCTCGCGCGCCTCAAGACGATCCTCGCCGCCGAGAAGACGCGCCCCATCCCGACCAAGCCGCCGGCGCCGGTGCTCAAGCGCAAGGCGGTGAAGCAGCTTGGCACGGCGACGAGCGGCCTCGAGGCGCTCGACGCGAAGGAGGCCGACTCGCTCGACGAGTTCGAGGCGGCCGCGCGTGCGGAGAAGGCGCGGCGCGAGGCGGAGGGCGTGGGCGACAAGCACCAGACGCGGCAGCCGCGCGTGGTGCCGGTGGTGAAGGCGGGCGACCGACTCGAGCAGCTGTGCCACTACGCGGTGGGCGAGGGCGAGGAGGAGGGTGAGAGCGCGGGGTGGATGTGGTGCTCTTGCACCGTGCTGTCCGTCACCCAGGTGCCCAAGGGCCCGCGGAGCTTCTACAAGGACGGCGAGGCGGCGAGCGTGAGGTGGGACGCCAACGACCGCGTCTCGCCGGCCGAGCCCGAGTCGGACGGCTTGATCGAGCTCAAGAAGGGCAAGTTCAACGCGGACTGCGATGGCGCGTGGCGGCTGGACCTGGATGCGCCGCCGCCGGCGGCGGCGGCGGAGGACGAGGAGATGGAGGTGGAGGTGGAGGTGGAGGCGGAGGCGGCGGCGGCGGCGGCGGCGGCGGCGGCGCCGAGGCAGCGCGGGGCGCCGAAGAAGCGCGGGGCGCCGAAGAAGCGCGGGGCAACCGCAGCAGGCGTGGCGGCTGATGAGGCGGCGCCACAGGCGCGCGAGGCGCGCCCACGGCGCAATGCACGTTGACTCTGCGGCACACACATGCAGTGGACAGCGAACACATAGGGTGATGCGATACGGCGGTAGATGGCCGAGGATGCAGACGGACCGTGGTATGTGTGTTGTGTACTTTATATGCTCATATTCCGCGTTACCACAAAACGGAGGGGCGATATGATCCGCTAAAGCAGCAGGCACACACACGCCAAGCGCGTGAGTTGTCGCTCGGGTTGCCTTAACTAGATAAGATTCCCATATTCATTAATAGCGGCTAGTTTGTCACATCACGTGGATCGATGACCCGGAATATGCCGCAAGACACGGCGCTTTCAATAAGCAACTCATTATCTTGGACGCATCCCTCGACGCGAAGAGCCATGCAGTCACCCGAATTGCTTGGGCCTCTCCTGCAAGTAGAACGAAACATTCTTGGAGCTTCCCCAGCCGCTTGTGGCCGCATCTCATCCGTGGCGACGCGCTGTTCCACCGAGCCGTACTCGGCCGCGCCGCCGCGTCGAGGCACGGGTCCCCAACCAAGCAGCGACGCCGAAGCGTCGACCGATAGAGCGCCACGCCCAGCAGTATGGGCGTCGACCGCTCTCTCGAGCGGCCGCGTGGCAGTGCGTGGCGCGGGCGTCACAGGCGGCAAGCGTGGAGCCGCTGGAAGAGCCGGTGCGAGCCGTGGACGGCAGCCGCTCCCCACGTCGCCGAGAGAGGCTGCGGGGGAGAGGGTCCAGGAGGCCACAGGAGGCGCCGGGAGGCTCGGGAGGCGCTAAAACGTGGCCCGGGCGCCTCGTGCCACCCGTCTGGTGGGGCCAGGTGGGCTCAGGAATTAATCCAGGATTTTAAGGTGATCCACTACACCTGACCGAGAATTGGATGGCGAGATCGCGGCGAGATCGACCAGTCGGCCCAGGTCGGCGCCATGCACTGGCGGGCTGCACAGCGCGCTAGATTACGCGGAGGACGTGCGCTTACCACCGGGTGGGATTACCAGGCTCGCCTGGGCTCGCTGAGGGTCGATCGCGGCGCGACCCGTTTTCGGCTGTTTTCCTCGCGAATCTGGGGTGCGCGCCGGGAGCTGCAGCGCCAGCGTTTCGCGGACCTGTGCAGCCTCCGGGCACTGGGAACTTCTCCCAGGCTCGGGCAATGCGGACATGTGCCAGCGGGGGCGCGGAGGTGGTTTACATGCGGATGCGGCACGATCTTCGAGCCGAACCGACGATACAGGAGGCTCCAGAGGCGCCGTAATCGACAGTTGGCCGTCACCCAACTCCTCGCCCGCCGTGACTGTGGGTGTCTCCTGATTGCCCACGCTCGTGGCGGAGCTCGGGGTACCACTTTGGGCCACGGGACAAGCCCTGGGGAGTCACTGTAGCTCGCGCGGGGCTGAGAAGCCCCCATTCCCGCGAAAAATCGAGATTTGGCGAGATATAGGGGGCGGTTCTCATTATTTTCGGCGGCCCCAAAGCTACCCAATCACTCGCCCACCTCCCCCGAGCAGTCTAGTCCAAAAAAAACCGCGCCCCGATCAAGTTACGTTTTCAGTGTTTGCCCCTAAGTATGGCCGTCTTGGAAAACGCGTCCAATCCGCAAATCCCCCGGGGCGCCCGCGGTCCAAGCTCCAACTCGGAGCTCCGTGTTGCTCCCAGCGCCCTCCCCCGCGCTCCCTGCGGCCATGGCCGATGATCCTAGTATGCCTTCTTTTCTTTAAATTGCAGTTTGCTTTTTTTTCTTGCAGATCACTACTTTACTATCCACCTGGCAGATATCAATCACTAGGACTACTCCCACACAATCCACCTTCCAGATCACCACTCACCACACAATCCCCGCCTTGCATGTGCATGTGCATGTGCATGCCGCTTGTGCATGTCATGCACAACATGCGCATGCCATGCACAACATGCGCATGCACATGCACATGCACATGCACATGGCACCCATGTGCGCATGTGCATGTGCATGTGTGTGCATGTCCATGTCCATGTCCATGTCCATGTCCATGTCCATGTCCATGTCCATGTGCATGTGCATAGTGCGGGGGGGCCCGGCGCGTACGGGGTGGAGCGATGCCGTGTCTTTGAGTGGTGTCCTTTCTAAAAGGTAAGTCCACATCCCGTGCCGCACACCCGACACATGGGAGTCATGGGGTGTGTGGCGCGCTGGCGCCACCGTCGCACTACGCATGCGCGCTTGGGGGGGGGGGAAGGAAACCCGTGTTTTAGAGGGGGGTCCTTTTAAAAAGGGAAAGTTCCCATATCCGTGGCGGGCCCCCCGGAACAATGGGGATCCTTGGGGTTTTGGCCCCCTGGCCCCCCCTTTCCCCAAACAATTCCCCCTTTTTCCCGGGGGGGGGGGGGGGCGGACCCCGCTGACGCCGCCCTCTCTGCGCGTACCACACTGCGCGCCGTGGCGACCCTCCCGCTCTTTCAGGTGCGGCGGCGTGTTTTTTTTTGAGAAGTGGAAGACGCAGGCACTCGCTGGTCACTACTGGTCCAAGGGAAGCGTCTCGAGGTACCGAAACACGATGTCACCTGTGGCGGGGTTGGTTGCGCTCGGCACGGCGTACAGGTCTGTGATGCGCAGCAGCGCCTCGAACGCGCGCTGCTCCGCCTGGTAGTCGCGCAATATGACAGCGGCTCGCACTCTCGACCGGCTGACGAGGTCGCCCAGCTCCATGGCGCCCCCGAGGAAGGGCTCCTGCACCGTGTGCATAAAGGTGAGGCCCGTGGCCTCGTAGATGTCCTGCGCAATGTCGGACGGCCCGATGAGCTCCTCCTGGTGGCGGAGGAGGTAGTCCTTGTTAAGGATGATCAGGTCGAACAACGCCGCTTTCGCCCGCGGCGTGTTGTCGCAGGTAACGATGATGTACTTGCGGTTGAGCTCGCTCACCTTGTCGACGTCGCGGCCCTGCAGGATCATCAGCCCCAGCCACAGGTTGATCCGCGCGTAAAAGTCCGGGTTCCGCCGCCGGATGCGCAGCAGCTCCTTGCGGCTCAGCAAGGCGACACGCGAGTGTCTCGCCGCCTCTGCGCCCAGCTGCCAGCTGCTGATCGGCTTCTCGAGCATGACCTGGCTCTGCCCGTGCATGTCGCCAGCCCCGATCGTGAGCAAGACCTGAGGCTCCGCATGGCCCTCCTCGTCGCCATCGGCCTCTCCGTCTCCTCCGTCCTGCTCGATCCACCGACCATCGACCCGCACGGTGCGCGTGAGCCGCGGCCGCGCCCGCACGAGCTCGACGCGGCCCCGCAGCACGACAAAGGCGCTGTCCGCCACCTCGCCCTCTCGGAAGAGTTGCGCGCCGCGCGGCAGCTCCACCAGCTGCAGCGTCTCCGCCAACAGCTCGAGCTCGGCGGGCGAGAAGGTCTTGGAGATGCTCTCGTGCACGCGCAGCTCGGCCACGAGGTCCTCCACGCGGCAGTCCACGACGCGGGCGCCGCTGCTCCGGGGTGAGGCTGAGCACGAGAGGCCGAGCTCAGTCGGCGCGCGAGAGGCGCCGCTGCTGCCCCAGGCACTGGCGCCGCCGCTGCTCCCGCCACTGATGGGGGGGAGAGACGGCGGCGGTGGCGTCGATGGCGGCGGAGGTGCGGAGCCAGACACATCGAGAGCAACCTGCTCGTGGCCGCGCGCCGAGGGGCTCTGACGGACCGCACCCGTCGAGCCCTGCATCATGATGGACTTTGTGGGCTTACGAGCCAGCCGGCGCACGAGCTCGTTGGATGGCATTTGCGGGTCCTTGAGCTCGCTCACTAGCTGGGTGGGCAGCGTCTCGTTGACGCGGATGATTCCCTGGCGGAGGTCCATCAGGTCGGCCGTGTACTTGATCACGGCAGCCGCGGTGACCGCGTTCGTGGCGTGGGGAACGTTGCGGACGTCGCAGAGCTGGCAGAGCGCCTCGATGTCGGAGTAGTGGCACTGGATCGAGAGCGAGTCCTTGAAAAAGAAGACGGCGTCGACGAGATCGTGCGCGATGAGCGCGCCGAGGCACTGGTCGCCGCCGAGCGGCCCACTTGGCAGTTTGTACGATGACCGGAGGCTGCACTTCTCGAGCAGCATGGCGCAGGTGGTCGACGTGCCCGTAAGCTTGCAGCGGGCCAGCGTCTCTCGGTTCGCGAGGCAGAAGTCCTGCAGCGCCGTCTTCTTTGCGTCGTGCGCGACGAGCGCAACGAAGGGCCCCTCCACCCTCGTCGAGGAGACGGGCTGGTAGTTTGCCTCCGTGATCGACCGCGCGATGCAGCGCGCGACGAAGGCATCCATGAGCCGCTGGTACTCGCCCGGCGCGAGGAGGTTGAGCACCTCCAGCTGCTGGAGGGTGGTGACCAGCATTGTGCCGGGGGAGCGGACATACACGTCGTCCTCGATGCGCCCGTTGCGGGTGACGGCGACGATCGCCTCGCCCAGGGTGTCGTCCTTTGCCAACGAGTAGAGCGGGGTCGAGCCGTGCTTGATGGTGAGAGCGCCGCTGACGATGACGCCCACGAATCCAGCGTCATCGCCGCGGCGCAGGATCGGTTCGTCGCTGCAATCGAGCCCACCGCCCGGGGTGCCAAACTCGCACAGAGCGAAGCGGGCCGCGAGCACGGGTATCGCGCTCTGCCCAACCTGCGTCGTGAAGAAGTCGATCTGGTGCATGGCGTCCACGATCGCGGCGGTGGAGCGGTCGACGCCCTGTGTCGAGCCAAACCTGAGCGGGTTGAAAAACGGGGCCGGGCCGACATGCTCCTGCGACGCTGCTGGCTGCAGCAGCTCGTCGGGCGTCCAACTGCAGCTCGTTTTCTGCGCCGTATGGAGGAGCGCCTGAAGCGGTTCTGGCGACTCTGCGTGTCTCGATCGCCGCAAGGTCGAGGTGCCGCTGGGAGAAGAGCCACTCTGCCGCACAGGAGCGGAGCCGCAACTCTGCCAAGGAGTCGAGATGCCGCTCTGCCGAGGAACCGGCCGCACAGGAGCCGAGCTGCCGCCCGGCCGCACAGGAGTCGAGCTGCCGCCCGGCCGCACAGGGTTCGAGCTGCCGCCCGGCCGCACAGGGTTCGAGCTGCCGCTCGAGCTGAACTTCTCGTCAGCCACAAGCTCGGCGACAGAGAGGACGCCGCCGCTGATCGGCGACTTATGTTCTGACTGCCTCTTATTGGCAGAGTGACGGCTAGGGTATTGGCCCATTTCGGGCACTCCTGCCTGGCGGGCTGGTCACTGTCTGGCGCCGAGCGCCCGTTTACTATACCGGGCTCTCCTGTTGAAGACCGAGAGGACTGCCGCCGCGACCGTGGCGCGATGATCCTGCTTCTCGGGTTTCCAATCTCCGACGCGAGTTTTTTCTTGCGCGTCCGCTCGGCCTCTGGAAGATCCCGGTCCTTGTTAGCCCTCAGCCGAAGCTGGGGCCGGTCCCGTAGCCGAGAGAGCCCGCGCCGATGAGTTCGACGCGGTCGGGGGGCCTTGCGGAGAGGCCAGCGAGGTGGCGATCGCTGTACTTCATGGTGTCATCAAGTGACCGGCTGACAAGCCAGAGGTCGATACTCTGGACGACCCATAGGATGCCACGTGGGCGTAGCCGACCACTCGACACCGCTCTCGCCTGCTCTCTAAAAGAAAGAAAGAAACGGACAACCCAAGGGAGTGATGGGAGGACGGCACGCCGCCACCTCTATGTGTACGGTTTCTTTTATCCTATAAACTCCCGCGCCTTTTGCCGACAGGCGGCTCCAGCAACCACTGGACCCGCTGATGTCCAAGCGGGCGCCATCTGAGAACCGCGCCCCATCAAATCGGCCGGCGAAGCGCGGCGCCGCCAAGGCGGGTCTCGACGAGCTGCTGGCCGCGGCAGGCGCCAGCCGCCAGCCCGGCGAGGGCGGCGGCTGGGTGATAGCGGACACATTCCGCTTCCGGCAGCAGATCACGCGCGAGGCGGAGGCGGACGGGTTCAAGGAGGAGCTGCTCGCGGCGCTGTCCGACGAGTGCTTCGACCCGGCGCGACTCGTCGCCCTCCTCCGCCCGACGGCCGGCGCCGCCGCCGTCTCGTCGAACGACTCCATCGTGCGGCTGCTTCTGCACGTCGACAGCCTGCAGCCCGACATCGCCTCGAGCCTGATGCAGCTGCTGCCCGAGTACCAGGGCGAGGAGGCCTCCGACGCCATGACCACCACCCGGCTCATCCTCTCCCAGTTCCGCTGGCTCGAACACATCGTCGACGGCGCCGCGCTCGTCGGCGCTGCGTCCGAAATGATGCAGGCGCGCGCGCGCGCGCGCGCAGCCCGGCCGCGCTCCCGGCGAGACGCCGCGCGCGCGCGCGCGTTGCTCTGGCCGCTCGCCAGCCCGCCGCCCCTCGCCCCTCGCCCCTCGCCGCCGAGGCGCGTGCGCCTGGCGGCCGCCGCTGCACAGCCGCCGCTGCAAAAGCCGCCCCCGCCTCGCCTCCCCTCGCCTCCGCCCCTAAGCCCTCCACCGCACACCCCCCCGCCGCCGTCGCCTTCTCCGCCAGCAGCCTCGCCTCCGCCGCCCTCGCCTCCGCCCGCCCTCCCCTTCGCCCTCGCCCACGCCACCTCCCTCCCCCACCTCGCCCCGCCCCGCCACAGGTGGCAGACGCGCCTCTGAAGCGGGAGCTGCTTCTCGTCCTCCCCGACCTCGTTCAGGACGGGCAGCACGCCGCCGCCGCCGACACGCTGCGCTCGGTCCGCGCCTCGAGCGCCACACTTCCGAGACGCTTCCCACACACCGAGCCACCCTCCCCGTTCCAGCCCCCCACGCAACCACACCATCGGCCGTCCACTCCCGCGAGAGGGGGGCGAGGTGCGAGAGCTGGCGAGAGGCGCCAGTGCTGGCGCACGGATCGGTGGAGGGAGGAGAGCGAGGGAGGCGCGGGAGCGAGGCGGGCGCGTGTCGGAAAGGCGGAGCGTATTGGAGTCTCGGAGGTGTCTCGGACGGCGGAAGTGTCGCCGAAGTGTCGCGTCCCACCCCCCTGCGTGCAGGTGCTCGGCGAGGACACTCAGTTCCTCGCGTCGGTGCTCGACGCGTTTGGCTCGCTCGTGCTCGAGCCCGACGCCCTCGCCGAGGTGTGCGCGAGTGTGATGGACGCCGTCGCTGGCGCAAACGTCGACGCGCCTAGATGCGGAAAGCGATGCGGAAACAGCTGCCGTCACTCTGGCAGGCACTCGAGGACGCGGTGTTCAGAGTGTCCTCATGCCCGCCGTCCGCTGCATGCGTCGCCCTTGTACTCACACCTCCCCACGCGCGTCTGCGCGCAGGTCGAGGACCTTCCCGTCGTCGTCCGCTTCCTGCTCCAGCACATGACCAAGGACAGCGCAAAGGCGACGGTGGCGGCGCTGCGGACGGGCATGCAGCTCGACCTGCTGCGCGGCGGCGACGCGGCGGCGGGCGGCGGCGAGGCGAGCGGCGAGGCGCTCGTGCTCGACGCGCTGACGACGGCGATGCGGCTGCGCAAGGACGTGGCGGTGCTGGTCGTCAAGCACCTCGGCGGCATCGCCGCCGCGGCCGACCACACACCCGTCGACGCGTGGCTCCTCTGCGCGGCATACACGGCCTCCGCGGCGACCGAGCGCAAGAAGGTGCTCAAGCTCGTGCTCGACAAGGCGTGCGGCCGCCTCCTCTCGGCCGCGCTGCTCCGCGCCGCCATCGCGGGCCACGGTGTCGCCCTCGCGCCCCACTTCGCGACGCTGCTCGAGCTGGCGACCGTGCTGCTGCAGCAAAAGGGCAAGCGCGCGGCCGTCGAGGCGGGCAGCGACCTGTACTGCCTCGCGTTCGACGAGTTTGCCGACGTCTTCAAGCGGCAGGAGCTGCTCTCGCGCGTGATGGCGCACGTCGGCTCTGGCGCCGACGCGGAGGTGGAGGCCGCGCTGCGCGTGCTCGTGCGCCTCGCCTCTGCCGACGCGGTCGCGGTGCGCCACTTCGCGCCCTTCCTGACGTACGTGCTCGACTACCTGTCCAGCCTCTCCGTCGTGCAGGCCCGGCTCGCCTTCGAGCTCTTCGCGCGGCTGGCGTACGACGGCGCGCCCGACTGCGCCTCCCGCCTCACCGACGAGCTCCTCATCACGATCCGCAAGCAGCTCTCCTCCTCGACGCCGCACTACAAGTGCCTCGGCCTCCTCGGCGGCTGCACGATGCTGCACCGCCTCGGCGTGCAGGACGCCGCCGCTGCCGCCGACGGCGAGGGCGTCTCGGCGACGCAGCCGCCGCCGCCGAGCCAGGCGCGCGGCAGCCAGGCAGCGGCGTCGCAAAAGCCGCTCAGCGCGCGCATGCAGGAGGCGCACTCGCTCTTCGCGATGATGTGCGGCCACTCCGCCTCCGCCGACGGCACGTTCGCCTTCCTGCTGCACGAGCTGTCGCACTTGGTCGCAGCGCGCGGCGCGGCGGACGCCCTCTCCCGGCCGCTCCTCGAGCTGGTCATCGACAAGGTCACCTCCAACTTCGAGTCGCGCTACCTCGTCGATGCGGCCGAGGCGCTGCAGGAGAACGCAAAGGTGCGCGGGCTCCAGCCGAAGCTGGCGCTCGACATCGACCGCGCCGGCGAGGAGGGCATCGCCGTCCGGATCGCGCCGATGCTCGCCCACTCTGACGAGGCGGCTGCCCTGCAGCGCCACGCCCTCTCGACGCTCTCGGCCAACTTCCAGCTGCTGCGGCTGTGCGAGGCGGCGACGTCGGAGGACGGCGAGTCGCTCGAGGCGGTGGACGCGGTGCTCGGCGCGCCGCTCGTGCTCTTCGAGCCGCGTCTGATCGGCGAGCGGCTCGAGGCCTTCCGCGACCTCCCAGCCGACACGCGCGAGGCCGCCTGCCTCGCGCTCTTCTACGCGGTCGACTGGATCCGCGAGCTGCTCAACGGCTTCTGCACGCAGCGCGACCCCGAGATGCGCGCCAAGGTGGTGCTGCGCGCCACGCAGCTCGCCGCGCTCGAGGGTCCCTCGCTCGGTCCGCGTCTCGGCCCACAGAGCCTCTTGCAGAGCCGCCCGGCGCCGCCTTCCGTAGGCGTGCTCGACGCGCTCCTCGGCGAGACGCCTCACTTCCGGCTGCCCGGCATCATCTGGGACTCGCGCGCGGCGGCGGCCAAGGCCAAGGCGGCGGCAACCAAGAAGCCGGCAGTGGCCAAGAAGGCGGCGGCGGGCAAGGCCAAGCCGGCCTCCAAGGCTGCGGGCAAGAAGCCAGCAGCGGCGGGCAAGGGCAAGTCTGCGGCGGGCAAGGGGAGAGGCAAGAAGAAGTCGGCGGTCTCGGATGTCGACTCGTCGGGCGACGAGGACGGCGACGAGCCGGCGGGCGCCGGCGAGGAGGAGGAGGAGGAGGAGGAGCCGGCCCCGGAGCCGGCGGCGGCGGGCGGCGCGGGCAGCAGCAGCGCCGCGGCCACAAAGAAAAAGGCAAAGGCGTCGCCGTCGTCCGTGCTGGCGCGGCCGAACCTCGCGCGCGTCTCGCCGCATCTGCGTGGCATCTCCATCCACACGAGCCTCATCCTCACCTACGGTCTGAGACCTCACGCGACCTCACGCGACCTCGCGCGACCTCGCGCGACCTCACGAGACCACCCTGAGACACCCGAGACCACCCCGAGATCACCCGAGATGGCCTCCTCCGAGCCCCAGCCTTGTGTCCGCCCGTAGCAGCCGCCAGAGACTTCATCCCCAACGCCCACGTCTGCACGCGCCGAGAGCTCCGGCTCATCTCGCGCCCGCCGCCGCCCCGCAGGCTCGGGCCACATGCGCAAGGAGGTCGACACTCGCGACGAGACGGTCGCTCTCAACAAGGCAGAGCCCACCGCGATCTCCGACGCACCCCACGCGAACTCACGCGACCTCCCCCCCCGGCCCTAGGTCGAGCTCACCGCGGGCGCGACCCACCTCCTCCTCGCGCAGCTCCTCGCAAAGGTGCAAGCCGCCATCTCCTCTGGCGGCGCGAGGACGTCGCCCGCAAAGGCGGCCGGCGGCCGGCGCGCCATCGCCGTGCAGGACCTGTCGAGCATGGAGCTCTCGCTGCTCGACGCGCCGAAGCTGCTCGCTGCGCTCAAGCCGGTCCTCCTCTCCTTCCGCGAGCTCCTCGAGACGCTCGGCGAGCGGCTGCGCGGCGCGGACGGCGCGCCGCCCGCTGAGCCCTCGAGACGCGCCACGAGCACGACTCGTCCACGGACGCGTCCGCGGCTCGTCCCCTTAGGCGTGCCGCCGCCCGACGAGGCCGAGCACGAGACGACCCTCATCGAGGCGTTCGAGGGGTCGGAGCTGAGCGAGTCGCGCGCGGCGCGCGGCGAGTTCACGCACTCCTCCTTCGTGCTCATGCTCCGTGTGCTGCAGGCGCTGCTCGCCCCCAGGCGAGCTGCCGACACCGTCCGTGACACCGTCCGTGACGCGTCCGGCTGACTCGTGCGGCAGGAGCTGCTCGCGTGGGACCAGCTGCGTGACGCCGCCGCCGAGGCGGACTGCTCGACGTGCTCGCCTACTTTAATGGAGGATTCATAGTCAGTAATTGATTACTAGGCGGACCTGCTCGACGTGCTCGCCTACTTTGGCTCGCACGGCTCGCTCTCGTCGCAGGCGCCCCCCTCCGCCGCCGCCGCCGCCGCGTCCGGCCGCGCCAAGGCGGAGACGTGCGCCGGCGCCTTTGACTTCTTCGAGACGCTGCGGCAGGGCGTGGGCTCCGCGTCGCTGCTCGCCGAGATCCTCGACGTGCAAGCCGCCATCGTCAAGCTGCAGGGCCGCCTCACCAAGGCCGTGCCGACGCCGGCCCAGCGGCAGGCCAAGCTCGCCGAGTGCGCGGAGCACATCCTGCTGCGGCCCGACGGGCGCCTCAAGGGGGACAAGCTGCTGGCGCCCACCCTCAAGACGATCCTCGAGTGCCAGGCGGCGCACACCGACAAGCCGCGCGAGCTGATCCGCACGTGCGCCGAAGAGTGGCTCTCGAGCCTCGAGGACGACCCAAAGGCGGACCCGAGGAGCAGCCCTTCCTCACCCTCACCCTCTCCCTCACCCTCACCCCTCACCCTCACCCTCACCCTCACCCTCACCCTCACCCTCACCCTCACCCTCACCCTCGCCCTCGCCCTCACCCTCACCCTCACCCTCACCCTCACCCTCACCCTCACCCTCACCCTCACGCGCAAGGCGGACCCGCCCGAGGAGCAACCCTTCCTCTCCCTCAAGACGGCACCGCAGTACCTCCGCACCATGTTCGGCCTGCTGCGCCGCGAGTGCGCCGCGCTCGACGGCGGCACCAAGGTGCGCACCCATACCCGTCCTCGCCCTCCTCGCCCGCTCCTCGCCCTCCTCGCCCTCCTCAATCCTCGTCTCCTTGTCGCTCCTCGTCGCTTCTCTCCCTCCTCTCCCCTCCTCCCCCTCCTCCCCACCTCCCCTCCTCCCCTCCTCCCCTCCTCTGTCTCCCTCCCAAAGTTCCCTCCCTCCCCTCCCTCACCCTCTCCCCACCCGCCGCCCCCGCCCTCCGCCCCTAGGCGCCGCTCGAGGACCACGCAGACCTCTCGGCGGCGGCGGTGACGGCGGAGCTCAAGGAGCTCGTCGAGCTCTTCTCCTCGCTCGCGCAGGCGATGCGCGGCACCCACATCTCGTCGATCAACATCGTCACGCTGCGCGAGTCGGCGCTCTTGAACGGCTGCGCTTCAACGGCCGCGGCGCGAGAGCGTCTCTTCACGGCTTTTGCTGTGAACAGGCGGTCTTCCTCGCGTGGTTCAACTCCCGCGCGCTGCCCTTCATCTCGTCGCAGTTCATCGGCCAGCACGGCGAGATGATCACCCTCCTCAAGGCCATCCAGCCGACCACGCGGATGCTGCAGGCGAGCGCTGCCCCGTCGCCCCCCCCCCCCCCCTCGCGACGCCTGTCTCTGGCTGCACAGGCGCTCTGTGTGGACGTCAAGGCGAGGCTCGAGACCGGCTGCTTGACACCTGCGAGCACGCTCAAGCGCGAGCTCGAGAGCCTCGTCCTCCAAGTCAAGGCGCGGCGCCTGCATCGCCTCCCGGGCTTGTTCGCGCCGATGGCCGCCAAGGGACCGTCCGCCCGCCCTCCCCCTTTCCGCAGGTGATGCTGCAGAAGAATGGCTGCCGCGAGGCCTTCTGGGTCGGCAACCTCAAGCACAAGAACTCGAGCGGCGTCGAGGCGCGTCCCTCTCCCTCCCCTCCCCGCCCTGAGACACAGCCAGAGACTCGGCGTGCTCTAACTTGTTGCAGGTGAGCTCGCAAATGTACGTCGAGGCCAAGAAGGGGCTCAAGAAGGCGGGCACGCCCAAGAAGAAGAAGAAGGTGAAGAAGAAGAAGGCGGACGACGACGAAGACGAGCCTGTCGACGTCGATGCCGACGACGAGGAGGAGGACGGCGATGCGATGGCAGTGGACGGCGGCGGCACCAGCGATGCCGACGAGGTGCCCCACAAATCTTCGCCCTCCCCATTACTCACCCTCTCCCCATCCGCAACCCTCACCGCCACCCCACTCTTCCCAACCGTCATCGCCATAGCCACCCTCGCCCCAGGAGGACGAGGACGAGGAGGGCGAGGAGGACGAGGAGGACGAGGAGGAGGACGAGGACGGATACCCTGCAAGCATGGTGGCCTCTGACGAGGAGTGAGAGCGCTTTGAGCCCAAGAAGGGCTCAAGTCACCCGAGGGCCGCGGCTGGTGGGTGCTTTGCTGCGCGATTCCAAGGGGCGAACTGAACATTCGAAAGAGAGAAGACCGTACGTATGTGTCTGTGCGCGGATTACACTGCGTCACTGAGTCTCGACAGTGGAGCGTGGTCCTCCGTGGAGCCTCGTGCACAGAGAACACACCGCTGTACGTAGTCGTATCCACAAGCAGAGGGGGTCGTACTCGAAGGGGTGACGCACGCCTGTTTACGGAGGAGAGCTTCTTGAAACCTCTCAGAGCCGACACTGCAGAATCGAGATAGCCCAAGCTGATATACGCGATACATTGCATGCACATGTACATGTACATGTGCACGCTACAACAATCAACAAACAATATGGTACATCGCGACATCAAATGAATAGACATCGCATGAATGAACCTTCCTCGAAACAACAGTCTCATCGGAGACGGAGTCAGTGAGACAGTGTCTGTCTCTGTCGGCCCCCTCCGGCCCTGCGCTTCGCTTTGCATTTTGCCGCACCAAAACAACCTCTGACGCTAATTTGAGTACTTGCACCGCCTGCAAGAGTGGCCAAGACGGCGCGCAAGTCGGCGCGCCGCCCGTCGGACACATGGCCCGCACGGCATGGCCGCGCAGGCGACATGGCACTGTCGCGGTGCTGACGCTGTTCGCTTCGGCAGTGCATGCCGTACTCCTTCCAGAGTTCAGGAACGGGCACTTTGAGTGCCCAGCTGGCAGTTTCCCCAAAGGCGTTGTCATTGACCTGGGCCGCTCAACCATCACTGTCAACAACCTCGGCGGCTATCTGGGCAACACCGACACGGAGACGGTGGAATGCATGGTGGGTACGGATGGTGTTACCAACGCTGTTGAGGACTACTGCCCCTGCGGCTGCGGCTGCAAGTGCCTCAACACTGCTCTTCGCGAGCAGCCGCAAGAGATGCGATTTGCGGGTGCTGCCAGGGCATACGATGGGACGAGCAACGAGCCTTACGAAGAATTTGACTTGGTGGTCACGAACACGACGGAATACAAGCCGTGGAGTTCCGCGCAGAACGGGCTGTTTTCGGGAGGGGACAGCCGAGAGGCCCAGTTTGGCAGTATCAGCCAGGCTCAGGACACCACCACCACCTTCCTGTTTACATTCCTGTATCCCGGGACACAAAGGTCGCACACCTTCGGTGCTGGTGCTCCCCCCCCCCCCCCGCCCGCCCGCCCCGGGCCTTTCCTTAGACGAGCCCAGGTCGACCCCCTCCCCGCTCTCGCCTCAGAGTTCGAGGCGTGTGCGCTCGACTTCGACACGGGACCAGTGGGCGGGGGAGGGTTTGTCGCACCGGAAACAGTCATGACCGAATCACTCACCAACTGGTGAAGAATTCCTAGAAGACTCTGCCGACTCTGAGATATGCTCACCCGACGCGCTTGCAATGCCTCTCACCCATCACTCCTCAAAATACCTTCCCTAACCGCACACCCCCACCCACCCCCAACCCCACAGCGACTCCTACGCGTGGTTCACCCACAGTAAGTTGCCGGACAACTCGCCGCTCAAGCCGTACCTCTGCGAGAACATCGAGTACGAAGGAACGCTCAAAGTCACAGAGGCTCTCTCCCTCAATGGAGCCGACGGCTGCGTGAGGATAGACGGGCTGAAGGAGGGGCTTGGTGGTGACAACCCGGTCTCGTGGACCGACGTGCTCATGAACTGGGATGGAGGCCCGACCTGCGAAGACTACGACACGTGTCCCGCCGGGGGAACATCGGGCGTGCAAGGGAGGCGGAAGCCCGGAACGACCGAAGACTTCATTACGTGTAGTGAGGGCGAGTACTACCCCGCGGCTGGCGTGTACGATGCAGCCGAGCCCACCTACCCGTACCGCTACACCGTCCCAAAGATGGTCTGCTTCCACTACCCCGCCGGCATCGACCACTTTGAGATGACCTACGCTGTGGGCCCGGCTGGTCCGAACCATAATGGCAAGTACGGGCGCAATTATCAGTTCGGTGACAGCGGCGCCCCGGACGAGTGCGTGGTGCCGCCGCCCCCCTCCCCGCCCCCCGCCCCGCCCCCTCCTGCTGGTACACCGTCGCCGCCACCATCGCCGTCACCGCCGCCACCATCGCCGTCACCGCCGCCGCCGTCACCGTCGCCCCCCCCTACGGGTACACCAAAGCCGCCCCCACCGCCGCCGCCCCCACCGCCGCCACCGTCGCCACCGCTGCCATGCGTCATCCCTCCCCCGCCGCCGCTCGTTTCAATGGGCAGCCTTGCGGAGGCTTGCCAGTATCTGCTTAACCAAGCGGCCTACTTGGTCGGCTCTGCGCCTCTCGGTGAGAAGATCAAGGCGCTGTCCACTCCTTTGCCGGAGCGCCGCATGCAAGAGTCGGCGCGACATGGCCAATTCCATGGCTTGCATCCCGATGAATACCACAACCTTATCCCGGCGTCCGATTACTTCAAGGATGACACCGCGTCGGGTGATTGTGTCCCACCACCGCCACCGCCGTCGCTCAGCTACCTACCAGAGTGGTGCCAGAAGCTACTGAACAAGGCGGCTTATGTGACAGGCACGGCTAGCCTCGGAGACAAGATTCGAGCCCTGGGGCTCGAGTGACGTCTCATCGGGAGAGCATCCATGCCTTCGGCCGACCTCAGCACTGCTGCGCTGCGAGGTCGCCGTGGTGAGCCTTACATGTACATGTAGGCTATCCGCGTCTGCGCGCTGACCACCGTGGTCCGTTTGTTACTCGCTGCTACACGAGCTTTCCTCTCTCTCTCTCTCTCTCTCTCTCTCTCTCTCTCTCTCTCTCTCTCTCTCTCTCTCTCTCTCTCTCTCTGATGGTAAAACGTATAATAGCGGGAAGACATCGCACGCAACAGGGGTCCCAGGGAAGGCGAGCCAAAACCCCATCTCGCGGTATCGCGCGCGCTTTTAAACTACGAGACGCCGACTCGCCCCCCCTTGCCCCACCACCTCGTGTGTGTGTAGCAAGTACCTTACCTTCTCTGGTAGGACGGGAACGAGATGATAGTTGGGAGTAGAAGAAAGCAAAGAGGAGCCCCCTGCGCACGCACGACTCCGCAGGAGAAGCCCCTCCCCAGACAAAACACAAAAGGGAGAGGTGGAGCGGCCGCACACTGCTCGGTGCTACCCCCCCTGCACATCTAAAGTCATGGCCGACTCCCCCCCCAGCAGCAGAGCTCTGGTGCTGGGGGGGTCGGGACCCCCCCCTAGCAGCAGAGCTCTGGTGCTGGGGGGGTCGGGACCCCCCCCTAGCAGCAGAGCTCTGGTGCTGGGGGGGTCGGGACCTCCCCCCCAGCAGCAGAGCTCTGGTGCTGGGGGGTGCTGGCAAGTGGCAGCTCTGTACGGCTTTACAGACAGCTGGAGCGAATTTTTTTCGCCGGCTTGCGCCGCCCAGTCGTCGGCAAGGTGCTGCATATGGAATGGCTTGAGGGCGAGCTGCATGGCTTCCACCACGTCGCTGCCCGCCATTGCGGCGACGCGTCGCGGCGGACCTGACAGTTTTGCCGGGCGACGGGGGCGTGCGCGCGCGCGTGCGCGTTTTCGAAAAAAGAAAGGGCAGCCGCACCTTGATGACTTCAGTCGATCGATTTCGACGAGCGAGCGATCCGAGGATCGAGCGGGGGACCGATAGGCTAGGGAGATCGATCAACGTCAGCCGAGACGCCCGAGTGAGTGGCTCACTATACGGCTTTTAGTGTGGTAGTACATAAGTACAAGATAGACTCACATGGTCACAAGTCTTTAGTAAAACGCCAGCACTCGACACGACGAAGGTGTATTGGGCTCGAAGGCGCGGTGAACACAACCGCCTCGAGCGTACCGCTCAAACACGAGCCGAGGGTGGAGGGGGGGGCGGCGGCGAAGAGGCGGGAGCGCTGGGTCCAATGCCTTCTGCTGCTGGGGGGGTCGGGACCCCCCCCCCAGCAGCAGGGATGACTTTAGATGTGCAGGGGGGGTACCGAGCAGTGTGCGGCCGCTCGTGGGTGGGTCACAGAAAACTGCGGCCGCCACCGCGACAGGCTTGCTGGCGGACGGCGAGAGGAACACTTACGAGCCACTATTTGGGCGCCTATTCGGCGCCCAAAGTGCCAATACTGGAGATCTGAGGTCGAATCTGCTGATTCTACAGCCGCCTGCAGGAGCGCCGCCTCAACACGGGGTCTCGGCTCTGTCGAGCCATGCTAGCTCCAGCCGCAGCCCCACCCGGCCGCCCGAGGGTGTTCCCGCAGGCAGAGAAGACTAATCCTGGGGGAAGCAACCTTCTCTGGTAGGGCGGGAACGAGAGGAAAGAAGGGAGTAGAAGAAAGCAAAGAGGAGCCCTGCGCACGCACGACTCCGCAGGAGAAGCCCCTCCCGCCCGTGCTTGCGCAGCGCAGCCTCCTCCTCCTTACCTACGCACGCACTTTAGCGGGTTCACAGCCTTGGTATTGAGAAGAAAATACGTCCTATGGCGCTGTGTTCACAGCCTTGTTATTGAGAAGAAAATACGGTTTGTTGTCCTATGGCGCTGTGCGCTGGTCGGTGAGAGGTTGAGGTGCGAGCCCTGGAGGCCCTGGGCGCCTGGGGATGGGGGGAGACTACCCGCGTGCCTAGAAGGCCCGCGCGCAGGGGGGTGGGACATTGAGATTGAACATTCTGTTCAGCGTGTGGACCACTTGTCCGATGTCCAGCGTCGGCGCGTAGCTCGGGTCGTACAAGTACTCACCGGTCTCAGCGGCATTGCCATGGTAGGCCAGGCCCACCTTATACCGCAGCGCAGCGCGAGCCTGCATGTGCTCGCGCAACCCACCTTGGAAGGCAACTCGCCGCGAGGCCAGCCCTCCTCCAGGAGGACCTGCTTGCGGCGCGCTGCCGACGAGGGGTTGAGGAGGTCGTAGTCGCCAAGGTCTTCTGCCTCCCAGGGCGGAAGGCCCGGGCGCGCGGGCCCGCCCAAGACGGCTGGGCGAGGGAGCGCGCGGCGGAGCAGCGAGCTGAGGAGGTTGTACTCTCTGCTCGCAGGGTCGAACTCACGAGTGCCGATAGACCGCTGCCAGGCTCCAAAAACGTCTAGCGCCTGGTGGTCGTCGTGCGAGTACCGATAGTGGGGCGGGAAGTGCGCGTCGAACCGCGCAGCAACCTGTGGAACTCGATTTTTTGATTCCTTCTTTGCTGCTCTCCTGGATCTTTTGGAGGTCGGTGCGGCGGAGGTGGAGGTGGCGGAGGCTCGGCGAGCACGGCTGGGAGCGGCAGAGGGTTCAGGATCCGGGCAAGCGCGGATCTTAGAAGAGGGGTGGCTTTGGTTGAAGTCACGATCGGGACGGATGACACGTCTGATGCAGACATGCGGTCACCCTCGATTCCTGTTTGTTGAATGTTGAAGCCCTCTTCGATGCAGTCGCAGGAGTGATAACCCATCGAGGTGGGAGCCGCCTGCGGCATACTGAATCCTCCACCAGTGGCGCAAGCCCGCTCGTCCCACGCTCGAGCGACTCGTCCACCTTCCCAGCCACACCCTGCACAGCAGCATGGCCATCCTCCTCCTCCTCCTCCTCACTGTAGTTGTCCCACCCATCGTCGGAATCGTCGCCACGGCGCTCGAAGCGGCAGCAGAGCTCCTCTTCCTCTGCTTCCTCTGCTAGCAGCTGCGCCAGCACTGCCTCCCACTCAGGGTCGGCAGCAGAGCCAGCATCGCTTTGAGCAGAGCAGTGCATTGCCACGTCCTCGTCGCAGAGCTCCACCGCGGCGAGAGACGTGGCGATCGACGTGCCAGTGGCGCGGCTGGCATCGCCAGCAGCGAGGCCGCCAGCATCGCCGCCGCGCACCGCGGCGTGGGGCGCAGCAGCGTGCCGTTCGTGTTACGACAGTCGAGGAAGGGATCGACAGCAACGATTCAGCTGTGTGTTCACAGTCATGCCCCCCCCACCCCCCGATGCATTATGTGTCGGCCACCGCGTCGACCGACGTCTTCCACACACCCCAGCCGTGGATGCGCCACTACTTGACAGTGCTCATGCTGCTCGGGAGCGGCGAGACCGCGCTGCAGCCTGGCCTGCGCAGCTTTCTCGAGAAGCGCGTCAGCGCGGCACTGGCTGGCGGGAGTGGCGGAAGAAGGCTCGAGCGAGGCCAGGCAGTGCACCCTGCCGCGCCCGGGCTGGTGAATGGCTTGGTGGCGGCTTCGCCGAGTAGCGGCGACGCCTGCGCCGCGTGGGTCCACCGCACGGCGATGCAGGCAGTGGCGGCGCTCGAGAACGAGCCGTCGCTCGGCGAGGCAACCGTGGCAGGCTCGCTCGGCCTGCTCGACCTCGCAGGGGCGCAGGCGGACCGGCGAGCGGCGGCGCTGCGCATGTACAATGTGATCAACGGCCACCACCTCGACATGCGCCGCGCGGCGGCGGCGGCGGAGGGAGAGGACTCGGACGGCGTGTCGGCCGAGGCGGAGGAGCGAGGCGGCGGCGGCGGCGACGGCGACGGCGGCGGCGCAGAGGCGTGGGGGAGTGAGGAGCGGCTGCGTGGGTACGCGGCGGCGGCGACGCAGATTGGGACGCGCGACTGGGTGCGCGCCGGCATCGACTGGAGCGTGCGGCAGGCGGACGCCTTCTACTGCGAGATACAATCTCCGAGAGACAATCTCCGAGAGACAATCTCCGAGAGACAATCTCCGAGAGACAATCTCCCCTTGCAGGCGGACGCCTTCTACCGCGAGGGCGAGGGTTGCAGGCTCACCAAGCGCGAGGCGGTGCGCGAGTCATACCGCAGAAGCGGCGGGCCACCGACCGACGAGGTCCGCGCGATGCTGCTCCGGCTGGCGAGGGAGGGAGGGGGGCGCGAGGCGGGCGAGCCGATCAAGCTGCTCGACGTTGGGTCCTGCGGCACACTCTTCGACGAGCGGTACGAGGGCGTGCGGGCGACGGCGCTCGACCTGTGCCCTCAGGAGGGCACACAGAGACGTGGAGAGAGTTCGCTTAGAGCTCGCTTCCTGCTGCCCCGCCGGACTGGAGACCGAACCGGCCCGCACACGCACAGCGGAGAGAGGGGGCTGCGCCTGGCCACTCGCCTTGTGAGGTGGTGCAGCTGGCTGCCTGCAGGAGGGCAACCGTGCCGTGCTGCAGTGCGACTTTCTGCAGCTGCGCGTCTCGCCGGCCGGGTCGGAGCCCGAGGTAGAGCCGCACGACCGCTTCCCCGCCGGCGCGCTGCGCTCGCTCGCGGAGGGCTCCTTCGACGCTGTCGTCCTCTCGCTCGTCCTCTCCTACCTCCCGCTCCCCCACCAGCGAGGCGAGATGGTGCTCAAGGCGCGCCAGCTGCTGCCCTCGCCCGACCCGCCCGAGGTGCACCTCGCCGCCGCCGCCGCCGCTGCCGCCGCCGTCACTGCCGAGGCTGGCGGCGGCGAGGCGGCGGCGGGGGGCGGAGGCGCGTGCAGCGCGATCGCCTCGCCGCCCGAGGACGTGCCGCCTGTGAAGTGGCGGCGAGGGCAGGAGGCTGCGCGGCGGGCCGGACCGCAGGGCATCTGTCCGGGACGTCCGGGACATGTCGCGGTAGGCGAGGTCTCCTCTTGCTCGTCGACACGTATTCGGTCGACGGCCGCGCAAAGTCGTGGCGCGCAAGAGGAGACGGGGCGCCGCGTGGGCGTGACACGATTGCGCTTCAGCGCGCGGCGTGTGTCCGCTGCAGGCGCGAGCAAGAGTACCTCACGCAATGGGCTGCGGCGATCGAGGCGGCCGGGTTTGTGTTTCTGCGGCACGTCACGCTGCCGCGCTCACACGCGCTCGCGTTTGCGACGACGAGCGGCGGCGGCGGAGGCGGCGAGGAGCCGCCCGAGCTGCACATGAAGCGCGAGCAGCGCGAGCAGGGATGGGAGTTGAGCAGCGCTGATGGGGGTGATGGCGTTTGAGACGGGCTAGCCACGCCATCTTGGTTTTTTCTCTTTTCTCTACACGACGAGAGCTACAGACACAGTCGCTCGACGTCGCGTCTTCGCAGGGATCTCTCCAGGGATCGGGGCGCCGCTGAAAGGTCTTCGGGAGCATGCACACCCACACGGGACGCCCTCGCTCTGGGCCATAGGGCGGACAGGGCGGCAGCCTCGAGCTTCGCTTGAGCTCGCGTGTACGTGTGTATGTCCACCCTCCTTCCCTGCGCCGTGAAAACCCACACTGACCTGCTCTCAGACTGACACCTGGCTAGCCGACAGCCCCCTGCGACGGCCTGAGGTGGTGAGGCTGGGCTGCGACCCGAGGCCGAGCGGCGTCGAGCGTGGAGCGACGTCGAGTGTCCACGCGACTGGGGAGAAAGCCTGCGGGGAGCCGGCTCTGTGTACGACTATCCGTTGTTTATGCTTACGTGCACAATCTTGTGCGAGTGCACGGCTGCAGCGTGAGCCGTGCACGTGGGCTTAGCACGACTACGGCATTGACATCGCACCTGGTGCCGGATTCTTGGCACCCGTGCCCTTCGATAGCATCTTGACCAGCGTCCTTGTCTCAGCCATGGACTGCTGAGTCTTTTTGACCGCAGGAATCACGCTTTCCGGCGTGCCGGCCGCAGGAAGCGTCGCCGCCTCTTTGACTGCGGTCGTCAGCGAGGTGGGTTTGGTTTCGCCGGTAACCGCGGAGGTCTTCATAGGCGAAAAGGACGCCCATGTCTTCTTCAGCTTGTCCAGCAAAACCGCAAGTCGGCTGTGCGTCTGTCTCTGCGCCTGGTCTCTTGCCAGTGGGTCGGGGCTCTTCGTCGCCAGCTTCACGTAGCGCTCTGTTGCGATCATAGTCTTGTTGAGCCCCGCAGCCAGTTTTTCCGCGTCCCCCAGCATCTGCGCGAGCCTGGTTGTGTTGAATGGTGCGAGCACGAGCTTAGCATCCGTAATGATCCTTGGCAGCTTGCCAGCCCCGTCCCGCTCGGGCTTCTCCGGTGCAGCCGGCTTCGCCTCAGGGTTGACAGGGACAGCCTGAACTGTCGTGAGGGCGAAAAGCAACGCCAACACCGCCCGGCTGGTGGACGGAATGGACAGATGGAGCGGTGAACGCACTGTCCGACCGCGACTGGGACCAACTGCTAGACCAGAATGGGTTGCCATCATTACCTATTGACCGACCGCCGTGTCGGCTCAGCTCTTTGAGTCTCAACTTTTACGTAGTTTACCTACTCGAGTGCAGCGCAACGTGGTCAACTGTTCAACACAACGACACAGGTAGACCCTCCAACCACCAGAAAACTCCAACCTGATCGGTCGTACTGACCGCCGACAGATCACTCCAGACAGCAGACAGGCCGACGTCTGCACGCGGCCGGCCGGGCGAGAGGCTTGACACGATCCGACCCTGCGACCCTGACGCTGCTGCTCTAGCTATCAGAGATAAACTGCTGACTGCTGCCACAATGTGCGACCTGTGCTGGCCCACTTGGCGGCCTTCCCGGTCAGTGGTGAGGCGCAGTTCAGAGCTGTCGATGGCGCGATGCCGCACTGGTCCCACATTGGTGACACGAGACCACCACCTTTGCCGGTCCAAGAGAGAGACCCTGGCGCTGTCCTGAGAAGGTGCATGGTCCCTCTTGACTGCCCATGCGCGCGAGGCTGTGTAGGCATACAAAATCGCGCAAAAAAAGAAAAAAAAATCAGGAAAATCGGCGCCTGCGGCGGGCTGGGGGACCCCATCTCCCCCCCGCATGGACACCCTTTAGGCCCCCCGCCTCCCCCCAGAGACGCAAGCGTCACCGAACCGCGAACGCAGCCGCGGACGGAGTCCGGATCCTCTTGCGTCTTGCTCTTGAGGGGTCCCGTACCACGCGGAATCGACCCTATCCAGTGCTCAAGTGCTCAAGTGTGCTCATCCTCATGGTCATGCCCCCGGGGGGGCGAGCGCTGGGCATCGTCCATTGAGCATTGTCCATATACAACATATATCGACCCCATCGACGCCATCGACGATCGAGCTCTTCGTTTCGGGCCTTTCCTTTTTTTCCAGGGACCACGCAGAATCCAGAAAGGTCCCCACCAACAGCCCCCTCCTCTTCCCCAACACACACAAAAACTCTCCACACCGCGCGGCTAAAGTAGTCCTGACCTCGCGCGTGGCTAGTCCTCGCTACGCGGTGGTTGGCGTACAGATCTGGTCGCCACCGCCGGCTGGCACAAAGTCACGCTCTCGGCCGCTGTCTGCCCGGCCGCGGCCGCCACGGCCCGCCCGCCCGCTCTTGGGAAGTGCACAGGCAGTTCAAGCCTCGTGCATGTCGTCGACGGATCAGGCAATTTGAGCTTCGTGCACTCGACCCACGAGGCCGGCGAGCCCGTCTCTTGGACGCTGGGGGTCGGTCATTGAAGGGCTAGAGCTCGCTGTCGGAGGCGGCGGCGGCCTGCCTCCCATGCTGGTCGGCGGTGCGCGCGTGATTGTTCCGATGGCACGCGGTTATGGCTCGCAGACGGCGGGCCCTCCAGGGCCCAAGGAGGCGCAGTAGGACCGGCTCTAGGCGACAGACGTGCGCGATAGGGGGCCGGTGCGCGTGGCGGCCGCCGGCGCTGCCGTCTCTTGCTGCTGCTTCTCTGCGCGGGAGCGGCACTCGTCGAGCAGCGTGCCGGCGGCGAGGATCTCGCTTGCGATGCTGCTGACGTCCGCGTGCGCATCGACAAAGAATGTGGCCTATAGAGCTCACTCGCCCCGCGTTTGCATCGAGGCGGCAACGCCGGCTTATGCGAGCGGACATCGGAGAGCGCACCAGCCGTGCCGTCGTCTCGGCCGCCTGGAGGGAAGCTGAGACAAGCTCGGCGCGCGCGGCCCGTTCGGCTGCGGACGGGCCGGCGGCCTCCTCCAGCCCGAGGCCCTCGGCCGCGAGCGCGTCTGCGAGCGTGCTGAAGGCATACATCGTGTAGACAAGAAGAAAATTAGGTTTTCAGAATTCTTTTTCCAGGTGGTGACCTGTGTAAGTGCCAGTGCGCGCCAGTCCCGTGCCCAGTGTTGTGCGAGAGAGTGATTGTAAAATTCTTTTTCTTCGGGGGGGCACTGGCACTAACACAGGTACGCCGAAAAGAATTTTCGCGGCCGCTTGTCGCCGCTCGCCCATGTTGCGCCCACACCCGAAAGAAAGAGAGGGGAGCTCGCGGGAGAGGTGACGAGACGAGTGAACTACAGGTAGTGGGGAAGGCAGCCTCGATGCCATACAGACATGGGTGCGAAACAACGACAAGACCAAGGCACCACACGGGCAGAGGAACGAGAGAAGAATATAGGGTGGATAAAGCGCCTGTTCACGGCATGGAGGGTGAGCCACGCCGAACGCAAGGAAGCCGGGGAAGACGACCCCGAGGAGGACGAAACACCTGTGGTAATTCCGTCGTCAGCTGTCACGATGCACCCGAAGGGGACCCCAGCGCCTGCATCATCCGTGAAGGCACGAGTGTTCGAAGCCGAGAGTGGACCTGAGCAACGATATGACTTGGCGGCAAATGATCGCAGTGGGCGTCAGAAGAGTCGTCCTTGCGCGAGGAGAGCTCGATAGACTTCGTGATGTTGTGCCCTTGTTTGTTTCTCTTGGCACCTTGGAGTGCTGGGGGGGCGACAGGAAGAATGTGGCCCTGAGTTATGTGTACGCCAACTCCGGGTGTGTGGCAGCCAGCTGGCATTGCTGGCTGTGTGTCTTGTGAGCTTGTTTGTGTCTGTGTGTCGCTCGTGCGTGTCGTCATCATCTGTCTCGCGTCCACCCATACCGCGTTGGTGTCCAGTCCGAGCCTGGCTGTTCTTCACGTGTAGCAGTAGGCAGCTAGCCTCTGAGGAGGGCGTCCATAGACACCTCACTAGACCCCACACACGGTCTTGTCCGTGCCTCGCCGGCCGGCGAGATTGCTAGAGGTGGAGCAAGCTGCTCTAGCCTCGCATGTTACTCCTGTCGTCTGTTGTGATGTTGTGCCCTTGTTTGTTTCTCTTGGCACCTTGGAGTGCTGGGGGGGGCGACAGGAAGAATGTGGCCCTCTGAGCCCTGGTGTCGAGGTGTCGAGGCCCGTTGTCGAGGGTGTCGAGGGCCTGTCGAGGCCTGTCCGAGGCCTGTCGAGGCCTGTCCGAGGCCTGGCCGAGGCCTGTCGAGGCCGGCCGAGGCCTGTCCGAGGCCTGTCGAGGCCTGTCGAGGCCGGCCGAGGCCTCGCGAGGCCTGTCGAGGCCGGCCGAGGCCTGTCGAGGCCGGCCGAGGCCTGTCGAGGCCGGCCGAGGCCTGTCGAGGCCGGCCGAGGCCTGTCGAGGCCGGCCGAGGCCTGTCGAGGCCGGCCGAGGCCTGTCGAGGCCGGCCGAGGCCTGTCGAGGCCGGCCGAGGCCTGTCGAGGCCGGCCGAGGCCTGTCGAGGCCGGCCGAGGCCTGTCGAGGCCGGCCGAGGCCTGTCGAGGCCGGCCGAGGCCTGTCGAGGCCGGCCGAGGCCTGTCGAGGCCGGCCGAGGCCTGTCGAGGCCGGCCGAGGCCTGTCGAGGCCGGCCGAGGCCTGTCGAGGCCGGCCGAGGCCTGTCGAGGCCGAGGCCTGTCGAGGCCGAGGCCTGTCGAGGCCTGTCGAGGCCGAGGCCTGTCGAGGCCTGTCGAGGCCTGTCGAGGCCTGTCGAGGCCTCTCAGGCCTGTCGAGGCTGATACCATGCTTGCCAGTGTCGAGGGGTGTCGAGGGGTGTCGAGGGGTGTCGAGGGTGTCGAGGGTGTCGAGGATGTCGAGCGGGTGTCGAGTGTGTTGTCAAGTGGCGTCTGAGGTGTCGAGGTGTCCAAGGTTGCAGGATGCAGTTGCAGCCCATCAACAAAACTTTTGGGCAGCAGTTGCAAAGCTGTTTCATCCCTTAGTTGCAGCCTCAGTTGCACCCTGTTGATGTAGCTTGTAGCACAACCTGAGCACAACCAGTATACTCTCTGTGGACATTTGAGGACATCAAGTGCCGGGAGTCATTGCTACTGTGCACATCGATGTGCACAAAGGTGCTGTGCAGGCGCAGCAGCGCAGCAGCGTCGGATCGCCGCTGCAGCGTCTTCGCCCCTGCAGCGTCACCGGCGCACAAAGCGCAACTGACCACAGCGCTCATGGCACAAGGCTGGTGCCATGAGTCAGTGGACATTGCCACTGCACAAGGTGCTGTCCAGCAGCTAAGGGCTTCCCCGCGCGGGGCCGCTCCGGGGCGACCCGGGCGCCCTCCGACCAAACTGCTCTATTACTATCATATAACAGTACCCCATCGCAGCAGCGTCGCCGCCGCTGATGCAGTGTCGCCATTGCAGCGTCGCCGGTGCACAAAGCGCATGTGGACCACAGGTCTGCACTCATGGCACAAGCTCACTGGTGTGAGGATTCATTGCCACTGTACAAGGTGCTGTGCAGCACCTGAGGGCTACCTGAGTACTGCCATGTTTGCTACATCAACAGGGGTGCAACTGAGCTGCAACTGAGCTAGAACTTGAGAGGCTGCAACTGAGGGATGAAAGTACTGCCAGCCAAGTTTGATTGCTGCTGCAACTTGATTTTCTAACTCTGTGACTCCAATGGGTCTACCCGGTACGTCTCTGCTGTGTTAGGATCATCAGAGGTGTCGAGCGGTGTCGAGCGGTGTCGAGGGGTGTCGAGTTGGTCGAGTTGGCATGGGGTGTCGAGGTGTCGAGTCGGTGTCGAGGTTTGGTGTCGAGGTGTCGAGGCCAGGGCTCAGGTGGCCCTGAGTTATGTGTACGCCAACTCCGGGTGTGTGGCAGCCAGCTGGCTGTGTGTCTTGTGAGCTTGTTTGTGTCTGTGTGTCGCTCGTGCGTGCCGTCATCATCTGTCTCGCGTCCACCCATACCGCGTTGGTGTCCAGTCCGAGCCTGGCTGTTCTTCACCTTTCTACCTACCTACCTACCTACCTCGTGTGTGGCGCGGCCCCTCGACGTCTCCTCCTTCCTCCACTTACCTCCTCTTCCTCTGCACGGCACCCCTAGTTTGCCAGCGCACCCTTCGGCCGCACCATGGCCTGCGCGACAAAACGGACAACATGCTCTCTCGGCTTCTCTCGCTTCTCGGCGTGACGCTGCTCTCCTGTCGTATTTTGTCTGCGACGGAGGAGAGAAAGGAAAGAAAGAAAACACCGATCCCAAACGAGGGATGGGGGAGGAGGACAGGGTCCCCAAAGAAAGAAAGAAAACAGACACCCCAAGGGAGGGATGGGAACAGGGTCCCCCCCTTCACTAGCGCGCGCGAATTCTTTTTCTTGAGTCGAGAGAGTCTCTTTATGGAGAACCCACAGACCTCGGGAGGCCAGCCGGTGCCGATGGCCGGCGAGATGTTTGTGCTGAGCCGTCGCGGGCTCGCCTTCACCGCCAGCAGCGGCAGCCGCAAGTTTCAGGCCGGTGGCCAGCTCTTCCTCTCGCCGCTGCGCATCGTCTTTGTGGCGCGCGATCTTCCGTCCCGCGGCGGCGGTTTTCCCCGCGCTGACACCCCCCCCCCTCCCCACGGCGCAGGCAGAGGAGTCGTCCGGGAGCGGGCTGCTGGGTACCCTCTTTGGCGCGTCCAAGGCCAACGTGCTGGCCTTCGACCTGCCGCTCGCGACCCTCGAGAGAGAGAGCTTCAACCAGCCCATCTTTGGCGCAAACAACCTCACGGGCGTCAGCCCTCCGCTCCCGGGCTCGGCCTGCGACGGAGCCGACATTCACTGGTGCCTCTCCTTCCAAGACGGCGGCGTCGGCACCTTCCTCCCCATCTTTTTCGGCCTGCTCGCCGAGATGCGCTCACGCCTCGAGGCTGAGCGGAGCGGTGCGGCCGGTGCGGCGGCCGGCGGGTCCACAGAGGTGCCGACGGCATTCGCAGTCGCGGTGCCTGAGACGGCGGTGGCCGAGGTGGTGAGGGCGGCGTATGTGGACCCTTCGGACCCGACCAAGCTGTACGTCGAGGCAGCTGGCCCGCGCGCGAGGAGGGGCGGCCACAGCTTTCGCGAGTGAGGTGTCGTGGCAAGCCTCGATAACGCCCCAGGCCTCCAGGGTTGTGGATCGGCCGGGGCAGGGGCTGGGCGTGTTGTACTCTCTGGGTGGCTGCCGGGCCGACAGCGGACAGGGCGGGCGCGATCGCGACGCGGACTGCAGAAATCTCGTGCGTCGTGTGAGCTCGTGTGACAAAGTTTACTCTCAGATGGCTAGCCAGATGTGCTCCGAGGTGCGACGTCTCTCGTCTGTGCTCGGCCAAGGCCGACTGCACGCTATAAAGGCGCTACACGCGGCGTGCCGGCGTGACGTACACGTAGGGTTGCCTAACGTTAGGAGCTGAACAGTGTTGCTAGTGTTAACAGTAACAACAGAACAACAGTGGGGCTCCCCAACAACAGTAGCTAACGTTAGGCCGACTGAACAACAATAAGGAAGGCCTACCAGTGACCCACGACGATCTCCAGCGTCCAGCGGTGCGGGTAATATACCCGAAAATACCCGGAAAATCCCAGGTATTTTCGGTTTTTACCCGGTTTTTTTGCCATTTTCTGCTTGCTGGCCGCTGAACAACAGTAACAACAGTAACAAACAGCAACAGCATGGGCTGGGGTGAACACTTGAACAACGTTGAGGATTTCAGCCAACAATAGCGCAACTGTTAGGCCCCAAATTAACGTTAGGCAACCCTACGTACACGCCGACCTCTGCGCTCTGGCTCGTCTTGGCTCTTGCACGAGATCACGCGAGTATATGTGTATGGGCCACGATGATGTCAAATCCTGATTTGTGGAGCTCCCACATGGGATTACCTAGAGAGCACCAGTCAAATATGAGGGGTTTTGACTCCTACCGGCTCCTGACGCTATCCCTGGCAGCTCTAATGACCAGGATCAGTAGTGTTGTGATAGAGGGTGCCCATACTAGCACAGGAGCTGCCACACTCGCCCGGACCCAGTGCTCGATCTTTACCGGTATGGGAGTTTTTGGCTAATCAAACCCAAGGCCTGCACTAATCAAAAAGTGGTACGGGATACCAGTTGCCTCACGGAAATCAAAGCGAGTCGGAGTGCCTTCTTGGTGGCAAAATCGGCAAAATCGGCAAAATACCGGGTATTTTGCGGGTATACCTGGAAAAACCGGGTATACCCGGGTAATACCCGCACTTTTGCATGGTTTCGCCCCCGGGGCCCGGGACAACACCGACAGCCGCTACAACTATATAATGAAAACCCCGCATACCACTTTCGCGTACCACTATACCATACCACTCCAAACCTAATCAAAATATCGCAAAATACCGGTCTCATACCGGTAAAGATCGAGCACTGCCCGGACCGTCCCCTTCTGGGCCCGGTTCCGCAGCCCAGGAGAGCCCCGACAGCGGGGCCGTGCCGCGGGTGCCTACTGCCGAGTGCCACAAACACTGCGCCGCCCCGCCATCACCTACAGGCTGTCTTGTGTGATGGTTGGGATGTCCAAACGCCACCATCTTGGCTCTTGCGACCTCAAACCCACGAGCTGCATGGGTGGTCCTGACGTCGACAGACGCCCGAGGACCACGGTGAAGCTGAGCCGGAACGCGTCGACAAGTCTCGTCTGAGCCCGTGGTGGTCGCCGGCTGAGTCGCCGTGCACGGGTCGGTACCTCAGGCGTCACCTCCGCAGCCTCAGGTCTCAAACTCCATCACCTCCGACGGGACGCCTTCGGTGGCACGCTCGGCGGCGACTTTGTGGCAGCCCCACAGCGAGCGCGGCGTCGAGCCTGTTCGTTCTGGTCGGTTCGCCGCACTCCCTGGGTGCCAGGGAGTGCCGCCGACACGCGAGCGGTGCTTCCCGGCAGCGCGCGCCGGCTGTGGGGCTGTCACAAACAAGTCACTTTTTTTGGACATTTTCGACGCTTTTGGCCCATAGCCCATATACTCGTGCAACAAGCCACCTACACGCTCGCACACCATCACCACTCCGTTGCTGAGTGGCTCTCCCAGGCGCTCAGCCCACGGCGGAGCTAGCGGCGGAGGCACGCCAGGCCCCGGGGAGTCTCGGCCGTCTCTCCTCGCCTTTAAGCGCCTAAGCGGCCTAAACGGGGGTTGCTTTAGGGTGCTTACAGCTTACAGTGGGACTCAGTCGCCTCGTCGTTTTTCTTCTTCCGCGCGCCTATCGTCGGCCTTTTGTCGGCCCCGCCCAAGAGCTCTCGGTCACGCGATTTTTTCAACAGCTTCTGTCTCGCCGGAGCATGTCCTGCCCGACCGCGAGGACCGCCGCCGCCTTCGCCTTTGCTTCTGTCGCCGCCTCGACGCTCGCCTCGGTCGGCCGCAGCTCGCCGCTCGGCCTGCCTCTGATCACCGGCTACCTCGTCGCTGGTGCTGCCGCTGGGCCATACGTGCTCGGGATGCTCACGCACGACGATTGCACCAGCCTCGCCGACCTCATCAACAATGACGCGATGGGCTTCATCGGGTTCTCGGCCGGCACCAAATTTCTGCTGAGCGACATGGAGGGCACGATCCAGCCGACGCTGGTGCTGCTGACGGCGCTGGTGCTCGTGACGTACGGGCTGGTGGGAAGCTGCTTCTACTTTGCCGCACCCTACCTCCCGCTCACAGCCGGCCAGACGCCGGATGTTCAGCTTGCGACGTCGATGGTGATTGCTTGCCTCGCGGCGCGCTCTCAACTCCTCTACACCTCCTCACACCGCAAACTCCACCCACCCGCCCCGCTTGGGCGCACACCGCCGCGAGCATTCCCGCTCGCGCCACCACGCCCACGGCCCGCCCATCACACATCACCGACGCACGCACCACCGACGCACGCACCACCGACTGACACGCGGACACACGTCCACCGACTCGCCCTCCGACCCGTCCGCAGGTCGCGCGCTCTCCCTCGTCCGCGATCGCGCTCATCACGGAGCTGGGCGCGCGGGGCGCCTTCACCACGATGACTCTCTCACTCACGGTCCTGACCGACGTCATCGTCGTCGTCCTCTTCGCCGTCACGATGCTCCTTGTGCACGCGATCGCCCGTCGCCCTAGCATGCGCCAGCGCCCGCCCTCGAGACGCCGCAACACAGCCCCCCCCCTTGGACGCCGCAGCAGGCACCCCCTAGACGCTCCTCGTCGGGCCGCGTCGAGGCCGTAGCTGCCTTCCCCGCCGTCACAGCCCGCCTCCTCCTTCCCACCCTCCCCACCCGCAGGTCGGCGACGGCGGCGGCGGCCAGCCTGGCTGGGTGGTGCTGGCGAGCTTCGCGGCGCAGATCGCCGTCTCCGTCCTCATCGGAGTCGTGCTCGGTTACGCGATGGACTGGACCGTCCGTATGACGGCCGCGCTGCACGCAAAGTTCCGCCTCCACGGCGGCGGCAGCATGACCAGCACGGGCGACCGCCGGTCGATACAGTGAGAGGAGGCGATCTCGGGTAATCTCGGGTGATCTCGGGCAATCTGGGGTAATAGGCGATCGCCGGTCGATCAGCGAGAGGGTGGCGTGCCCCGCCGCGGTGGTGCTGTCGATCCAGGTCGCCATCGTGGTCGGCGGGGTCGGCAGCAGCTGCCCCGGCAGTTTCGCGGACCCTTCCCGGCGCCGTCTGGTAGGTTGCTATCGTGCTCGCCGAGTCGATGCTGATGCAGCTCACCGGCTTTGGCATCTTCGAGTCGGAGCAGTGGGAGGAGAAGACGTGGGGCGGTACCTTCCACCAGCCGCTCATCATCTCGATGGTCGCCGGCTTCACCGTCGCCAACTATACGCCGAGCAGGCTCGCGTCCCGAGAAGCGGAAGACGTGGTCTTGCTGTCCCGAGTAGCGCTCGAGAGGACACGGACTCACGCGGGGCTCTGAATACTCTTGACAATGCCGTCTTCCCGCCCTGATGTCGGCGTATTCACCGCGTAGGCTCGAGTTCCTGCGCATCCTCCACGACTCGTCCGAGGCAAGAGACTACCCGAGACTACCCGAGATCACCCGAGATCACCCGAGATCACCCGAGATCACCCGAGATCACCCGAGACTACCCGAGACTACCCGAGACTACCCGAGACTACCCGAGGCATCCTCGACGACTCGTCGAGGCCATCCGAGAGGGAGAGGGAGAGGGAGAGGGGAGGGCCAGGCAGAGAGGCGGAGAGGCAGGGAGGCAGAGCGGGAGGGAGAGGGAGAGGCAGCGAGAGGAAGGGCAGCAGAAGGGCAGCAGGGGCGGCGGGGCCTCCCCCTCGCACAACGCGTCGGCCGCACACCTCGACTACGCGCGCCTACCCCCCTCCCCCGCCCAGGTCATCTACATCGCCTTCTTCACGCTCACCGGCGCGTCGCTGCAGCTCGACGTGCTGCTCGTGCAGGCGCCCACCCGCCTCCTCCTCCTCCCTGTTTGCATGACCGACTCTCCTCTTCCTCCTCCTCTCTGCTGCATCACCGACCCCTGTCTTCCTCCTCCCTCCCCCCTCCTCCCTGACCTGCCCCTCTCCTCCTCCCTCAAGGCGCCCACCGCCCTCTTCCTCTTCGCCCTCCGCGCCGGAGGGATCGTGCTCGGCGCAAAGGCCGGCGCCTACCTCGTCGACGCGGAGCCGGCGCACCGCGACAAGTACTGGATGACGCTGCTGACGCAAGCCGGCGTCACGCTCGGCTTGATTACCCGCGTGGGCGACGCGCTGCCCATCAGCGGCGAGCCAGCCAGCCTCGCCACTGCTGAGGCAGCACCGCTCTTCTGAGTTTGACGGCTCACGCCAGGCGAGCTCACCACCCTCGTCATCGCCACCGTCGTCCTCAACCAGTTCGTCGGGCCGCCCCTCTTCAAGGCCGCCGTCCTGGCCGTCGGAGACGCGCACGCCGACTACGCGCCGGCAGACGGCGGCAGGCTGGGCGTCCTCGAGTCGTCGCGGCCAAAGGCTCGGTGCGCGGTGATCGTGAGCGCGGCGGGCGACTGGGAGGCAAAGGCGCTCACGCTGCGGCTGCAGCGGCGAGGATGGCGCGTGCTCGAGTGCGGCATGGAGACGGGGTGCGAGCCGCCGCCCCGAGCCCCCCCCCCCCCCCCGATTCTCGCTCGTACTCCTTGACGAGCCAATCAGGCGCGAGCTGCCGGCACGGCAGCAGCGCCGCGTCCCCGGCCGGGGCAGAATCGACCGGCGAGAGCGGCGCTTCAAGCAGGCGCTGCGGGCGGGGCATGTCATCGGTGCCGAGAAGTTTCGCGCGGACGGCTCGGTGCTCGAGCGATCGACGCGCAAGCCGTCGGCGTTGGGCAAGCAGCCGAGCGGGGCGGTCCCGCTGCTTGACAAGGGCGCGGGGCCGTCCTTGGGCGAATGGGAGCTGCAGCTGCTCTGGGCCATATCCTCGCTCGATGCGCTGGACGTGCTCGTGCTGCTGCAGAGGGACGAAGCCCACACCGCTCCCCACCGCGCGCGCGCCAAACCCGCCGCGCCGACGCCCCCCGTCCGTCGTGTGTAGGACGACGACGCCAACTTGATTGCGATGCGGCACTTGGGCGGGACGGCCTCCCTCTTGCCGGAGCTCCTCAAGTGGCAGACAGTGACGCCGCAGCTGCTCGTCGAGGCGGCGGCGGCGGCGCTTGCAGCAGCGGCGCGACCCACACTTCCACCGCGCGCGCCGGGCCGTGACTAGGTGAACGACATTGCGCGACAGGAGGAGTACGAGAAGGCGTGTCCGCCGCAGTTCCGGCTGACGCTCGTCTGTCCCACGCTGGCGAGCCGGAGCTTCGTACGCGCGGCGCTGGCTTTGAGCCGCGTCTCCTTACGGGCTGCAGCCGTGAGTATAGGCGATCCCGAACCTGTTTGCCGAAATGCTGCACCCCGACTGCCACTGGACACTCGAGATTGACAACGACAAGCCGCTCTCGGGGCACCCGGTCGCGCCGCTCGGGACCATCTCCGAGGTGGCGAGGGACTCGAAGACGCTGAAGAAGGCGTCCAGCGACTACGGCGGGTTTGGCGGGCGCGAATCGGCGCCGCCGTTTCAAAACGTGCCCGAGTCGCCACTCGCATCGCCGGGCGACTTGCGCGACCACCACATTTTTGCGACCACATCGCTCGCGGGGACCGGCATCCCAAAGTCGAACACTGGCCTCTAGGCCTGTCGAGAATTGGCCGATCGCTGTGTGAGTCGTGCGCGTGGCCTGACAAGAGAGTGGCACCTTCTTTTCCGCAGATCCATGGCGCGTGTAAAGCCGTAGCTATGAGTATGACAGGGACCGCGGCCGCGGAACCGGCGGCGGACGGGGCTGGCGCGCAAGCGCCGGCCACCGTCGTGCCGCCGGGGATATGCGCAGCGGACCCTGGAATCGCTCCGATCGCGTGCAACCGGGAGCGCAGCCATTCCAACGGCTGGGAAAATTTCTGAACGGCCGTGCATGCGTCTGCATGCCGGACAACTAAGAAGGTCCCTCGCTCCCGCTCCTCTCTCTCTCGGGGAAGACGCGCACCGGCCCGGGGACTCGCTTGCGATCCCGCTCCAGGCAGAGGCCGCGTGAGGCGTGTGGGACGGTGCACGCTGGGGCTCGGGCCCCGAGTGCGCTGGCCTCGCGTCTCGAGGGGAGGGCGGCTCGTAACTGAGGTTCGCCGTCAGAGACAGTCGTCCTCCCCTCCTCGGCCATTCCAACGGCCAGACCGCTCGCTTAAGGCTGATTGGCTAGACGAGCGGCCTACCTCCAACGGGGCGGTCCGGGAACGCGTGGAACCTGCCCACCTCGGTGGGAGGTGGTTTGGCGCCGACGGGCCGCCCTCTCCACCACCCTCGCCCAGGGATCTACAACGCTGTCTTAAGGTCCGACAGGTTCGGCACCGGGCACCGCCTCGGTATACAAAATGCGCCTGCGGGCGGACCCTCACAGATCACAGATCACCTGGGGAGTCCCCCCACGTGATGGCCCTGGGGAGTCCCCCCGCCATCCCACCGGCGGGTATTACCTCTCTGTGCTCGATCCTCCAGTGCGCCCGCTGGCAGCTCGGGCTGCAGTAGCGCGGTGGTGGCGGGCAGTTGGCGCAGCGCCCGCACTTCTTGGAAGCTTCCGATCCACACGTGACACGCCGCCACTGCGGTGAGCGCGGCATTGACGCTACCTCGTCCAGCCCGAGCCTCGAATGTTTCGCGACGGACACATGTGTGTCTAGCACGTAAATCGTTCGGAGATCTTACAAGCTCTCACGCCGCGCGTAGAGCCCTTCGGGGAATAGCCCGTACCATGCGGAATCGACCCTATCCAGTGCTCAAGTGCTCAAGTGCCTAGAGAACACAACCCGCAAACCGCACGCCCAGTCGCCCAGAGCCGGGGAGCTAAGAAGCAATGTGTATCGCGCGCCGTGCAGGGGGGGGGGGGGGGGAAGAGGAAGGAACCTCTTAGCGCCATCGCCATGGTGCTGCAAGCAGCGCCGGGCGACGACGACTTACCGCCCCCCGGTCCCCCCTCGATGTTTGACGACTCGAATCCGTTTTTCTTCCCCGCGCGCGGGTCAATTAGTAAGACTCTAGCCTCTAAAGCCGTACTCCCAGCCCCAGCACAGCACTCAGCAGCCTCCACTCTCCACATGCTGACACTTGTGTGCTGACCCCCCCGCTCTCTAGATATAGAAGTTAGCAGATAGCACGCCAAGGTTGATAAAAATTGAAATGACTAAATTTACCACTATGCACTAATGAGACAAAATTTTCAAATCCTAAAACACCCCACGACCCCTCACGAGTTCGCTAAGACCTAAGTTGTGCACAGTGCAGGTGTACAGGCTACAGCATGCACTGCATGGTTCTCAACGCACGCGAGAGCCGACGTAGAGTTGCAGAACACGTAACACGTATACCCCCCCCTCCCCCCGCCCCCAAGTATGTGCTCTCAGTCCTCCCCCGGAGGGAGTCCCCCGCCACATTTGCCCCAAGCCGAAGCCCACAACTGTCTCACGCAAGTCCTCAACAGAGTGGGGCTCTGGCACAGAGCCACTATGGACACAGCTCAAGCCCTCCCCTCCCCAGCCTCGCCGCCGCCCTCCGAAACGGGCGTGCATCTCTCGGCCGCCGCCGGCCGCACTCGCTTGAGGGCGCGCAGCGGTCGTCACTCACTTGAGGGCGGCCGCGCTCGGCGCGGCGCTCGGCGCGGCGCTCTCGCGGATGACTTTGGCGAGCAGCCGGCCTCGTGCAAGGCCCTGCTCGCGGGAGGCCTCGGAGAGGCGGGTCCTGCGGTGTGAGTACAGCAGGGTAGGGGCGTGCGACAGCGAGAGGGGCGTGACTACGGGGCGTGCGGCGCACGGGGAGACGCCTCGCGCGAAGACTGTGGGCTACTGAGTACAGGCCGAGAGCGTGCATGGCCAAAGGAGAGTGCCGGGTGCGCGTAGCCTCGAGCGGCAGCAAGAGATGGCGCGCGGGGGGGGGGGGGTTCCGCATCTGGTGAGGCGGCTCCTCGCTCGCAACCACAGCAGCGCCGCGGGCCGGATGGGCTTGAGCAGCAGGCCGGCGGCGTGCAGCAGCGCCTGCAGCCCCTCGAGCCAGAGCAGCGCCGCCTATGAAGTAAGAACCGACGATTAAGATGAGCCGGTGCGGCGGTCCCTCAAAGCAGCGCCGCCCAGTCGCTCGAGAAGCGGACGACGTACTCCCGCGAGAGCTGCGGGGAGCAGCCCCCAGGGGAGCGGCGGAATGAGTGGGGGGGTGGGGGGGGGGGGGCAGCTGCGGCGAGGGTGAGAGGGGCAGCAGGGGAGGGTGAGAGGCAGCAGGGGAGGGAGAGGCAGCGGTAGCAACGAGAGCAGCAGCGGTGCGGGGATGGCCGCAACTGTGCTTAGCCGCAAGCAGCGGCGGGTGGCCCACTTCTTTGCGCTCTGCGCGGCGTGGAGCCGCAGCGCCTCGGGCAGGTCTTCGGCCTGCATCGTGGGCCAGTAACTCATGCCCAACGAGTCAAGACTACCAGCATGACTACTAGCGAGTGGGCATCTCCTCTGCGTGCGTCATGAACTCACGCGGCAGTCAGGGGCGGAAGCACGGTCTCGCCAGCACGGACACAAGGGTGGACACAGTGGGCTACGAATACGGTCGCATGCGGCTGAATGCGTGTCGGTCTCGGGGTCACAGAGAGGTCCGCTCCGCATCTAGTGGCCTCGGCGTAGCGCAGGCCGCTCAGCTCAGCGAGCGAGATGCGGTGGCGCCTGCTCACAGCCGCGGCAACTGTGAAGAGACGCCGCCTCGCCGCGCCCCTTCCTCGGCGAGCTGCGGCGGCGCGTGGTGAGCAGAGAGAGCTTGGAGGGTGGCGGGGTCAGGACGAGGGCGCCGTGGTCGTCGGAGAGGCGGAGGAGCCCCTCGGCCCAAGACATGAGCAGCTTGCCGCTCGGGTCCACCACGCTCACCTGAGGCGCGGGACGGGGGAGCCTCTCCACGCTCGCACGAGGTGGTGGGGTAAGGGCGTGCGTGCGTGCGGGCGTGCGCGTGCGTGCGTGCGTGCGTGCGTGCGTGCGTGCGTGCAAGTACGTGATGTGTACGTCGGTTGTGTCCGTGCTGCCTCTCTCTGTCTGAGTGTCGCCCACACCTCCTCAGCGTGCGTACCCTCGCGCAGCGCCGTCACGAGCTGGAGAGGGCGGGTGGCGTCGCGCGCCTCGCGCCACGACAGGCGCGCCTCACGCGCCGCGCCCGACGCGCGGGCCAGCGCCAATCTCGAGCGACTGATCTGCTTCTGCTGCCGGTGCAGCTGCAGCGCGGCGATGGCGACGGCGACGGCGACGGCGACTGCGAGGAGCTGCGGCGGCGGCGCTGCGGCGGAGACCCACACGGCGGGGGTGAGGGCGGCGTAGGAGCAGGCCGGCTCGGCAAGCGGCCACGCCGCCTGAACCACGCCCTGCACCACCACCGCCTCGTGGTCTCCCTTCCAGCATGCGCGTGCGGCCATCCGGTTCCGACTTCCGCGCGAGAGGCAGCGAAGGCAGCCGGGGCCGAGGCAGAGCACCTGCCCGACGCCGCCGGCATCACGCAGCGCCAGCCGCGTGCCCTCGTCGCCCCGGAGCCACCGCCGCGAGCCGCGCTGCTCGAGCCGCCAGGGCGACAGGCACGGCCCACCGTCCGAGGGCTCGAGCCGGAGCGGGCCAGTCACAAGCCGCATCCCGTCGTGGACGGTGATCAGCTCGACGGGAGTGGACTCGGCGGTGTCGCGGCGCTTGCCGCGGGCGGACGCGATGGCTGCAGCAGCAGAGGCGGCTGTGGTGGCTGTTGCGGCGGTGCACATCCACATTGGGGCGGCGGCGGCGGCGGCGGCGGCGGCGGTGGCGGTGCTGGAGGCGGTGAAGAGGGCGGCGGCGACGCGGGTGGCGAGGGCGGTGATGACTGCGGCGACGGGCAGGGCGGCGACGAGCGGCATGAAACGGGCGGCAGAGCGGTGCGAACTGGCGGCGACGGTTGTCGATTCAAGGGCAAATTCACAGATAGGGTGATAAGAAAACAAAACCTCGCATACGACGACAGTGAGGGTGTGAGAGACAGACCCAGGGAAGGTCTTTCACTACCTTACAGCCTTCACAGCCTTGTTATTGAGAAGATAACGCACGGGCCCTCAGCGGAGCTGGGAAGAGGACCGCCGCAAGCGGCGTGGCGTGGAGCGGTTGTGCATCCCTCCGGGGGCCCCTCTGCGCCGGGGAGGCGTTGTTGGAGGCTAGGACGCAAGCGTCCGTCGCCCTTTTCAAACTCGGGGCCCACTGCCGCTAGCGCTACGCTCCGACCCGAATTTGGAGGGCCTAAAAATTTAAGGTGTTGCTGCGCAAAAGGGGTCGGACACCGGGCGCAGCTCATGCTAAGAGCTAGAAGAGGAGATAGAGAGAACAACCACCCTGTCCCGTTATTGCGTACACCAACAAACACCACAAAACGCTCTCTCTCTCCTGTCCTCACTCAGGGGGGTCACAACTACCAAGTCCCTCGACTAGCTGCCACAGGGCGCAGCTGCCACAGGGCGCAGCTGGAGACGCTCCCCCTCAATCGGCATCCACCCCCACCCGCTCCAGCCCCACTTCTGCTGCCGAGAGAGCTGAATCGAAGCAAGCGAGCCATTGCATCTTGGCGTGCTCCTGGAGCGCGGCTTTCTGCGGCCACGAGCACGGCGGAGTCGGCGTCGTAGCGCGCATCGTTCCCGCTCATCGCCCATTCCTCCCGTGACGTGTGTCGGCCGCGATTCGATGTCGCCACCTTCATCGCCAACGAGGACTCCCTCGACTGCAGGGGGGCTCCGGCGCGGGGAGGGACTCCGCCTGCTGCGCTGGCCGACTGCGCCCTCCTCCTCCATGGGATCGATCCGATTCCGCAGCGGCGGTGCTGCGCGGGAGGCGGCCGCGGGCACGCTGGGCTCGATCAGCGGCTTTCCCCTCAGGTAGCGCGAAAGCACGGATTTGGCGGATCTTTCTGCCCATAGGGGTGGTTGAAGGGTTGAGGGTTGAGGCCCCCCCTCAACCATCTGGTTGACGGTTGAGACCCCCCGTCAACCCTTTAGTTGAGGGTTGAGGCCTCCGGGGCCTATTCACAGGCTCGCGCGTGATCACAAGATAAACTGGAACAGCCCTGCCGCCAAAAAAACGCTTCGCCTGCGGCGCGCTCTTGAGCGCAATCCATAAGTAGGAGACGCTCACTGTCGCCATTCAGGCGCCTGATCTTTCAGCAAAGCGATGGCCTACCAGGTACGAGTTCAGATGCGCGCCCGGCAGAAGACGCTTGTGATGCCGCATGCAGTGGGATGCGCAGAGAGAACGGACGGCAAGAGAAGGCAAGGGTAGGAAGAGAAACGGCTGGTGAAGCTCAGCTCACGGCGTAAGTATTGCGGTCACTAACCATCCACGGCAAGAGTCACGGTGAATGCTGCCGCATAAAGCAACAGAGTCGCGCTTGGCGCGATGGTCTTGTCGCGGTTCACGACTTGACGTTGCACACGGTCATAGACGCAGGATCTATTTGGCGAGTCTCAAGCAGCGAAAGTAGGCGCGAGAAATTAATGTCGATCCTGAGATCTCAATTTTGGCGCTAGTTTCGTTTTCTGGTACATCACGACGACTTGCTTGGGTCTCATGTACTCGACGGCTCTTCGACGGCTCTTTCTGTTTGGACCAGACAGTGCTAATCAGTCAACAACGCAATGCCGAGAGCAGGGCGGCCTTAGAGCAGAGGGCGGCCTTCGAGCAGGGATCACCAGGGACGCGTTCCAACCATTTGGGTATCTCTGAGACCTTGGAAGCACGACGTCCTTGAAGACAATGGCAAGTGCGGCCCCCGCCACACTTGCCCTCCTAGTCCTTATGTTATGCGGGGGGAACGGGCACGGGTCATCGTAATACGGCGAAAGAGCGCAGTGGACGCCGACCTCGCAGCACAGAAAACGGTCGCCATCGTATCCGCGATCTTGGAATGCAGTATCGTTGCCGACAACTGCAATCGTTGGCCAGGCACCGTACCATATAGCGTGCAGGAAGCTGTCGGCAATCAATGGATTCACTGCAACCGCCACAAGGCCGTTAGGTGAAGGGATCGGCGAGGTCGTATCCCTCTGGCCCAAACCTTCAGGCAAGACAAGTCGACGCCCGTCGCGCCAGTCTCCGGTCTTGAGAACGGACTGGATATGCCAGCTTGCCGCAGCTCGAATCTCGCCGTGATGAACAGTAAGAGACTCGATTTTGTAGCGGATGTCGATCACGGCCGTTCCAAGATCCACGGATGGGATTTGTGGAAGGGGGTCGTTCATCAGCGGACCAAGGGCAGTTTCAATCCAACTGGAATAGCTGGCTTGGATGAATGGGGCAATAGCGGCCGTAAAAGTATTGGCGAGCGTATTCACCAGTGGTGTAAGCAAAGACGAAACTGCGCTACAGGCAGAAAGTTCCGCTGGGGGCTGGAGGTAGACCACAGAGCTCCAGAGGTTGAAACCGTCGGGCGCTGGTTCGAGTTTGATTTGCTGCCTGCTTTTCTCAGGATCCGAAACAACCGAAACCAGGAACGCGGCGTCGATAATAGGAATAAGGATATGAGCGGTAAATCCGAGGCTGCATTGAAACCCGACGCCTGCGCAGGCTTCTGCACGGACTCCGATGTGTTTGATATGGCCAACAATTCCTGTGGCACGCACCTTAAGTTTGATCTGAGTGCTGTTGACTGCTTCAGCAGTGACTGAGGTCTCCCCGCCTTCTTTAGGGTTCATAAGGTCGGCAGGGAGCTGGGCGAACGAAATTCCCTCGATGCCAGCAAATAATTTTAGACCCAGGCCAACACACCCTCCCAACCAACATTCGCACTTGCCTTCCGCCACCTCCTTCTTGATTTCATTCTGGATCTCCGGGTCGTTGTTGAGGAAACGCATAAGACCGGGAAAGAAATCGTTCGCGAAAGCTGGTGCGAGCTTATCGATGGCGTCCACACTGGCAACAAGATTGGTCGGATGCGGGTCGTAAGCGTAGCTGCTTCCGCCGAGCAGGCCGCTTCCACCAAGCCGGCCGCATGATTCAAGGCACGTATCTAGAACTGTGGTACACGCCGATTGGACTGACGCAGAGTTCTTCGGACCGAAGTTCGCGCCGTGTTGTACACACGCATCCATCCGCATGCCACAGCCGTCTTTGCACGTCATGGTAACAGTGTCGTCGAGCGAGAACGGAGCAGGGTCCAGGAACGAGGACTCGCTGCGACCATCGGCATGGATCGAAAAGTAGCGCTGAGCCCAGGCTTCGACCGCATCCCGGGCGTAAAGAGGTTCCTCTTCGTAGCACTTGTTAGCAGGCGGCCTGCTTGCAAATGTCGTGCCACGTGCGGTGGCTTGCTCAGTCTCGGCCGAGAGCGCGGCAGCGCCAGGCAGAAAGGCCGAGCAGCACATGCCGAGCACTATCATGCGGGATACAAAGAGCATCGCAAAAGTGTTGTGGATCCGGCAGGCGCGGCGGGGGCCGCCCACTCCTTTGGCGCGCAATCACGTGCACAGGGAAACCGCCCGCCGCCAGCTTTTTCGTGATCGCCGCCACTTCAATTGTGTGGGCCCTACAAAAAAAACGGAAACGCGTTTGCGATGAGGAGCGACACCGAGCCCGACGATGCCGACGCTGAGGCGCGGCATATGGCGGCAGGGGTCCTCCGCTAGACGACGCAGCACGCACCAGTTGTTTGTGCCAGTTTTCTCACGGGGGAGAGGCTGTGTGATGCGATGTATCAATGGTAAGCGCAAAGCGGCTACACGACGACGAGCGGTCCGTCCAGCATCCAGGCTTGGAACGGCGGCAAGCTACGGCGCGCGGACTTCCGTATGGATTGGCCCTAGTTTTTTTCTTTTTTACCGGCACGCGAGCGAGCAGGGTCAGACCCTCTAACCAACTCCAATCCGGGCGGTCCGCACCTTCCACCTATACCGTCGCGGCTCATCGCACCCATGCGGCTCATCGCACTGCCGCCCCATCGCCCGCCCGCGGTGTCCGCGCGACGTCGAGCGTCATAAAGGCGCCGCCCTCCGCCCGGCGCAGGCGCGCCGCCAGGGCCTCCCCCAAGCCGGTCCAGGGCGTGAGCACGCCTCCCGCCGCAGAGGGGTGCGCGTCCAGACTCAGGCAGAGCCCCACCTCGGCCAGCATCTTAGCGGTCGCGCCGTAGCCCGGGTCGCCCTTGCCCGCGACGGTCGCAACCGCCTGCGCGCCGCTCGCCGCCGTCGCCGTCACCTCCACCGCGAATGCGCCCTCCTCGAGGAGCCACGAGGGAGGGCCCTCGCCCGAGCGCGGCGAGAGGCTGATCGGCTCGCCGCGGAAGTAGCCGAGGCCGCGCGACGCGTACACCCAGCCGAGGCGCAGCCAGAGCCCGACCGACGAGCACTCGGAGTAGGAGACCTGCTGCGCGAGGCCGCGCAGCGCCAGCGAGCGACGCACGACGCGCGCGTTGATCGGCCTGGTCGAGGCACGGGGCGTAGCGCGGGGAGCGTCAGACACCCCACACCACGGCGGTCAAACGGCGGGGCGTCTCGCACGCCCCATGAAGAAGGGCTGCCGCCGCGAGAGGCCCCAGCCAAAGCCCGTCGGCATCCCGTCGGCGGTGCCTGCCATCAGCTGGTGCCCCAATTCATTAAAAAGAAACCCCGATTAAGAAAGAAAATTTTTTGCAGGCCAACTCGTGCGTCCGATTAGAAAAGTTCGACGGGGAAAAGAAAGATGATTGGTTGTGCGAAGCTGCTCTGCTACTTCCAAGCTGCGTATTCTTGTCGAGTAGTACAAGCCTCAAGCGTCTGATGACTCTGTCAGGACTCTGTCAGGTCTCCATCAGGACTGGCAGCAGCAGTTAGGTCTCTATTATGCTATCCCCGCGCTGAGGCTGGGGAGGCCCGCGGCTGAGGCTGTCCCTGCCTCGTGCATGGCGCCCGCCAGATCACGGCACACGGGGGCCCGTCTCTCGCGACCTTCGAGACGTGGGCGGAGTGTCGAACAGTCTCGGGCACCAGTCGTTTGCATGCTTTAGCAGGCATCGAGCAGCTCCACCAGCATGCCGACGAGCGCCTTGTCGAGCAGGTCGCGCCAGCACATGTGCGTCTCGCTCATGCGCTTGAAGGCGTCGGCGGGGTTGGGGTTGCGGAGCTATCAGCTAAGAAACCACCGCGTTGGGTGGATGAGGGCTGTGGAAAGGCTTTTAGAAACGGCGGCGTGCCGCGGAATCCTGTTTTCTTAATGCCCGCAACCCACTGTACGTTCTAGGCTCAGCCTCACGCGAAAAGAATTTTACCGGCATGCAACTCAAGTGCAACTCTTAATGGTCCAAAACTGTCGCTCATACGCTGTCAAGAAAATTCAACAACAAACGAGCGAAGCTCCCTCGCAGCGGAATGTTGTGGCCCTGCGTCGCCTGTGTGGGGGGGCACACGCGGCCGGACGCAACACGCACGCGCCATCAGTACGTACTAGCGCTGTACCAGAGGGCTACCGGCGCTATCTCAGTGTACATGAGACCAGAGTCCCAGACCCAGACCAAGAAGAGAAAAGTAACGCGGACCCCTGAAGAGATGGTGCCCGCGCTCAGTTGTACCGCTCGGCGCCGCCAAACCAGTCAAAGGGTGTGTCGTCGAGGCAGACGACGACGGACTGCGTCTCGGTGTACTCGTGCAGCGCCTCCCACCCGTTCTCGCGTCCGACGCCCGAGTGGCCGAACCCGCCCCACGGTGAGCTCGGGTCGTTGCGGTGGTGCGCGTTGACCCACACGATGCCCGCGCGCACGCCCTGTGCGACGCGGTGCGCACCTGCGGACTTGAACACGCCGGAGTCAGGGTGTCGTGCAGTGTATTCGGAGCACTGCGTGAATACAAGGGCCCCGAGTACAGCTGAATACAGCTGAATGCGTGTCCTCTCGAGTACTCGTCGGGAAGCGCGGATCTGTCTCCAGCTTCTGGGGGTGTGCACGAGCGACGTCGCGCGTCCAGACCGCAGCGCCGAGCCCGAAGCGCGAGTCGTTGGCGAGGGCTAGAGCGTGCGCCTCGTCTGCAAAACCGACCAGCGTGACGCACGGCCCGAAGATCTCCTCCTGGAAGCAACTGAAGTGCGGCTGCACGTCGCCAATCACGGTCGGCTCGACGAACCAGCCCGCCTAGGCCTCGCCCAATCTCGCCGGTCAGTCTCGGGTCATCTCGGGTGCTCGGCCGGCTCGACCCGACCACCGCCCGCCTCGCACCCCGCCGCGCTCGACCGCACGCCGCCGCACAGGAGCGTCGCGCCCTGCGGCGCCGCGGTCTCGACCAGGGACAACACGCGCCGCATCTGAAGCTCCGAGACGAGCGGGCCCATCTGGGTGCCGGCCGCCATCGGGTCGCCGAGCACGATACCCTTCGCCTTGGCGACGAGCCTCTCGCGGAAGGCGGGCAGCAGCGCCTCCTGCACGAGCACGCGCTTCGCGGAGATGCACGTCTGCCCGCTCGCGACGAAGGCGCCGAAGGCCACGCCTGCGGGGCGTGCCGTGGACACGTTGTGGACGTGTCCTGGACATGCATGTGTCCCGCCGCCTCCCTGAGCCGCGCCGTTGACGGCTTGCTCGAGGTCGGCGTCGGCAAAGACGAGGACAGGCGCATTGCCGCCGAGCTCCATGCACACACGCGCCAGGTTGCGCGAAGCCGCCGCCGCCGCCAGCATGCCCGTCTCGGTGCCACCCGTCAGGTCGAGCTTGGCCACCGTCGCGTGCTCAGCGAGCGCCTTGCCCGCCACGGCGCCGAGGCCGCACACGACATTGAGGACGCCCGCCGGCAGGCCGGCGGCGGTGAAGATGCGGGCGAGCTCGAGGACGGCGACGGGCGCCAGCTCGGAGGGCTTCACCACCACCGTGTTGCCCGCGGCGAGCGCCTGCGCGCATATGTACGGGCGAGCGCCTTGCCTGGGACCTGCCTGGTCTGGCGGTCGCTCTCGACTGTCCGTGGTGCGATGGGGCTCTCAAAGAGAAGGCGAGTGTGTGTGTGTGTGTGTGTGTGTGTGTGTGTGGTGTGTGCGCGCGCTCCCACGGACAAATGGGGGCCCAGGGTGTGTGATTGAGTGTGCACTCTCTTCTCGCTCGCTCTTGAGTTCTCTTCCCGCACCGGCGCAATCTTCTTGAGCGCGATCAGCAGCGGGTGGTTCCACGGCGTGATCAGCGCGCACACGCCGAGCGGCACGCGGCGAACATAGTTGAGGTGCTTCGCGTCGGAGAAGGGCGGCACCTGCCCTTCCATACCTTGCGCCAGCGCCGCAAAGTGCTCGAGCCACTCTGGCAGTCGCGCCAGCTGCGCGCGCATCTCACGCACACACCGCCCTGTCTGCCGGCTCTCCGCCTCGGCGAGCCAGCCAATCTCGTCGGTCAGCAGCTGTGCCGTCTTGAGCAGCACGCGAGCTCGCTGGCGGGGCTGCAGGCCCGACCATCGGCCGTCGGCGAACGCCGCCGCCGCCGCCGCAACCGCCACATCCACGTCTGCGGCCTTTGCGGCCGCGACGGTGGTGACCAGCGACTGGTCGAACGGAGAGCGCACTTCGAGCATCTCGTGGCCTCCGACTACCTCGGCGCCGTCGATGTAGTGCCCGTACGTTGGCTTCATGGGGAGCAGCGGCTGTCTGCTTAGCAGCGAGTCGACTGTCTGCTACAGACCCGCGTATTGGGCCGCAGCCACACCCGATGGTCCTGTTGGTTTTCAAAAAAATCTCTGTTGTTTGACAGGCCGCGAGTCGGTGGGAAGGTTCTCCCATCCCTCCCTTGGGTTGTCTGCTTTCTTTCTTTCTTTCTGGGAAGGTATCAGTGAAAAAAAAACGTCACCGCAGTAGGCACAGGACATGTAGTTGTCATGTGACAGCTCGAGAGACACGGGCCCGAACACGCCATATATCTCACAACAACTCCGACTTGAGCTAGTCCGGCCCAAGCGACCTCCCAGAGTTGGTCTGGCGCATCTGCTGCACCCCGAGGAGAGCGTCCGCGTGCGATGCCACAAGAGTCAACGACTCTGACGATGCGTGAGCGGACTGCTTCCTCTCGAGGGACCCGAGCCTCTCCGGCGAATGCGGAAAGGACAGCGACGCCTCTGACGCCTCCGACGCGGCGCAGTCCGTGTCTGCATCATCGGCGGCAGCCTCGCTCGCCCGCGTCGACGGCCGGGTCGAGCCGACGCTCTCGCTGTCTCTCCTCCTGCCCCGCTGCGTCTTCAGCCCGGAGAAGGTTCGGGCGAGCGTCGAGGTTGGCCAGGACAGACCGACGGCGGGCTTCTGCGCGCTCTGGCGCTTGCTCTTCTTGCCAGCACCGCGCCAACTGCTCACCGGCTGAAAGCTCGACGAGGAGTCAAAGCTGGCCTCCTCAGGCGCGGCGTCGGCCATCTGCGTCCGCCGCGTCTCAAAGGCCGGGCTGCTTTGGAGCAGCACCAGCGCCCCCTTGGCCTCCACCAGCGAGTCGTACAGCTGCCGCGCCGCGGCCGCACTGCCGCAGCCGACGTGGACGCTCCCCTCGGCGGCGCGCAGCCAGAACGCCGAGGGTCCCTCGACGGTGGGCGAGGAGTCGTCCCTGGCGGCGGCGGGGACGGTCGAGCTCCGCCGCGGCAGCGCGCTCGAGCGCTGGAGCGACTCCTCGGCCGCGCCCTCCACCGCCCACTCGAGGACTAGCTCCTCGACCCGGAACTGCATCCCGAGCTGCAGGCAGTTCTTATCGCGCCGCTCGGGGCGAGCCAGGAGGAGGAGGTCCGAGAAGAGGAGCAGCTTGTGCTCCTTGGGCGTGCCGCGCGCGCACGCCTCCCCCGCCCTCGCGCCCGCTCCTCCCCCACGGCTCGTCTTAGGCCTTGAGACTGCCACCTCCGCCTCCAGCACAAAGCGCCGCGATGGTGTGATGAGGCTGGCACAGGCGCCGCGCAGTCGCTCGTGTACCTCTAGCATCTTGACGCGCGACTCGGCGTCCCGAACCATCTTGTTGACGTTGTCCGCCATCCCTCGCACCTTGTCGTTCGCCTGCAAGAGAAGCTCGATGGCGGGGTGGCGCCCGCACTGACCCGTGGCCTTTTTGAGCGCCGCGAGCAAGCCCTCGAGCAGCAGCGGGTAGCGGCAGAGGCGCTGCACCGGCTTGATTAGGCATGCCGCGAGACGCAGGTCGGCAAATCCGCCCGCCGCGCCGGCCGCACCGCCGTCCTCGGCCACCTCGGCCTCGAGCCGCCGGATCGTGGTGGCGAGGGTGCCGCCTTGGTCCGCCGTCAGCTTTGTCAGCCGCTCGAGCGCGGCGAAATAGCCCGAGCAATAGATGGCGTACGAGCGCAGGAAGGGCACGATGGTGAGGAATGCTCGTGCAACCGCCGCGACCGATTCCAACAAGCACGCGTCGCTCGTGGTGGCAAGGGCGCCCTGCAGCTGCTGCAGCAGCGCCTCGTTCACGCCGAGGATGATCTCGCACTTGCCAAAGATGACAGGCACGTCATCGCCGAGGAGCGGCTGTAGGGGTCGCATGTAGCGGTCGACCAGCGTCCGGAGGGCGATGCAGTACGCGCGCTCCGTCTCGAGGATCTCGCGGAGCGCGGCGTCCACCTTTGGCGCTGCGTCCTTGGTGAGCGTCTCCAGAGCCGGAGCCGAGCTCGACTGCGGCTCTGGCTGATCGCGCTCGTCCGACGCCGCACTGTGCTCGTCGCCGCGAGAGCTTGTCCGGGGAACCGTCTTCCGAATCTCGGCCACCATTCCCACCACGCGCTGCTGCATCTCACCCGTCGGGAGTGAGGCGTCGGGCAGAGGTGTTGGTGGCGCTGGCTTGGACCGCGGAGTGATGGCCAGCGGCCGCTCGGCGTCGCGAACGCTTCCTTCGCCAGCGGTATCGTCGTCGACAGGGCGACTGCTGGAGCAGCCCATTGCTTGTGGAAGGCGAGCGAGGCGTCTCGCAGCTGGATGGGTCCCTTGCCACGTGTCACCATCGATGGATACGCCGTCCCTGCCACCATGCCGCTCTCCCCACTCACATAAACGCACAACCCCGGGCCCGAAATCGCACACAGACAGTCAGACATGCAACACGGGGTCCCAGGGCAACATCATAGGAATTCCTACTCACTAATAACTACCCCACGTGAGCTTGCCGCTCGACGCCGCGGTGAGTAGTTCAGGTAATGTGGCGGTTAGAGAGAGTGTGAGAGAGAGTAGCTAGTAATCTTCATAGACTTGCGAACAGACCCAATAGGGCAAGGAGCACGAACCCTGCAGAAAAGATGCGCGGCTTCGCTTGCCTGCTCCTGGTGATCGAGAGCGGCGCGCTATCGCTCAGTACGAATTCGGCGCCGTCACGGGTGTGTCCGGCGGCGCGTGCTGCGCTCTCGCCTCTTCCTCCAGCCGTGCTCTTACCACGGCTCCGCCCGGCGCGCGTGCTGGCGCCGCCGATGGCGTGCATGAAGCGTGCCGACCTGCCGTCGGAGGAGGAGATTTCGGCGGTGCAGTGGCTTGGCGGCGCGGGAGGCGGCCTCGTCTGGAGCAAGCTCTTTGGAGGCTCCCTGCTCTTTGGTGTGCTGGTGCGCCTCCGCCCTCGCTGCCACTCCCTCACCGCCTCTCCCTCACCGCCTCTCCCTGACCGCCCGCCCGTCTGCCTTCGCGCCCACGGCAGGCGGGTGTGCTGGCGGCGCGGGCGGTGGCGCACTCGCACTCAAAGGCGGGCACGTACCTGCGTGAGGCGGGATGGCTGGCGTACGAGCGGTACCGCGTCGCCAGGCGGCTCGCCGTCGACGCGTGGGGCTGGGCGGGCAGCGAGGCGCGCCAGGTGGGCGTGCCGCCGCCGCGCGAGCTGCAGCGCATGGCTGTTGAGCTGCTGCGCCGTGCGGTCACCGAGCTGCGGGCACTCTACAAACGGCCACACGCAGACCTCCCCACAACACACGCGCCCACCACAGGTCTGGGAGGCGTCCCCGTAGGCACTGGACGCGCGGTCGCGCGCGAGCGAACGCTTGCTCGAGCGCCTCGCCCCGGTGCGGCAGCGGCTCGCCGCCGTGTCGGCGCGCGGGCTCGAGCTGTGGCGCGCCTCGCCTCTGCCGGCCGCGTGGTGAGAACAGAATTTAGATGCGCACGCACACGGCAGGGAGGCGGTCGTCTCGTGCGGGGGCAGCCGAGATGCAGCCACCGAGGTGTGTGGCCGCGAGGCGTGGCCGAGATGTGGCCGCTTGCGCTGCCATTCGCTCCACCCTCTGCGCTTCGCCCCGCAGGCAGCAGAGCGGCGTGCCCGATTCGGTGCGCCGCTTCAGGCAGCGCGTGCACGAGCGGCGGGAGGAGGAGGTCCGCCGCCAGAGCAGCGGCGGCTTCTGACCTGCGAGCGAGCTGGACATCCGCTCCTCTTCTCGCCCCTCTACCGCATTTGGCCGTGGGCCGCGCGGGGCTCTGAGCAAAGGGCTCACGCGGCCCTTCGTCGCGGTATGCCTCGTGGGAGAGCGCAGTGGGCTGCTTGCCGTTTTTCGAGGAGCGGGCGCAACCCCGTTTCGGGGCGCAGTAGAGAGGCTTCTTGCTCTTGCTGTCTCCATAGAGCCATTCCTTCTCTTTCGCCTTTGCTGCCTGTCGGTGAGTCTGCGTGGCGACCTCTTAGCGAGTGCATGTGCATGGGTAGGCTCCGAGCTGCGACAGCCGGATTGTACTCTTTCTCGTTCATAGAGCTCTGGATCAATCAACACGGTGACACAACAGACTACGCTTGCGTATAATGCGGCGATAAAACGCGCGCGGACGCCCGCCGGAGACCGCTGTGTGTGTGTGTGCGTATACGGTATAGAGCGCTCTCTTGCGGCATTGGTGTGCTTTCCGACCCAGACACGCTTCATGTCCGCGTTTGAATCAACACTCCACCTGTGCTCTGAAAGTGCTCTGATAGTGTGCCATGGGCAGTGCATTGGACAAGCATACGAGGGGGGGGGGGGGGGGCGGAATGGACTCTGAGTCTCTCACTCCTGGACAATATTTGACAAGCAATCGGTATCAGCCAACTGCAATGCTGGAGGTTGGCGCGGCGTTGCACTCGCACGCTCAGCGGTGCTCTTTGCGTGTGGTGCCGAAGCTCACCCAGCTGCAGCGACGGCGGTCGTCAGGCGAAGTGGTCGGCGAAGGAAAGGGAGTTTTTGCCGCTTGCGAGTTGAGGAAGGCATCGGCTAGCTTGTCGGCGGAGCATTTCCGCCGGACCGACACCTGGTACCCATCCTGGTCGTTAAAAAGGCGATCGGGCAGCCCGTCGAGCAAAGATGGCATCGCAGCTGGCTCGAGAGGCGGCTCGCGGGCTGGGTGCTTGTGCTCGTTATTTGGCAGTCGCTTCGCTGGGCCGCGTCGAATTCTTTTTCATTTACACTTGCGCATGCATGCATCGGTACCAAACCACACCCGGCACACGCGCGAGGCGGTGGGAAGAACCCCTCGCGCGCTCGCTCGTGTTGATATATCTCTCTACAACGCGCCGTTGAACTCGCAGGGAAGAGCAGGTGGGCGCCATGGAAGGTGGTCAGAGCCTCCAGGTGCGGCGGAGAGTGAGCGCCGGAACCTCGCCGGCCTCCGCGCCGGAGCCCGACAGGCCCGCCCACGGCGCCCGCCGCGCCAGAGGGAGCGTGGCCACCGCCTGCCAGTCCGCCCCCTTGTCGACGCGAGCGTCCGAGTAGGTGAGGCGGAGCAGCCGCTTCGCGCCGACGAGCCTCGCCTGCAGGCCGCGGCCCTCCATCACGTGGCGCATCCCGACCTCGCACGTCACGCCCGCTGGCGTGCGGTCGACCTGCAGCGAGATGGGGCAGCGCCGGAAGAGGTTGCCGCGGCCGACCTTGAGGCGGAGCGTGTTCTTCTGCGGCAGCCACATCGGCTGGCAGTTCACCGGCCCAAGGCAGACGAAGCTCGACAGTTCCTTCAGGCTAACGGCGTCCCTTTTGAAGCCCTCGGCGAGCGGCGCGGCGTGGACGCCCTCGCCCATCAGCAGCGCGCGGCCAAGCGGCAGGGAGAGGCGGAGGCGCGAGATGCGAGTGCTGCGGTCGTGCGAGAGCGGGTGCTCGGCCGTCAGGTCGTAGCTGACGCCGGCGGCAACGCCCGACGCCGAGACGGCCGACACCCAGTTGGGAGCCTCGACGCCCTTTTCGAGCGGCAATTCGTAGTCGACTCTGAGGTTAACGTAGTCGGAGGCCCGCTCCCAGGTCGCGCGGCCGCCAAAGGCTCCGGGGTTGTCGCCAAGAAGGTTGGAGGTCGTCAGCTCGAACCGCTTTGCCGCGAAGCCGGGGCTCAGCTGGTGGTCCTTCATTCGGTCGGTTGACGAGCGCTGCTTGGTTCTGCTGTGCAGCTGTGAGCGCTGTCAGAGCGGTGTTTCGAGCCTTTGACGTCGCCCAATCACTCCCCACGTGAGAGCTTTTCCCCCTCCTTTTTTTTTGCCGCTCTCACGTCGCAGATCACTCCCATCCACGCGAGGAACCCACACAGCGCCTCCTCCATATCAGAACGCCCCTCATCAAGCTCAAAAGAATTCTGCAGCCAGGCCGGCACGACGTCGCCGCTCGCCTCTCCGCCTCTCTCCATGTCCGCCTCATCCTCCAGCATGCCCTCGTCGTCCTTGAGGGACCCGCGGGCCGACGCGGCTGCGATGTCCGACGACGAGGACGAGGTCGCAGCGCAGGGCGGCAAGCGGCAGCGCGGGCGCGACGGCGCCGCTGTCGAGGCGCCGCCGCAGTTTGAGCCGCTGAGCGCGCAGGAGGCTGCGGGCGGCAAGTCGGAGTTTCGGCGCGTCTCGGTGCCGCCGCACCGGTACACGCCGCTGAAGAAGGACTGGATGCAGCTCTACACGCCCATCGTCGAGCAGCTCAAGCTCGACGTGCGCATGAACCCGCGCAAGCGCTGCGTCGAGCTCAAGACGTCGCAGCACACGGCCGACATCGACGTGCTGCAGAAGGCGGCCGACTTTCTGCGCGCGTACATGCTCGGCTTCGCGGCGGCGGACGCGGTCGCCATCCTGCGCGTCGAGGACCTGTACGTCGAGTCGTTTTCGGTGACCGACGTCAAGATGCTCAAGGGTGACCATCTGGCGCGAGCGATCGGGCGGGTGGCGGGCAAGGACGGCAAGGCCAAGTTCGCCATCGAGAACGCGACGCGCACGCGCATCGTCCTCGCGGAGAACAAGGTGCACATCCTCGGCTCCTTTGCGCGCATCAAGGTGGCGCGCGACGCCGTCTGCAACCTCATCCTCGGCTCACCAATCTCAAAAGTGCAGACGAACCTGCGAACCGTCTCGAGCCGGCTATCGCAGCGCATGTAGCTACCGCGGGGCCGAATGGGCGAGGTACCAAGTGATGTATATGGTGGTGAGCAGCGAGGCCACACTTCCGCCTTGTGGTTGTACGCTCGAGGGGGCGAGACGAGTCTGGGTGTCAGAGAGCGCGCGCGTATGCATGTAGATGTGTAGGCCTCTGGCCACTACACGGCCGGAGCCGCGTCCTCGGTCTGTGGTCATGATCGAAAAAGAGGTGCGCGTGGCGCGTGGCGGGGGCGTGCCCGCGCGGCCGCGGTGCGCGCGAGACCGAGAGGGTGTCCGCGGGACCGCGCGGGCGCGCGCCGCGCGAGAGAGCGAAAAAGAGAGAGAGCAGAGACGAGTCAGAGCGGAGCGGAGTGAGAGACCCCGACCGCGCGAGACCGCGCCGCGTGACCACAAAAAGTCCACGTGACTCGTGACGATGTGCACCGTTTCATCGACCGCACGAGGATCACGACCACATGGGTGCGCACAGCCACAGGGCTCGTAACCCCTTCTCGTTCTCGGGCGAGAGGGGCCCGGGGCCACACGCACAGCACACGCACCGCCAACGCAAGTGGACAGCGCGAGAGCGCGACAAGGATGTGTGTATGTGACTGGTGTGTGATGTAATAAATAAATAAAACGGACACCTCTACTAGGGGAGATGGGTAAAAAGGAACAGGTCCCCGCCCGTGCGATCTTTGTGCAGGCTTCTTTGTTGATGTATGTAAGAGCCGGATGCTTAGGCCGGATGAAGAATACCGCAGATCGGACCGGCGCCGATCGAGAGTTAACAGCGGCAAAACAGCGGCAACAAAACTAAATCACAGAGTGTGGGGGGGCCAGCTAGGTAGGGGGCCAGAGGGGGGGCCCGCCGGCTGAGAATTCTTTTCGCTTGTGTTACGTGCCAGTCCACGCCCCCCCCCTTGCCGTGTCAGTGTGCACACAGAGAGGCTTAAATTCTAAGAATTCTTTTCCTGCCAGTGCTGTGAGAGAGGCTTGTACTTGGAGCACTTGGGGAGTGCAGTCATTAACCTCACACCCAGGGCCGGGGTGCGGGGAGCTAAGAAGCGCACCCAGGAGCGCTCCAGCGCGGGCCTGGGCCCCCTGGCTTTAAAGGGTGGGCCCTGGGGCGCCTGCGGCTTAAACGGCTTAAAACCTGCCCGGGCAGGTTTTAAGAGCTGCTGGGCCGCCGCGATTCCTTAAACGGTCTTCGCCCTTTTACGTACACATTTCGAGCGAGTGAAAACCAACTCCTGAGCACGGCGCCGCAGGCGCCTGTTGATAGGTCCAGGTGATAGCCCTGGATGGGCAATGCATTCGCCTACTTGGGCCTCAGATCGCCCGACCGCGTCCCGGTGCTCTGTGGTCGGATTTGTGACGCCGCCGCACCGCGCCGCGGCCGGGGGCCCGCCGGAGGACGAGGATGGCCGTGACGGACCGGGACGAGCTCTGGGAGGTTCAGTGTCAGTGAGTATATTGAAGAGACTGACCATGTGCACAATATCTTGACTGAGAGCTAAGCCAGGGGAGGCGATGCCGGGGCCGTACAGCAGCTTAATGGTGCTTCGCCGGCGTAGAAGCGGCCGCGGAGGGCTCCGGGTGCCTGAAAAAGACGAGTTACGTGGGCTGTGGGAGAGTTACTGTCGACTCAAACGACACTGTGGCGTGATCCTCTCATATATGGCTAAATAATTGACCGAGCCGTTTTAAAGTTCCACCGCTACGACTGGAGATATATCGAGATTTGGTCACCATGTCCATGACCCTTATGACGCGAAAGGGTTAAACGCTTAAAAGGTGCGGGAGAGCTCCCGAGGTCGATGGTCCGGGAGGCTCCCCCGGTAGACGCCGGAGGCCGGGAAGCTGGCTACAGTCAGCTAGCACGCGTCCCCTGCGAGTATGGCTCCTGCCAGTGCACCAGACTTACAGATGTGTCTTCAGAGGCGGGTTTGTGCCTAATTTTTGCAGTAACCAGTATTGGAGAAACGGCGACAAATGCCGGTGAGGCCGATTTTCTTAAACGGTCTTAAAAGAGGGACCCCCCGCGCCTGCAATCTCTTAAATGGCAATTTAAGCCCCCAAACCTCCTCATTTCTTAAAAGCTCTTTAAAAAATCCGGCCCTCAGAACCCTAGGGGTCCCCTAAGCGCTAAGGCGCGGGCCGGATGGGGTTGCGGGCTAGAGAGCCCAAGCCCTGGGGGGGCCGGGGTGCGCGTTCGCAGGCATGCATTTTACGAATTATTTTTCGCCAGTCTCGTGCCTAGTGTCGTAGAGTTGCCTGGCAAAGGTTCGATTCTAGAATTTTTTTGTCGGCGCGCCTCATATGGACGCGCGAACCACCGCTGCCCTCCGCAGTCGGGACGCTCGCATCCGCGAGCAGAACATCCAGCTGAGCGAGCAATACGCGCAGCTGAGCCAGCAGCAGGCCGAGGCAGTGGCCGAGCGGCGCCAGCACGCCGAAGAGGCGAGCCAGCTGGTGAGGCGCAACGTTCGCCTCGTGAAGCGCGTCAACGAGCTCGCACGGGCGAGAGAAGAAGCGGAGCGCAGCGCATTCGAGCTTCGAGCTGAGCTGCAGCGAGTTACCGAGCTGTACCACAATACGGAAGAACTCGCCGAGTCGCTCGATCGCCGCCTGCGGGTCGACGACGTCCCTGACCTGGACGAGACGCGGTACGACGCTGCCGCGACGCCGACTCGCACGCTCGTGGGCTTGGAGGAGGGACTGGACTCACCTGCTGAGCCGCCCGCCACGCCGAGCTTCTCCCTGCCGACGCGGCCGCTGCGCACGTTTCAGCGCCGCGGCGGCCTCCACGCACCAGCTCTGTCACTCCTCTCGCCTCTCGTCGAGTGCAGCACGGGCGGCACGGCAGGCACGGCAGACGTGCTCAGTCCGATTCGGCCGGCCGCCGCCGCTACTCGGAGGGGGCGCCCGCTTCACTCGCCTCTGAGCGAGCCGCGCCGGAGCAAAGAGGCGTTGCCCTCGCCGCTGCACGACCTGGCCGCCGTGCCGTCTGCAACCATTGACCTGGCGCCAGCAAGCCGCTCTTTGCGCCTGCCCTTCACTCCGTCCAAGGCGGCGCTCTCAGCCCTGGCCGGGACCACCGTGCCGGCAACTGCAGAGGCACGGGTCCAGGTACTCGCCGACCAACGCCAGTCGGTTGGCCAGTCGCACCCTCGAGCGGTCGTCGCTCCACCACGCAAGGCAGCGAATGGAAGAGCAGGAGAGCCCTCCCTGGGCTCAACGGCGGGCCTGCGTGAAGTCAATCGAAACCTATCCGGCGGTTCCCCAAAGGGGGTCGCCTTTCAGTTCCTCACCGCGTCCGAGAGCGAGCAAGACCGGTTGGCCGGGCGACTCTTCGGGCGTTGAGAAGATCCTGATGGAGAGCTGTCAAGCGGTGGGGCGGAACAGTTTGCGGGATGCAGCGCTCAACGCCGCAAGCTTTTCTTTTGCAGCGCGAGGAGGACTCTGGACAGCAGGTGGAGCAAGGCTGTCTGTGTGAGACTGAGTGAGAGCCCGGCGGCCGCGCGCGCGATGGCCCGCCCGGCCGCCGCGCACGCGAAGCCGCCCCCCACCCCGGGACCGACACTTCGCACGCAGAGACCAGGCTTCCAGAGCTCTTGGCGACAGCGATCGGCGTACCCGTGGCGGTACCGTGTATGTTTTCTGTCTGTCTCGGCTGATCTGTCTGTCCTTCCTTCTCGCTTCTGTCTGTCTGTCTGTGTGTGTGTGTGTGTGAATGTGACATTCATTTGAAATTCATGAGGACTCGGTGGCAGCGAGCTCCAACATCCATTGCTCGGAGATGAAGCCCTCGCCTCCGACCTTGACCATGCGCCTGCCAAAACGGCGATTGCCATGCCACGGCACAGCCGCAGCCGCCGGCGGGCACGGCAGTTCCAAGCGCGAACTTCACGACGACGGGCGCAGACGACCGGCATGGGTGCCGCGGCGAGCAGCGGCAGCGGGCGCAGGTCCGGACGGCGCCGAGAGAGTCAGCCATCTACCTTCACGTCGCTGCTTCGGCGGTGCCTCTGCCTCCCCGAGAAGCCGACACAGCGGCAGAGGCGGCCGCTGGTCCTCCGCGGGAAGGGTTCTCGCAAGGCAGAGCGGGACCGGAGGGGAGGGACGGGGAAGGCGACGGCCGAGGAGAAGGAGTCGCTCACAGGTGGCCGTGGACGAAGCGTGCGCCATGCGCCCCAGGCAGAGATGAGCAAGCCCCTTCGCCGCGCAGCCGTTAAGGCGAGCACGCCCGCGCTGGCCCGCATGCCATCCCGCCCGCGCGAGCATTCCTGTCTTGATCGCAGGAGTGCAGCGACAACGATTCGGGCGTGTCGATCACCCTCCACTCTCAGATTCGGAGCCACGCCATTTCGAATCAGCCGGGGGCTCACGCATCGTTCGGAAACGAGGAGCGTCCGATGCTGGACGAGCGGCCGGCAGAGGGCGACGAGGCGATGAGCATGGTTGGAAGACCAGTGCACACGATGAGCAGCAAGTGGAAGCGCAGCTCCGGGGGCGATGATGCGATGACCTTGGTTGGCCGTCCCCTCTACCCCGCCGCCCGGACCGACGGAGACGACTTAATGAGCATGGTTGGGCGGCCTCTTCACGTCTCGGGCAACAGGTGGAACATCTCGACCGGCCCGACCTCTGAGCCTGTGCCTATCAGCGCGCTCGATGCCGACGAGGCGGACGAGGGGTATTTTGACGAGGCTGATGAGGCCGCTGCACGTGACGAGTCCGTTGCCCGGGCCGACTGCCTTGCTCGTGATGGTGCCTGCGCACTTGAGATTGCGCAAGGCGAGGCATGGGGTGTGCAGATGCAGGTGTCGGCGGGCCTGGGCAAGTACCACGCCGCAATGGCTGCGGCGCGCGAGGAAATCAACCTCGCGACGCGTGACGTTGGCCGGGTCGGCCCCGCGACCGGGCGCAAGTTCAGGCGCTGCGTGTACGACACAGAGCTGGAGTGACTTACATTTGTCGAGAAGGTGGTTGCGCAACCAAGTCTCGCTGTCTCTCCTCAGAGCAGCATCTCAATGGACGGGCACCGTGGAGTGAATCTTGGAGGCGGTGCAAAGCATGCTGCGATCACCCAGTCCTGTGTCTGAGGTGTGTGAGTTGTATGTCTTGGTTTTCTTGCCGGCGCACACATACCTCATACGGCTTTTTACCGAGCGTTATTTGCGCGCCTTCTCTCTGACTCTCTATAGGCCACCCTTAGACGCGGCTGTCCGGCCTGTTGCGTCCTTTCCACACTTTAACCCCCAGCCGTGCTATCTACTAATCGGCGGCAACGGTGGTTTTGGTGGTGGGAGCCTCTGGAGCAAGCCCTCAGCCTCCTCGTCCGCAGCCGAGGGCGCCGGCCCCGGGTCAGGCGCTACTTTCGCAGTGCTTCGCGCTGCTGCGTCTGACCCACTCCCAACGGCCTCTTCCGCCACCTTGATGCCCAGCTTCTCTTTCCTTCGGTCGCACACGTAAATTGTATCCATCGACACGGCCAGCACCTGGCAGGTGGAGGACGTGATAAAGAAGGCGAGCAGGAAAACAAGAACGCCAGCATAGACTGGTGAGTACTCGGCGACGTAGTCTGGCAAACTCTGCAAATAAAAGAAGGCGCTCACAGCGCAGCCAATGGGCGTGGTGAGCCCGATGAGCAAAAGAAGCAAGCGCTGAAGCACGGCATTGACGATGGTCTGAGCGCCCAGTAGACCAAATGCCTTCTTGCAAGACCAGCAAAAGCCGTCCCCCTCGACCGCCACGTAGATGAAGCCGTAAAATGAGATGAACGAGACCGTCTTGGTGATGCAGTACACGCAGCACTGCAAGCACTTGACAACGAGCTTGAGCAGTCGTTGCCGCTCAGAGGCGCCGCTTTTCTCGACCACGTATTCTAGCGCCTGCAGTGCAAGCTGCAGCAGGTTGCAGATGGCGATGACGCCCGCGCCAAACGCCATGGAGCCGAGATGTCGAGACAGCACCGTCCACAGCGACGAGCCGATGGCGCACAAACCGAGAGACGGGCACCCCCTGCAGCATGGCTTGGCGGGATGCCGAATCTGCTCGGCGTACCAGGCCGCAACGACACCGGCCATGGTGGTCCAAGCAACAGCGCGCACCGTCACGATAAACCAAAGGGTGAGGAACAGATGGATCACCACGAGCGTGGCCCTCGCCCCGAGGCCCCGCTCCTCCCAGGCGTAGTAGATGAAGTAGAGGCCGAGGACACCGTAAGTGAGTAGCGCCGACTGCGCCAGCATCCGGCCGAGGGGAAAGAAGATGATGGCCACCGCAGACTTGAAGATCTTGGTGCACCGCCGCAGCACGCTGATGAGTTTTTGGATGTAGCGGGCGCACAGGATCAGCACAATCACATTGATGGCAACGAGGATGATCTGAGCGACAGCGAGGATCGTCCAGAGTGTTTGCGCTTCCCCGGACGCCGCCGTGGTGTAGGCGGAGGTGCCGTTGTACACAGAGTCGAGCGAGGACTGGGCAGACTCTAGCAGGTCGGACGTCGACAGGCTGATGCTGGTCCCGTTGAGGGCGTCATCGAGCGCATCGGCTGCGGCGTCGAGCCAGCCCGCCCGCAAGGCGAAGTAGATGGCGAGCAGAATCATGAACAGCACCTCGGCAATAATCAGACCGACGATGACGGGGCCAGCAAAGAGCCACAGAAAGAGGGGCCAGACGAACGCGAGGGCCAGAGGCACCGCCACTCCAAACACGAGGAGGGCCACCAGTCCATCGCCTGTCCCCACGCCCTCCACCGCGCTCACAGCGCTGCTAATTGCTCCCGACAATGTCGCCAGATAGGCAGCGGACTCGTCGGTGCGGTCCACGGGCCGGTATGTGCGAGCGTCGTTCATCGCAAGCTCCAGGTCACATGCATTGCGCTGCTCGGAGCAGTCCGCGTCAGGCGTACCGTCCGCGCAGAGCTGCCAAGCAGAGCTAGTCTTACTTAATGGCTCGCCGCCGCTGCTGCTGTCATCGGGCGGTGGCAGCAACGGTGGCGGCGGCGATGGAGGCGGCTGCGAGGGCGGCGGCGGCAATGGTGGCAGCAGTGGGGGCGGTAGAGACGGCGGAGGCTTGGTGGGTGGCGGCGGTGCCGGTGGCGGCGGCGAGGGAGGGGGAAGTCCAGGCTGAGGTGGCGATGGCGGCGGCGGTGAAGGAGGGAGAGATGGCGCTGGAGGGAGCACGGGCGGTGGGAGCAATAGCGGCGGCCGCGAGGGCAGGGGTGTTGAGGGCGGGGGCGCTGAGGGTGATGGCGATGGCGGCGGCGGTAAGGGCGGCGGCGGTGATGGCGGCGGCGGTAAGGGCGGCGGCGGTGAGGGCGGTGGAGGTGAGAGCGGCAGCAGTGGCGGCGACAGGGACGGCGGGGGCAAGGTGGGCGGCGGCGGCGGCGGCAGTGGCGATGGCGGTGAGGGAGTCGGGACCACCACATCCTCCTCCGCATCTGGCGCGTAGCACGCAACGAGGCCACCGAGCGAGCTGACCAAGGCAGGATCGGTGCAGTTCGGAGATACGCAAAGCGCGACGGCGGCGAGCGCCTCTGCGGTCTGCGTCGGGAAGCAACGCGACGCGATCGAGGTGGTCGCATACGGGTAGAGCAGCTCGATCACCCCCTCACCGTCGGAGGTTGGGTATTCTGTGCCCCCGACGACAGTTGGCTTGTTAAGATCGAAGGTCTCTGGGCACGAGCTCACGCAGAGTCGCTCTGGATTGAATGCCCATATCGCACCAGAGGCGAGTGTTGCGCTCTGGCTGATGATATCGGACTCGAGCCGCGGGTAGATGACGGCCGCCATGTCCTCGACTGCGGTACCCGGCTTGCCACAGAAGTTGCCGTGCGAGTCGCTTGGATATATAAGGGCCTCGAGCAACGTCGGATCGCGCCGTATAGAAGCGTACGTGAGGGCCGCAGAGAGACCAAGGCCGGCTGCGAAAAGAGCGAGGCAGAATACGTCGGTGCACCAGCGTTTGCTGCGAGGCTCGAAGAGTGGCTCCTTCTTTTCGTCACCCGGCTTTGCATCCGTCGGACTGACGTCTTTCTCCTTCTCACTAATCGCACCGTCCTCTCTCTCGGAGCAACACGAGCAACGGCGGCACGCCATGATGCGACAACCGTCGCATGTGTAACCGTGGGAACTTCGGCATACACTGAGAAAGAAGAGAAAATGAAACTCAGGTGCGCGAGTAGGCGTCCAGAGAATTCTTTCTGTCCCGTTCCAATCCCAATGTGCCCGCCGCGGTGATCATGGCGCTACGCGAGCTGCCAACAACATGCACGGTCGTGGTTGGGTTGGAGTCCTCAGGCACGCGATATGTCGCACGCGAGCTCTCCCGGCTGCTCGGGGACAACTGCACTGCCGGAAGGCAACCAAAAGGACCCCGCGCCTCCGCTTGGAGTGCAGCGGGGTGTGCTTGGGACGGTGAGAGGCCGCCGTGCTGGGAAGGTCCCGATCGGCAGGTGGTACAGCATGTCTCGCTACCTTTCGGCGGCTTCTGCGGCTCGGGGACCGCGTACGTGTTGCAGCGTACCTCCATCTGTCACGGGAGCACGGAGGCCGGTCGATGGTTCCTCAACCTTTCTTCTCACCTTGATCAAAGCAATTGCCGGGCGGTGGTGGTGACGCGTGAGAAGGTCTTCACCCGTATCAGCAAGGTTACCCAGCACTGCCGCACCGATGTGCAGAGGAATCGCTCGGCCACTCTAGCAGCCGCCAACGCGAGCACCAACCTCTCCGCCGCCAAGGTGGCCGCAGTGCGAAGCCTGCGCAGCGACGCGGTGCGAGAGGAGGAAATTGGGAGGCAAATCCTGCGGGAGGCGATGGCCAGCGCTCCCGATCGCATCTTGGTCGTGCCGTACGACGAGCTGGAATGGTTGCGGGAGCACCATTGGGGTCGCATTGGGATATTCGTCAGGGGCGCACCATTCACGGCCGGGTTGCCCAGATTCCGGAGCGCAAACAGAAAATGGCTGATTGGCGGCAGGCAGCGTATGGACGACATGTTGGAACTCTCGGCGCCGCTCAGAGAATCTGGCATCATCAGCTCGGCAGACTTGCAAGCGCTTCCTCGACGGCCACCGACGCGCAACAGCAGCAGCATCCAGCGTCGAGGGTCCCCACTCGCCAGGTTTGGGCGACAGCACGTGCCAACTAGGAGGGTGAACGTGAGTAGAGCGCGCGGCCTGTCTCACCGCAATCACCTCGTCGCAGTGCGGCTCATGGTTGGAAACATCAGCGAAGCTACTGTTTCTCGGCGGTCCACAGGGGCCGCCTTGAGGCGGTGGAAGGATCTCAGCAGCGAGGCTGCGACGGTGTCTGCCAAAGCAAGGGCGGCTCAGGCAGCCGCGACAATGCTGTCGGGGTGGCTAAGGCAAAAGCGGCTCAGGGCTCGGTCGGAGATCATTGCTGCGAGTGGGCAGCTGAACTTGAGCCATTCTGATTTGGTTGGGTTGACTGACGCGGTTGCAGATTCGCCAGTGATTAGCCGTGCCTCGGTGAGACTTGCACTCGAGCGCGTAAAGTCTGGACGACAGCGCCAGACAAAGCAGCGCTCGCTGGTGTAGTGTGTTCTCAAGACTCAAGTGTCAAGATAAAACTCTGTGGCGTGTCTTCGAGCGCTCGCGGCCGGTGGGACGGCGTTTGTTTGTTTTTAAATTAGAAGGTGCGTACCTAGGTACTCTAGTACTCGAGCCTCGAGGACCAAAATCCACAGTCTGGGATTTCGCGCAATCACTTGATTCTGAAAAGCTCCGCGAGTGTCCCGTTCCGTTTTCTCACACATCCATAAACTCACTTTGGCCTCACTGAAGCGATGCCTCAATCCTTAATCCTCGGATTTTAGATTAGGACGCACCGCACCCTCATTTAAATCAAAGTCCGCGCGATCGTCCAGTTCCGTCACGTGAGGCATCGCACAACTCACTGCCGCCTGAGGACGTGCGCGCACGCCATGAGCGCCCCGATCATCAAATGGTGCCGCCCAACCTTCGCCCACGCGGGGTCGGCCGAGACCACCTCAGCGAGCTCCGCCTTGCGAGTGGTGAGGAGCACGGCGCAGCCTCCCGGCCGCAGGACGCGCCGCCACTCTCGCAGCGCCGCGGCATACAGCCCCTCCCGCCGACCGTGCTTCCGCCCGAACGGCAAGTCGCTCAGCACGGCGTCCACGCTGCCGTCGTGAAGAGGCAGCCGCGTCGCATCGGCGTGCATCAGCAGCAGAGGCAGCGCCCCTTGCCGGGCTGCGGCATCGGCGTTGGCCGCCGCGCCCTCCAGCTGGGCGGCGTTCCGATCGCACCTGCAGTACAAACACGGTGCGTTTCGCACGGGCCGCACACACACAGTGCGGGCAGCGCGAGGGCGGCAGAATGCGGCTGGAGATGGCCGACTACGCGCCTTCCCGCTGGCTCGAGGACGGGGAGGTGTGTAGAGCATCTACTCTCGATGGCCCGACACACGCGGCCAGCGGCTGCAGCCGAGCGGCTTCGAGGAGGACGCCCGCTCTCCCACACATCGGGTCGAGGACTCTGCAGCCCGGCCGCAGCTCGGCGAGCGACGCGAGCGCCCACCCTATCGGCGGGTGCAGCGCGGGAGCGACACAGTAGCTCCTCGCCTGCGTCGTGAAGACACCGAGCTCAGGGCGGGAGGACGGTCTCGGGCCGTGTGCTCGGAGCACAGCGTGAGTACGAGGGAGACGAGTGCGATGAATTCGGCGGAATGCAGCGGAGGGCGCGTCTCCTCGAGTGGTAGCATGAGCACGGGGTTCGGCGTCCGCATCTAGAGCCCTCGCGCTCAGCCGGCCAGTCGTGAGCCGGCGGCACTCTGTGTGGGCGGGGAGCTCGACGACGACCTGCGCGCTGCTCCACTGCAGAAGTATCTCGAGCGCGTAGCCGCGCGCCGTGGCGCAGAAGCCTCCCCGCCTGGCCGCGGGAGCGTCGTGCCACGTGTGCAGAGGTGTCGCGCCATACTGCTACCGCTGCTACTCCGTGGCCTGGTCAGTGCAGGAGGTGCGGAGGAGTCGCGCCATACTGCTCCTACTACTCTCTGTTTGTTTGCCTGGCCGCGGAAGCGTCATGCCAAGCCTCGGCCAGCATCCGCCCAAGCTCCTGCCGTGTTACGCCGCCTCCATTCTCCGCGCCGCCACGCCGCGCTGTCACTCGAAAGGGGACGCTGCTGGCTTGAGCAGCCTCGGAGGCAGCTGTCGGCACACCATTGACTGCGGCTCGCCAGGCCTTCTCCAGCGCCGCTGACTGGGGAAGCACCTCCCTGGCGAGCAGGCAGCGGAACGCGTCTGAGAAGGCCTCGTCGCCGCAAGGCATGCGCGGCATCGGCGAAGCCCAGCAGAGCAGGCTCACACACTCGGCAGAGCGCAGCAAGCGCACTGCGGCGAGCGGAGCGGCCGTGCGGAACGCAACCTTGCCCTGAAGTACCGTGACGCCAGTCGCCGCGAGCGACTCTGTGACTTCCGACGCCGCCAGATGTTCGAGCCCGATGCCCACATGGATGAGATAGTGAGAGCCGTCGCCGTGGAGTGGGAGAAATCGCGGGACGAGCGGCGGACACGGGCTCTCTGTCGGCCAACGCGTTGCGACGAGGTCCGTTCGGCGTCGGCCGGCCGCCGAGAGGAAGCTTGAGCTCATGCGGCCGACGCTTACCTCCCAAGCTCACGTTCTCCACACCAGCAGCCAACGGCCGAGCTGGCGCCCAGCACAAGGCGGGCAGAGAGGCAATACCCGGGTATGGCTCGAAAGTACTCGAAAGCTCGAGGGACTCTCTTCCAAGGTACGGTTGGGGGGGAGTGCACCGCCGGCCCGGATACAGTGGCCGCCACTGTGTCCTGTGAGCTTGTTTGTGTCTGTGTGTCGCTCGTGCGTGTCGTCATCATCTGTCCAGCGTCCACCCATACCGCGTCGGTGTCCACATACATACATACGAAGAGAGAGACTACCGGCCCCAGCTTCGGCTGAGGGCTGACAAGCTGCCGAGCCCAAATCACTGTGCGAGTCGTGATTTCTTGTTGGTTTTCTAAAATCTCTCTCTCTACATACGCCACTGTACGCACTTAGGCGGGTTCTGCTAGAGGGCTACCGTAGAGCCGTACTGCTTATGTCATATCGCCTCTTATCAGGCTTATGGCCTTATGTAGCAGTAGGAGCCTACGCATTCGATGCGGCCCGGCCACACGGTGAGCACTCGCGCTAGCTAGCGCTCGCACGGCACCGGCAGCCACCGGGTTTCCGGGACTTCGAAGGTGTATCCGTTCTTCGGCGTTTTGTCGTCTCTCTCTCTGAATCCCCCATCCGTAGGATGTAGGAATAATCAATAAAGCCGTACTCACCGCGGGGAATGTATCACAGCAAGAAAACAAAAAAGCGCCCAAAAGCCCACGGCGGCAGCCGGCACGCGCGCACGGGCGCCCCGCCTCTCGCACCGTCAGGAGAGCAGGTCGCCGAACGGGTCAGCCGCCGCGGGCGCCGCGCTGCCCGGGCCTGGCGCCGTGGCGGGACTCGGCGCATCCGAGAACGTCGCCCACTGCATTCCACCCGGCGCTCCTCCAAGCATGCTGCCCCCGAAGCCGCCCTGCATCCCGCCCTGCATCCCGCCCTGCATTCCGCCCTCGAAACCGCCGCCGCCACCGAAAGCGACCGGAAAGGCCGGCGCGGTGCTGCTGGCAAACGGGTCAAACGCGGTCGATTGCGCGGGCTGCGCGGGCTGCATCGGCGCCCCCATGCCCGCGGCGGGGAACTGCGCCGGCGGCATCGCCGCCCCCATACCCCCGGCGGAGAACGCCGGCGCGTCAAACGCGGCGCCTGCCGCCGGAGCGCCGCCCGCAGCAAACGCGGGCGGGTCAAACGCCGCCGGAGCGCTACCGGCGGCGAACGCGGGCGGGTCAAAGGCGGCCGGCTGCGAGGGGGGCGTCGCGGACGCCGCCGCCCCCTCGGCGGCGGCAGAGAAGCCGAACAGCTCCGAGAGGTCAAACTCGTCGGCAAAGGCGGACTCTGCCGACGGCAGCGGCGGCGGAGCGCTCGCGTCGCCGTCGAGGTCGATGGCGTCGAAGTCGATGAGAGACGCCTCCGCCGCCTGCTGCGCCGGCGAGGCCGCGCTCTCGGCCGACGTCCGCTGCGAGCTCCCCGCGCTCCAGTCGAGCAGCGCCGTCACCGGCTTGTGGTCCGAGACGAGCACTCCTGCACGGAAGGTCCGGGGGAGGTTCGGCGAAGGGCGAGGGACGGCCGTGCAATCGGAGGCGCGCGCGCGCCCTGGCATGCGACGTACGCGACCGGCTTGCACGCGGCGCCTTGCGGCTCGAGCCAGAGCACGCGGTCGCAGTACGACGGGACGCGTTGTTTTTCAGACGAGTCGTACCTGAGAGCGGAGGGAGGGAGGGGGGGCTGGGGAGGGGAGCTGGAGGGGAGAGGGTTGGCGCGAGGGGCAGGCGAGGGAGAGGGGAGGGGGGGGAGGGGGGGGGAGGGGGGGAGGGGGTAGGAGAGGGAGGGGAGCTGGGGGTGGAGGGAAGGGAGATGCTTACCGGCTGGTGCCAGCGTCGTACTTGTACGTCGGCTGGAAGTCGATGCTCGCCTAGTCTCAGGTACTCTCGGGTACTCTCGGGTACTCTCGGGTACTCTCGGGTACTCTCGGGGCGCTCTCGGGTGCTCTCGGCTGGAAATCGATGCTCGCCTCGGCAAAGCCCTGGAACGCGAGGCCCGCCCGCTGCTGCGCGCGCAGCTGGTCAATCTGCAGCAGCTTCCCCCACTTGCCCTGCGCGACGGCGTCGCGCACGACCTGGTTCTGCTCCTCCTTTGCGCCGCCCGGCTCGAGCCGGTAGTTGAGGTCGCCGGCGAAGACGCACAGGTCGTGCTCGAGAGGCGACGGGAAGGGGCCGCCGCGCAGCCGCTCTCCGTACGCCTTTTGCAGGCCGGCCACGATCTCGTCAAACGTGTCGTTGCGCTCGTCCGCGTGCGAGGCTCCCGCGGGGAGGTGGGCGTTGATCAGGCAGAGCTGCGAGCCGTGGACAGCCATCCGGACGGCGGTGCCGCCCTTGTTGCCCGCGCGCGCGTCGCCGACGCCGAAGCCGCACTTGATGACGTCGGCACGGACGTGCGTCACCGCGCTCACCAGCCGCGGGTGGACGTACACCATCAGCAGCACACCGACGCACTGCTCCATGCCGACGGCGACGTACCGCTCGCCGTGCAGCGACGTGAGCACAGCCTCGACCCGCGCGGCGCACTCCTTGCGCCGGCTCACGTCATCGCTCAGCACGTTCCGCGCGGTGAGGTCGACAAACTCCTGGAAGCCGATCGAGTAGATGTCCGGCACCGCCGGCTCGTGCTGCGCGCCGTTGCGGAACCACTCGCTCAGCAGCGCCTCAGAGCAAACCTTGCCGTTGACGTTCCAGGTGCCGACCCAGAGCCGCACCCGCGCGCCGCCGCCGCCGCTGCTGCCGAGGGTGCTCGAGCGGCGGAGCGCCGCGGGCGCGACAGCGCCGCCGAGCAACGACTCGATCGCCGCCTGACGCCCGTCCTCGAGGAACGTCTCGTGCACGTACCGGTTGACGGCGATGCGGCCCTGCTGCACGGTGCCCTTAGCGCGCTCGATGAGCGACCGCTTGCCCGAAGCCTCGGGCTGCAAGCTCGACGCGCTGCCCTTGCCGATGTTTGCGGTGCCCGCGTACTGCATCGACACGGCGTCGCCCGTCGTGGACCACATCTGCTGCAGCGAGGCGAGGAGCGCCGGCTCGCACGCGCGCGCCACCTGCTCCGCTGTCGAGCTCAGCGCGAGGGCGGAGGCGAGCTCGCGCAGCTGCGCCGACGCGGCGTGCAATCCGAGGGCGGCGAGCATCAAGTTGGTGCGGTTGAGGCAATCGAGGCAGTTGACGCGCACCAGGCCCTGAGTCCACAACAACAAGACCATCCTGATCGGGGATCACGACTACGACCACTCAACTAGTACCACCCGACCTGCTGCGTCCGCCGCACCACCGCCGCCGCCGCCGCCGCGCCGCCGCGCCGCCCGCCCGACGCCAGCCGCGGCCCCTGCGCGACCAAGTGGCCGATGGAGCGCACCTAAAAGACGACACGCGCGATCGAAAGAGTGTGTCAAGAAGAGCGTCGCCCTGGTGGCCGAGGGGGCGCACGTCGGCGGCGAGGTGCGCGACGCCCGCCTTGAGCCCGTCGGCGCGGCTCGACCTTGACGCCTGGCGAGATGCAGCCAAGATGCGGCCGAGATGCGGCCGAGATGCATCCGAGATGCATCTTTGACGCCTGGCGCAAATCGAAGGGGACGTACTTGATCCGCTGCCCCGTCGGCACGCTCACGCGGGCAGCGCACTCGGCGAGCGCAGCGGCAAGGGCCGCCTCCTCGCCCTAGGCAAGGTGGGGGCAGGGCAGGTAAACTTCTCCACACACACAGGGGCGGTGGGGCAAGGGCCGGGCAGCCCTCGCGACTCCACGTCTACAGACAGGAGCCCCGTGGCATGCAGGTATGGTGAGATCTGGGGAGATCTGAGGAGATCTGGGGAGATCTGGGGAGATCTGGGGAGATCTTCCGCATCTAGCAGCCAGCGCCTTGGCGTCGAGGAGCGAGACGAGGAGGGCGGGAGAGCCGTAGGCGGCCAGCTGCTGTGCGACGTGCCGCTGCAGCGCTGGCAGGCAGAGCGCGGCGTTCCGCGTCAGCTTCGGCTTGGTGTTTACCTTGATCGTCGACGTGCGCTGCTCCCAAAACAGCGGTGCCGAGCCGCGCACCTGGACGAGCGACGCCATCGCCCCCTCCGCGCCGCCTCGCAGCTCGAAGCGGAGGGACTGCTCCGTCTCGACGTAGTTTGCGGTGTGGCCGTCGTCGTTGATCCCGCGCGCCTTGAAGCGCGTGCCCGCGTGCTCGCACGACCGGCGTGAGACGAGGCACGCCGTCATCGAGACGCCCGAAAGAGGCTCGAGCGGCTCGCAGAGGAGCGCGCCGTGGACGATCGGGCTGAGCCACGGCCCGATGCCCGCCTCGACGAGCGGCTGCAGCGCCGCGCCGTTCCACACGAACCGCCCCTCCACGTGCTCCCACGCCAGGGCCTCCTTCCCCGCCGCCGCGAGCGCAAACTGCCGCTGCAGCGTCAGCGTCAGCGGCGCCTGGTGCGAGAAGAAGAAGTCGCCGGCCTCGAGGAGCTCCTTGAGCTGCAGCCGCTGCTTGGTGCCGTCGGCCGGCCCCGCCGCGTCGGCGACCGCGCCCGCCGCGCCCGCTGCAGGCCTCGCGTCGCTCGCGCCGAGCGACAGAAAGCCGACCTTGGTCACCGCCGCGGCGCGCACCACGCCGTCCGCCGAGAGCACCCCGCGCTCGGCGGAATCGGTCACGATGACCAGCGTCCGCTCGTCCGGAAATGAGAGCACGCCCACCAAGGCGTGGACGACGCAGGAGCGCGCCCGTGCCTGAGCGGGGCCGATCAGCCTTTCCAGGTCCGAGGGCGACACGACGCGGATCTCGCGGCTCCGACGGCTGACAAGAAGGGCGGCGCCGTGCGAGCCGGTGAAGACGTAGCACGAGTCGTCGGGTGAGGCGTAGAGGCGGCCGAAAGCCGAGTCAAGCATATCCGTGTTTATCGCAGGCAACCGGGAAGAAACCAGTGCTCTTGGAAATGGGGAGGCGGTAATAGCTGTGTGGTGGCGGCGTGCCGTCCTCCCATCCCTCCCTTGGGTTGCCCGTTTTCTTTCTTTCTTTAGGCGGTAATAGGAAGGTATCAGGGCGTATGGGGTCAGTCGTTCACCTTGTCCTGCCTGCAGCCTCGAAAGGGCGGGGCTGTCCCGGCACCCGGGAAGCCGGGCAGCGTGACGCCGCCACCTTAACCTCCCATACGTGATTGAGGCTTCTTCCTCGGGCTGTTCCATCTCCTCGTCTCTTTCCCACCTAGGCGGGGCGGTGGGGGCGGCGGGCGCGGGGTGCGGGGTGCGGTGCGGTGCGAGATTGTGTGTTAGTGAGTGTGTGTGCAGCGTCATGTGTCCTGAGGGAGGGTGTAGAGGATGTAGAGTGTAGAGCGCTGTAGAGCTGTAGAGATGTAGAGCGCTGTAGAGCTGTAGAGCTCTACATCCGCCGCGTGACGATGCGCCTCCGTTGTAGAGCGATGTAGAGCGCGATTTTGCTGTAGAGTTTGTTGTAGAGGCTCTACAGCAAAACCGCCGGGAAGGCAGTGACTCAAAAAGGTCGAGCCGCGCTAATGGGGTGTCTCCGAGCTTACTGGAGCTCTGATGGACAGCCCTGACTATCCCTGACACACAGAGAGTCACTCCGACGACACACAACACCCTATAACTGCGTCATGACCAGCCTGCCATGTGTCGCCGGTGCCGCATTCGTCGCTGTGCTTCTTTAGCAGGCGGTGGACTGTCGGCTGCGAGGACGGTCGCATTTGCGCGAGGCGAGGCGATCATTGTTGAGCGTTGCATGAGCCATGACTCGCGCCAGCGCGTGCGGGAGCTCCTGGCTGAGCGTTGAGTCCAAGCGAGTTGCGCTGGCCACGATCGCTACGCCGAGCCGAGCTGACGCGCCGAGGCGCTGGCCAGTCGCAGCCGTGAGGCATGCCACAGCAGCAGAGGCACCTGCCACCCATTGGGCGGGCAGACAGAAGGCCAGGGCAGCACTGGCAAGTGCAACGCGCCTCATGTCGGAGAGCGACCGTGCCTCGTTCGCCGCTTATGATGTAGAGTTTGTTGTAGATATTTCACGTTGTAGAGCGCCTCTACATCGCTCTACAACGGAGGCGCATCGTCACGCGCCGGATGTAGAGCTCTACAGCTCTACAGCGCTCCAGAGCGCTCTACATCTCTACAGCTCTACAGCGGAGCGCGCTACTTTCTCCCCTTGCCGCCTCCTCCCTCGCCGCCTCATCCTTCGCCGCCTCATCCCTTGCCGTCCTCGCCGCCCCCTCCCTCGCCATCTCCTCCCTCGCCGCTTCCTCCCTTGCCGCCTCATCCCTTGCCGCCTCCTCCCTCACCGCCTCCCCTCTCGCCTCCTTCCCCGCCGCCTCCTCCCTCGCTTCCTCCTCTCTCGTCTCCTCCCCCCTCGCCGCCTCCTCTACCTCCTCCTCCCTCGCCGCCTCCTCCCTCGCCGCCGCCTCCCTCGCCGCCTTTCCCCTGGCCGCCTCCTCCCTTGCCATCTCCTCCCTCGCCGCCCCCCCCCCTCGCCGCCTCCTCCCTCGCTTCCTCCTCGCTCGCCGCCTCCTCCCTTGCCGTCTCCTCCCTCGCCGCCTCCTCCCTCGCCTTCGCCTCCACCCTCGCCGCCTCAAGTAAGCTGCTCGCCGCGGAAGCTGCTCGACAGGTGCCTCGCAGCTGCGTATTCTCGTATTATCTTCGAGTAAGGCGTCTCGCAGCTGCGTATTCTTGTATTCTCGTCGATTAGTGTAGGTACTGCGTGGGGGCGGTACGTATTCCCGTATCACGTATCACTAGCTCCGAGTAGAGGGGGCGTCCTTGCAGTTAAGGGGAAACCTGGTACGCGGGGCTAACCCTCGGAGAGTATTCTTTAGCTCCGAGTAGAGGGGGCGTTCCGCAGCTAGGGGGACCCACAGCGCGAGGGAAAAATTCCGCCGCTGGGGGAACCCCGGAGCGCAGAACCAACCCTCGGAGACCCGTGTTATGGCCCTGCGAACGCGCACCCCCCCCCACGGTCGAGGAAGAGGGTGCGTTCTGCAGTTAAGGGGTAACCCGGTACACGGAACTATCCCTCGGAGACGTGTTATGGCCCTGCGACCGCGCACCCCCCCCTTACTTAGCTCTTAGGGGTCAGGGCTCTCTAGCCCGTAGCCCGATCCCGATCATCCGGCCAACTGGGTGCGCTTCTGAGCTCCCCGGTCCTGGATGTGAGGCTACTAACCGCACTCCAAGTGCTCCAAGTGCTCTACTCTCTACATCCTCTACACCCTCCCTCAGCATGTGTCATGTGTGTCCCACTTCTTGTTTCCTTAACAACGAAGGCTAGCTCAGAAAGAATTTTACAACACGAGAAAGAAAGAAAAAGCAATGCGGAGAAGAAAGACATTGTTTGGATTGCAATCTCACCCCCGATGGGCATATACCCACGATATATATACGAATACGTACAGGCTCACCACCCATCTCCGACGCGCAATGAGCCATGACGGTCAGGTCATGCCATGAGGATGAGCTGACCCTCTGCGCTCTGAAACCGTGCTCTGTGGCGTTCCGTGCTTTTTGGCACTGTTTCTGATGAGCTCGACGCGTTTTGCGCACGCCTGCCACGCGGGTTTTTGTATACACGCATGAGGCAAATAGAGCTCGTGCGACGTCAGCTACGTACACCCACCTCGTAACTACATTCGCACCTCGGTACATGCCGGTTGGTCAGCCCAAGCACGCCGTCGGCAAAGCTCACCGGGCCCCACGCGGTGGGTTGAGCTCCTTTCGGGTAGAACCACGCGCGATGCCAGTCGTCGTCGCTGAACTGGGCGAGGAGCGGCGCGTTGCTCGACGGGCGCCAGTCGTGCACGCCAACGTGCACGCGCAGGACGCGCGCGCGCAGCAGCTTCATCGTGGCGTTGTCGTCGAAGAGCTGGTACTCGCCTCCTTGGATGTCGACATCCAGCATGTCCAAAAAACGCGTGTTCACGACACACGACGACACACACGCGTGCTCCGGCCTCCGCGCTACGGCTCTAGAGAGGGAGCGCCGGCCTCAGCGCCTTGTTCTCACGAAAATCGTGCACCCGCTCGACCACCTCGAGCACCGCGATGACGGCGCCGAGCAGCAGGAGCAGCGCGCTGCACACGAGCGCCACCGCCAGCTGCTGGCGCGGCTCGAGGTACAGCTGCATCTCCCACCCGTGCGGCGCGTCGAGCGGGTGGGGAATGACGGTCAGCTGCGAGTTTGGCAGCACCGCCTGCTCGAACCGCCGCAGCCGACCCGCCGGCATCCCGACCATTAGCTGCTCGACGTAGTCGTTTGTGAGGCCGAGGCCGACGAGCAGAAAGGGCGAGGCCAGCGGCGAGTACCCGCCCTGCGGCAGCTGCACCCCCACCCGCGACTGCTTCTGGCGGTTCCACGACCAGATCGACGACACGCTCACGCGCGACCAGCGGGTCGGCAGCGACGTCGCAAACTGGTACGTCACCGCCGGCTGGTGCAAGCTCGGCTGGCGCAGCCAGGCGCCAAACGGCCGGTCGACCACCTGCGCGGCGCACCGCCCTGCGGCGCCGACGCCGCCGCTCGCCTCCACGGCCGACGCCTCCACCGCGGCGAGCGCGCTCGAGTTGAGGCCGCTGCCGCCGCCCCAGCCGCCGCCGCCCCAGCCGGCCCGGGCGTTCTCTCCGGCGGCGGGAAGCGTGACTGTCCCCTCCTCGCCGGGGACGACGGCGAAGGCGTCGGAGGCGCACGCGCCGTCCGTCGTCGTGGCCTTCAGAAAGTACTGCCCGCTCACGCCGGAGTTGCGCCACGCGCGCAGCCGGCCTAGTCCCATACCTCCAGAGTCTCGAATCCAGTGTGGGTTCAGTCCCGTGGGTGGTGCGGTAGCCCGCCGTCGGCTTGCAGCGCGAGAACGTCCCACGTGCCGTCCTCGTACAAGTCGTAGAAGGCGCCCGCGCTCGCGCCGCCGAGCATCTGGAGCGAGGCTTTGGTTCAGTGCTCCCTTCCAGGAGTGCTCGGTGGTGTCTCTCGCGGCCGCGTGGAGTGCGTGGACATCGGCGAATCTCGGCGAATCTCGGCAAATCTCAGGTGTGTGGTGTGCGTGGGCCTCGCCTAATCTCGGCAAATCTCGCCTGATATCGCCCAACCTCTGCGAACCTCGGCTAGTCTCGGCGAATCTCGGCCGTGAGGTCTGCGCGGCCCCGAAGGCCGCGCCTCGGCCGCCTCGGCCCGTGTCTCGGAAGTGGCCCGGCCCGGCTGCGTCCCGGACGTGTCTCTGAAGAGTCTCGGACAGTGTCGCGGCACCGGGTAGAGGCGCAGCTCGGACGGCGGCGGGTAGACGGCCGTCTCCGCCTCGTACAGCCGCAGCGCGCCCTCGTCGCCTCCGCCGGCCTCGAGGCAGCGCAGCCTGCAGCACGGTGCGTGGACGCGCCGTCGACGTGTCTCGGGCGGGGGGGCGGTGGAGGTGCAGCGCGCGGGCGGTGGGGCATGGATGTGGAGTCTGCGCTCGCGGCGGGTGGGGGCAGGAGAGGGGTGTGGGTGGGGGCAGGAGAGGGGTGTCGGAAGCCGAGGGGGGGGGGGGGGGGAAGGGGAAGGGTCCAAAAGGGGTGTCCAGGGGGGAAGCAGCGTCGAAGGGTCTCGGAAGGGTCTCGGAAGGTCTGAGAAGGGTCTCGGAAGGGTCTCGGTAGCTTCGAGGGGGGGTGTCGGAGGGGGGAGTGTTGGAGGGGGAAGGGTCTCGGAAGGCGTCGCCTCTCGTCGTTGAAGAGGAGCAGCACGCACGGCTCTCCCGCAGAGCAGGGCGAGAGGTCCGACGCGCTCGCGTCGGCGGGCGCGACTAGCGGCAGCAGCGCGTCGGGGAAACCGTTGAGGTCGAAATCGGCCACCGACAGCGTCGGCGGCCTCGCGCCGAGCGGATTCGCCAGAGCCCACCCGCCTGGGAGCGCCCACGCCTGCTTGAAGAACGCGAGCGCGCGCGGCTGGCAGAGCGACTTTGGCTGCGGCGGGCGCGTCGCGCAGTCTGCCTCTGCGTCGAACTGCTGACCGACGGCCGGGCGGCTGCTCGTGAGGGCCGGGGGGTCCGGCTTCGGCTCGCCGAGGACGGCATACCACGCGTGGAGCTCCAGCTGAGAGGAGGAGGAGGAGGAGGAGGAGGAGGGAGGAGGAGGAGGAGGAGGGAGGGGGGGAGGACTTGTTTGCCAGGAAGAGAAGGTCGACCGCGCCGTCAGAGTCGAGGTCGGCAAACGCGAGTTGCCCCGCGCCCTCGGGGAGAGAGAAATTGTAGTCGGGCGCCGCGGCCCAGCGCGGCGCCCCCACCTTTGCCGCGTTCTGCACCCAGACCAGCAACCGGCACGCCACGGTCTCACAGCCGCGCGGCGCGCTGCTGTCCAAACCGACCCTGCTCGCCGCGCCGTCGGGCAAGGCGACGACGACTAAGTCGGCGATGCAGTCGCCGTCGAGGTCGACCTAATCACAGGCGGCGAGCCGTGAGTAAGACGCCGTTCACAGCAAGCTGCGCCGCCGTGAAGGCCGCGACTTGCGCGTTCGAGTTTGGCGCCGCGGGCATGATCAGCGGGCCCGGCTCCTGCGTCATCGCACGCGCCAAATGTGAGGGGGCGGGACTACGGTCCCGTGCCGTGCCTGCGGAGCATCGCGTGAGCAGACAGGCGGCGCGTGCAGCGGACACGGCTGAGTACAGCCGAATACCTCTGCCCTCTAGCAACCTCTCGGCAACCTCTCGGCCATCTCGCGGCTATCTCCGGGCTATCTCCGGCTATCATCTAGGGGCGAGGCTACCCCCTTCTCGCCAGAGCTGCTCGCGTCGGCACCGTCCGCCGCGTGGCCAGCCGCGTCGCCTATGAGGAAAAAAGAAATGCGGGACCCGAAATGCCGGCACACGGGCCAGCCGTGCCTGCGCCGTTCCGCGCCGCGGCAGCGTCCAGCCGCCGCGACGCCCCCACCGCCCCGGCCCGCGTGTCGGCACGCCCGCCGCCCGCCCGCCCGCCGCCCGCCGCCAACCCCGCCGCAGATGCGCCGGCCGCCGGCGCGGGCCTCCGCGCTGCCGCCTTCGGCAGCGGCTTGCTTGGCCGACTGCGAAGGCCGCCCGCCGCCACGGGGACGCCCGCCGCGGGGGCATACGCCGCGCCGCCGCCGCCCGCCAGCCACCGGGCCTGCAGCAGCGACGCGGGCGGGTCGGCGCCGCCGTCGGCATCGGCGGCGGCGCCGCCCGCCGCCTCCTCCACGCCACCCTGCTCGCCGCCGGCCGCCGCCGCCGACAAGCGCTCGCGCGGCGCCGCGGCCGCCACGCTGCGGCCGATCGGCTCGCTCACGGCGCGGTCCGCCGCCGCCTCCTCGTCGCCCCGCGCGGGCGCAAAGGCTCCAAACGGAGTCGCGACCGCGAAGTCGCCGGCTTGGCCGCGCGGTCGCATGAGCGCCGCGGTGCTCGTCGGCGCGGGCAGACAGCGCGTCCCGCCCACCACCTGCTCTCAGACAGTCTCGGGTCACCTCGGGTCACCTCGGGTCACCTCGGGGGCGTGTCGCCCCGGCACCCAGCCGTGCACCTAGCCGTGCGCTGCAGAGGAGCTGAGAGGCGCGAAGCAGGCCTGCCTGCCCGTCCTGCCTGCCTGTCCTCCTTCACGCCCTCAGCTCTGTCTGCCTGTCGCCCGCGCCGTGTCTGTCTGTCCGGAGCCTGCCTGCCCGTCCTCGCACTGCCCGTGTGTGCTGTGACCTTGGGCCCAGGGGGGGTGTGCTTGCGCGAAGAGGCCTCGCTTGCCCGTGTGCGGTGTGCCGTGCGACTACCCGCCTGCGGTGACCCGGCCGGGGCAGCTGCTAGGGGCAGCTGCTAGGGGCGATCGAAGGCACGCTCCAAAGCCTCGCACCCTCCTGCCCCGCCCTCCAGAGCCTCGCACCTGTCCAGCGCGTGGAGACAGGCGCGCGTCCCGCATCTACACACGCCACCGCGGTGCAAGTCAGACCGCAGCCGCAGCAATCGCCAACGCCGCACCTCTCGTTGAGCATGCCGCAGCTCGGTCCGCCTGACGGAGTTCCGAGAGGGGTCCAAGAGGGGTCCAAGAGGGGTCCGAGAGGGGTCCGAGAGGGGTCCGAGAGGGGTCCGAGAGCGGTCCGAGCGGGGTCCGAGAGGGGTCCGAGAGGGTTCCGAGAGCGGTCCGAGAGGGGTCCGAGAGGGGTCCGAGAGGGGTCCGACCGCCGCCGCGGTGCGCACAGACGGAACGCGCCGAACACTGCAGCACCCCGTCTCTCGGCTATACTTCGGCTATGCAACACGCCGCATCTCGGCTATACTTCGGCTACACAGGTGTCCGGGACGGGTCCTGCACACGTCGACCACGCGTCCGCCGCGGAGGAGGGCGTGGAGGGCGGGCGCTGGAGGCGGAGGCGCTGGAGGCGGAGGCGCTGGAGGCGGAGGCGCTGGAGGCGGAGGCGCTGGAGGCGGAGGCGCTGGAGGCGGAGGCGCTGGAGGCGCGGAGGGCGGCGGAGGGCGGTGTGGTGGGCGGGATGGTCGCGGCGGGGATGGAGGCGGTGGTGGGCGCGGCCATAGCAGAGAAGGCAGTCTCGTTGGCGGCCGTGTCTTGGCTACACCTCGGCCTCGACTATATCTCGACTGTATCTCGGCTACCTCGGCTATATCTCGGGTGATCGCTCGCCCGTCTCTTCGGTTGCGTTGGCAAAGCCGGCGAGGAGGGCGAAGCTCTTGCCGCCTAGATGACCCGAGATGACTCGAGATGACCCGAGATGACTCGAGATCAGGCGAGGGGGAGCTCTTGCTGCCGTCGACGTCGACCGGCGTCGGCTGCTCCGAGGCGGGCGGCAGCGGCGTGCAGTGGAAGCTGTGGTTGCACAGCCTCATGTTGACCAGCGAGGAGCAGTACGGGTGCGCCTGCTCACGGGTGGTGGCGGGCTCACGGGCAGAAAGGGCTTGCACAGGAGACGGTGCCGTGGGGCGGCGGGGAGGGCGAGAGGGAGGAGGCAGAGGCGGGTGGGGAAGTGGCGGCGGCGACAGTGAGGGCGGTGGCGGTGGCGGCGGAGGCAGCGATGGAAGTGGCGGTGTCGGCGTCGCGGAGCTTCACACTATTGATTCCCATCGTATTCAATAAGATTGCTGCATAGAATCGCCTCGAAGACGACGGCGTCGAGTGCTCCGTTGTAGTCGTAGTCGCCCGGGATGAGGCCGAGCAGGCCTGGCATTGGCCAGGTGCTGCGCTCCTCGAAGCGGAGAACGTCGGGCCGCTGCGCGCGCGCGGGGCGAGCGGTGGCGAGCGAGGCGTGAGCAGTGCGCCGGAGGGAGGCGGGGGCTGTCGGAGGCAGGTGCGCGAACGCGTGGGCCGTGCGGCGTCTGCGCGGCGGCTGGCTCTCACCCAGAGCCACGCCGCGAGCTGCTGGTTGCCATTCCCGTCGAGGGACGCGGCGAGGATGTCGATGAGCGAGTCGCCGTCATAGTCTGCAAATGCGAGTGGCGTTGCGTTGAAGCGGCTCAGTCCGACGTTGGCGGTGACGTCGCGCAGGACGGTGCTGGTCGGCACGTAGGGATTGACGGGGAGGCGCAGCACCAGGTCATGGCCGGGGTCGGTCCTGTCGTCCGCAGGCATGTGGCAGGCACTCGAGGACCTGCCGAGGGGAGGAGCAGGGCGTCGGCGGCGGCGGCGCCCGATAAAGAATTCACTCCGTTTAGGATACATTGGAGCGTACTAGGGTCCGTCTGGAGTCGTCGCGTGCCTCCACAAGGAAGAGCTACACAGTACCTGACATCCCAAAGCAGTAGTGGAGGAGCGAGGGCAAAGGAGCAGAGCGCCCTCACAACCCGAAAATCCGTGAAGACTGGCAGGAGGGATGAAGACCCTTCATATGAGAAGACGCTCCTCAGTGAGTACCTGCGATAAAGTAGTAGCCTCACACGAGTTGGGGCCCCTACCCCAATCGTTGACGGCGAACTACTTTTGGGCTTCACTTCCTAGCATCCGTGAGGATACATTGGAGCGTGTGCGTCGGCGAAACGCTCCTCGTTCTCCTCAGCCTCGGTGATCTGCACCCTCTCTCGGCAGAACTTGGCCAGGGAATGGATGAACTTTTGACGCAACGGCCTGATGAAGACCTGTGCGATGAGGATGAATGGCTGGCTGAACGGGTTCCACATGGGAGCCTCCGAGTCGGGGCCGCCGCTCGCGCGCTCCGAGTTCATCGTCTCGCGAATGTTCTCTTCCGTGATGCCAATTTTTCGCAGCACAACCTGCCTCATCGCCTGTGAGCGTGAATAGTTGGCTGTCTGAATGCTGCGGAGCAGGCGGAATAGGATGGCGACGAGCGCAATGCCGAAGAGGCAGCCGCAGATTACGCTAATGATGGCGGCGAGCTCGAGCTGCCCGCGAAGGGCCGAGTTCGCCCACCGCTGCATCTCTCCGTCGTCTCCGAAGTTGAAGAGAGCCAGGGTGCCCCACGAGTCGTCAAAGGTGTCGCCGACGAGGACGAGCTCGCCGCGGATTGGCACATTGGTCGCATAGACGCTCGACTGGAGAGCTTTGCGGATCTGGGCGTGCATCGACGCCAGGGCTCGCACGCGCGCGCCCTCGTCGCCCTGCAGCGCGTCGAGCTCGCAGTCGTTGTCCGTGAAGCGCACGCGCTCTCTGTGGATGGGCGGAGTGAGCATATTTAGCGTCAAGAACCGAATGTGCGCGAGGTCGAGCAGCAGGTACGCGACGTTGCTGGCGTACACGAACCTAGCTGTGGGGTAGCCAGCACCTCCGACAACGTCTATCGACAGGTAGATATTTTCCGTGCAGTCGTCGGCACAGGCGTGCGTGTTGGCGTACTTCTCGTGCAGACGTGTCGCGTCTGCCTGATCAATCCTCATTCCGGATGGACGGCCGCCAGATGGTGACCATGTCTGGTTGCGCGTCGATAGCCAGGTCGATGCGCTGTCCAGAGTGGTTCGCTGGCTCATGCCGCCGCCCTGTCGTAGGGTGAGTACGAGCGATCCATGCTCAGAGTGCATGGTGGACACGCTCAATACCGGCGAAAGCGCCGAAACGCCGTGAGACAGTTGGAGGTTGCTCTTGCATTTGGGGAACCACATGGTTTTGTTGGCCTCGAGGAGGCGCCGGGCAAAGGCGTTGACGGAGAGGCCGTAGAGCCCTGGATCGGCGAAGCCAATTTCGAAAGACTCTCTTTCGCACCACGAAGCGTGGGGGCATGAGCCACCGCAGCACCGCATGCCCGAGAGCGCGGTGGTGAACTCCTCCTTGGTGACCCGACCGTTGCTGTCAGCATCGTACGTCGAGCGGAGGAGACTAAAAGCAGCGTAGTTGGTGACCTCGTCCGTGCCGTCAAGGATCGATCGGATGTCGCATTGGTCCCACGCGTCGGAGGCCGGGAGAAACTCGGCTGTGGCCGGCGGCAGGTCGGTGGCGGCGCAAAAGCGGTCGTTGGGCTGCCTCCACTTGACCTCAACATCCCTCCCGCTGGCCTCGATGTCGAGGAGGTAGATTGAACCGGAGCCCTTTGCGTACAGCGAGGCGGAGGCGATGGCCGAGGAGATGGCAACAAAGTCGCCATCGCCCGCATACCACGAGACATGGTTGATGGTGGCATTGTCGACGCGTGCCGAGAGGGTGGGGACATGCTTCCACCACGCGCCCACGCGCAAGCCCGGCACTACAGCGCCAGGCTGCACCGTGATGACCGGGAGCGGGACAGCTCCCCCTTTTTGCACCGAAGCTTGGTCGACTGTGAATGCGCCTGTGGCGCCGGGTGGAACGGTCACCTTGACCAGACATACGCGCCTGCACGACTGGAGCACCTCGCTCTCGCAACCAATGGGGTTCCTGGCCGTGAGCGCCTCGGCAATGTTGGCATCCGTCGATCGAACCACGAACCGGAAAGACCTGGCGGACGTGAGCGACGCGTACTCCACATCCGCAGTGGAGCCGGGTAAAAAGTCGAGATCGCACGCTCCTAGGGTTAGCTTGAGCCCATACGCTGGATCGTACCGCTTCGTCTCCGCGATCACGTATGACCCTATTGTTATCCCACAGGAGGCATGATCTGATGGGCGCCACTATATGGCGACGTATCCCCACAGGAGACGCAGCGGCGCCTGGCAATGCGATGAGCATCCAAGCGAGCACGAACGCAACAAGGAAGATGAAGAAGAACGTCAGGCGCACGCATCGCCTTCGACCCGCTTTTCTAGCCTCCGTCTTCTGCTTTGCCACCAGGCGCGCCTCGAAGACCTGCTGCGGCGTCTTGCTCGGCCCAGCGGGGCCGACCTTGGCCGGCGGAGGCATGGTCGCGGGTACGGGGCGGGCCGTTTCAATTGTACTGACTACTGTCACTGTCAAGCGGATTGATTTTGTTTTTCTGTTTTTTTGTTTTAGGTATGTTGTTGGCAAATCAAGACACAGAGCTCACACAGAATCACAGCGGGAGGAAAGCGGCGAGTCGCAATTCCAGGGGTCGTTGTGGCGGGCCACCCTGTCCAGCCAGAGAGGCATGGATGCCAATCTGGGGTCTCTCGACCGAGTCTGATTTCGCCTCGCCGCCTCCCGGTGGTAAGGCTGTAGAGCCAAAGCGGCGGAGATGGCGGGGGAGGGCGGGGGATCGAGGAAAGCACGACTCGCACCGACCCTTCACGAACCGAAAGGCTGCACCCGGGGAAGGCACAGTAATCCGGGCACGTGTTGGGCGCCCCGTTCCGTCTGGGGCTAGGTCGGCTCAGGGCCCCATCCACTTCCCTCCCGCTTGGCGCGTGATGATGAGGAGTTGCCACCCAGGCCAGCCAGGGCAGGGGCGGAGGGCGAGGGCGGAGGGTGTTTTGTTTTTTATGATCTTTAGATGAGCGACCCGGAGGGTGATGGCGGCGGACGGCCATTCCTACGAGCGGAAAGCAGATCGAGCGCTGGCTCGCGACCAAGTCGACGAGCCCGATGACGGGCGAGGCGCTCCAGCACACGCACACCTTCCCAAACCACGCGCTGCGCGGGCGGATTCGAGAGGAGTGGCAACCGGCGCATTAATATTGAGGTTTGAGCGGTTTCGCGCGCCCATTCTCGTGGCCCTGGGGTGAGCGGTAATGTTCTGTTTCCGCAACCGTGTGAACACCTCTGGGCCGGCGCGGGGGGCCCAGAGGGTGTCCATGCGGGGGGGAGATGGGGCCCCATGGCCCGCCGCAGGCGCCGATTTTTCAGGGTTTTCTTTTTTCTGCTATTTTTTACTTGTTTTCATGGGAATTCGGCGTACTTGCGGCCATGCTGTCAGGCTGTCAGGTGCTGTCAGGTGATCTGTCGGGCTGTCGGGCAGCTGTCAGGCACTGTCAGGTGCCTCTGTCAGACCAGCTGTCAGGTGCTGTCAGTGCTGTCGGGTGCTGTCGGGTGCGTGTCTGACATGCGAGGGGCTCTGTAGCTGTCGGGTGCTGTCGGAGCTGTCGGGTGTTGCTGTCAGACGCTGTCGGAGCTGTCAGAGCTGTCAGGCTGCTGCTGCTGTCAGACGTTGGGCTGTTGCTGTCAGGTGCTGTCAGGTGGTGCTGTCGGGCTAGCTGTCGGGGTGCTGTCAGGCTCTGACACACACCAGCCACACTTATGACACTATCAAGAGGAGACCAGCGGGTACGCAGCTGCCCCCTTCCTACGGCGTGATCACGCCGGCAGGGGCGGCCGCCTGGGCCGCAGCCTGGGGAGCGCAGATGGCGGCGCAGGCGCAGGCCGCGGCGGCGGCACAGACGGCGCGCGGCGGCCACCCCACCCAGACGCCGTAGGCATATGGCTGTAGGGCCCCAGAAGGCTAGCTGGTAGCTTCATTTGTAGTAGCAGCACAGCCGCCGGTGCTAAAGCCGTAGAGTCTAGAGAGGGGTGTCCGCAGAGCCTCTGCCAGAGGTGGGGGCTGGGGCGGGAGGGTTGAGAGAGAGACCCATGACCATCCCATGACTACATGGACCACACTCACATGTTCATGTCTTTGCATGTAATAGTTTTGTTATACCCTCATGGGGCACAAGAAAGAGGCTCTACGGGGGGGGTCTGACTGTGTACGGTCTGTGCTGCTGTCGGGCTGTCAGCGCTGCTGTCAGGCCACTGTGTGCTTTCGGGCTGTCGGGCAGCTGTCAGGCTGTCACGTTAGGGCCTGACAGCGACGGAGCGCCTCGCCTGTCAGGCTCTGCTGTCAGGCTGTCAGATACGTGCTGTCAGACTGTCAGAGAAAGTGCTGTCAGCGCTGTCAGGCTGTCGGGCACTGTCAGGCGCTGTCCGGGGTTTGCTGTCAGGCTGTCAGACCAGGGCTCAGGCAAGGCCGTGGCACTTCCCCAGATGTGGCCGCCCGCCCAGCCCGGCCAGCACCCGCTCGAGCGCCGCTAGGCGTCCCCACCCTGCCGGCAGGGCGACGCGCCAGAGCACGTTCGCGCACACGACCGGCCCGTCCGCGTTGACGCCCTGCTCCGCTCTCCCGGGCCCGCCCACGAACTTGAGCTCGAGCGTCTTGCCCGCGCAGCCGCTCGCGGCGAGGAAGCCCGCGCTGCCCAACGTGGCCACCAGCTCTGCGAGCGCCGCCCGCGGCAGAGCGTACTCGAGCGACACCCACCGCGCCGTCGGCCCCGGCTCCGCCGCACCGCCCTCGCCCTCGCCACGCGGCGCCGCGAGCGGCGGCGCGCCGCGGTACCAGTTCTCGCCGTCATAGCGCGCCGCGCCGGGTGCCGGGGCGCGGCCCACGTCCTCGAGCGCGCACGCGCAGAGCTGCGGCTCTCCGAGCGCCCACCAGACCCAGAGGTGGCGGTAGGCCTGTGAGCGGTGAGTGAGGAGGAGATGCTCATTGATTAGGCGGGTGCACGGGTCAGTGCTCCGCATCTAGGGTGGCAGGCCTCGCACATAGCGTCGCAGCGCGCGACAAACGCGGCCAGGTCCATGGTGTGCACGTGTCGCCGCACGTAGTACCGAGGCTCGCACTCGAGCGTGATGCTCACCTGCACGAGATGACTTGACGTTGTACTCTGCAGAGTACAGGCTCGCACGCGAGCGTGATGCGCCCACCGCCACGCCCCGCACGCCCAGAGAGACGCGCGCAGCCCGCAGCGACGGCGGAGCAGCGGGCGCGGAGACGCCATGGCCTTCCCCGCCGCGGCCGCCGCCGCTCCCGTTGGCCGCCGTGCCGGCAGCGACCGCAGCCTCGCCCTCCCCCTCGCTACGTCTCTCCCCCTCTGCCCCTCCCCCTCCCCGCTCCCCGCACGCCTCGCCCCCCGCCCCTCCCTCTTCGGAAAGACTCACCCGGCGGCCGGCGCCGCACCGCAACTCGAGCGCGACCACCGCGTCCGCCAGCGTGCCGTCCCGTGGCGCCGAACCGTGCGACCCCGCTCCTGGTGCAGGGACATGGGGAGCTGAGGGCGAGAATGCAGTGTCGTGCGGTGTGGTCAGACTCTGAACGGCCGAACTATGGCTGCAGAGCGACTGCAAGCAGCAGCATCGCGGCTGCAAAACAGCGGAACACGCTGCCTTCGAAAGTGCTATTTGGAAGGCAGGGATCGGCTGTTCTGCATCTGAGTGCCCCGCGCCGAGCGTCGCCCCGCCGACCGTCTGCTCGAGCAGCATCGGCCACGAGCCTACGGTCAGGTCGTGCGCCGCGAGCACGCGCCGCAGCTCGCGCAAGCTCAGCCCCGGCTCAACCGTCACCCGCCGCCGCGCCGCGTCAATGCAGAGCACGCGCCGCATCCCGCCCAGCCGCAAACTGAGCACGCCCGCCCCCTCGCCGCCCGCCTCGCCGCCCGCCTCGCCGCCCGCCTCGCCGCCCGCCTCGCCGCCCGCCGCCGCATAGGAGCCGCTCCAGCTGTGTGCAGCGCCCAGGGGGAGCGCCTACAGCCGAGAGAGAGCCGAGATGTAGCCGAGAGATAGCCGAGAGAGATCCGAGAGGTAGCCGAGAGATGGCCGAGAGGTAGCCGAGAGATGGCCGAGAGGTAGCCGAGATCCGCGGGGCGCGCCTCCAGCCGCAGCGAGGCGGCGAGGGCGAGGGCGCCGCCCACCTCTGCCGCCGTGGCGCACGGCAGCAGGAGCCTCGGCACAAAGAAGCGCGTCCCGCTCGCGTCGCTCACCTCGGTGGGCGGCACGGAGACCCATATCTCCCCATATCTCCCCATATCTCCCCATATCTCCCCATATCTCCCCTCACCTCGGTGGGCGGCAAGGAGAGCAGCGGCGAAGCTGCAGCGCCACTCTCTGCCGCCGCGAGCGCCTCGGCCGCAGCCACCACCCGTCGCGTCTCGCTCGACCGGAGCAGCATCGACACGAGAGCGAGGTCGCGCAACGCCTGCCGGACGTGTCGTGGGCGTGTCGTGGGCGTGTCGTGGACGTGTCGCGGGCGTGTCGTGGACGTGTCGCGGGCGTGTCGCGGACGTGTCGTCGTGTCGCGGGCGTGTCGCGGGCGTGTCGCGGGCGTGTAGCGGGCGTGTAGCGGGCGTGTCGTGGACGTGTCGTGGACATGTCGTGGGCGCGCCTCGTCGCAGCCGAGCAGGCAGTGGGTGCCCCACGGCGCGGCCGCAAGGCTCGCCTGCAGGAAGGTTCCGAGAAGGTTCCGAGCAGCTTCCGAGCAGGCAGCGCCCCGCAGTCGCAAGGCTCGCCGGCCACAGCCCCGCGCGGCGGACGACCAGCGCTCTCACCGCGGTCAGCGCGTGCTCGAGGCTCTCGGCGACGCCGCCCTCCACCCACCCGTCGCCGTCGAGAAGCTGCGTCGTGGCCTCTCCGCCGAAGCGCTCGAGCGCGACGCGCGCCCGCCCGCACCTGTGCCCGCCCCCCTCCTCCGCCGCCCAGAGGCAGAGAGCGCCGAGCTCGCCCTCGAGAATCAGCGACGGAGGCGCGGCGGCGGCGGCGGAGGAGGAGGAGGAGGAGGAGGAGGAGGAGGAGGAGGAGGAGGAGGAGGCGGAGGCGCGGCGAGGACCGCCCGAGCTGAGTGCGAGGGTGGCGGCGGAGCTGCAGTGCTCGAAGCGCACCCAGCCGCATAGCGAGCCGCCGCCCGCGCCATCCGCGCCGCTGCAGAGCGCGGCCGAGCCCTCGACAGGCTCTCCGAGCGCCTCTCGGAGCAGCCGCGCCCAGTGCACGCCCGCGTCCACCAGCCACGCGCCTTCTCCGGCCTGCGAGCGCCACGGCGGCTCCCGCCCGCCGCCCGCCGCGCGGTCTGCCGGGTCGGCTGGGTGGTGGTGCGAGAGGTGCGCCGAGACCACGCGGCCGATGGCGCCCTCCTGCAGCCGCTCGCGCAGCCAGCGGACGGACGGCTTGAACTGCCAGTTCTCGAGCACCAGCCACACGGGCGCACGCGGCCCGAGCTCGGCGATCGTGTCGAGGATGCGGCGGGCCGCTTCGATCGATGGCGCAGCCGGCTTCTCCGAGAGCACGTGCTTGCCGGCGCGGAGCGCCGCCTCGACCGCTGCCGGCATCAGCGGGATCGGCAGCACGAGCAGCACAGCGTCCACGTCCGCATCTGCAAAGAGCTGCTCCATCTTGGCGAAGCGGCGCACCTCCCGCTCGGGGTCGGCGGCGTGGATCTTGGCCTCAGCTCGCGCCATGGACTTGCGCGTGCGCGAGCACACGGCAGTGAGGCGCACGCCGACCCGCTGCTCGAGCGCGAGCAGCGCCGGCACGTGCGCCCGCAGTGCAAACCACGAGCAGCCGACCAGGCCGAGCTTGAGCCGCGGTGGCTCCCACGCCATCGGTCAACACTGATACGGCCTCTCCCACGCTCTCGGGGGAACTCTGTGGGCAGATGACGAGCGCAGCTAGCCGATAGGCGTCCCGCGCGTGAACGTGTTTTCTTCTTCTGGCGAGTGATCTGTGATCTGCACACGTTCTCGTTGGTGCGCCAGTTCTGTGGGAGGGAGTTTTCTGGCAAAACTAGTTTTTCTCAGCCGTCGGCAACGATTTTTTTTCGTGCCACTCTCGGGCTTTTAGAATTCTTCTGCCTTGGAAAAGTCTTCCTCTCGTTCTCCCCGACCCCCATGAGGATGAGCCATGTTTGGCTGAAAGCTAGTGTGTGTTTGATGATTGATGTACTCACCTATGGTCCTCTCGGTGGAGGCCGAGACGGGTGCGCATGTGTCCTCGAGACGGGTGTCTCAGAAGTCAGAACGCAAAACAAGTAAGGTCTAAGCGCGTGAGGGGCGACACGAGAAGCGGAGGGCGCAGGCGGAAGTGGCAACACCCGCCGCCCCTAACTCCACGCAGAGCATGCGCGACGTATGTGGCCCCGCTCTCCTCCGCCCCGCGGGGCGGAGCGCTATTCGCCGCGTGCGGGCGCCGGCTCACTCCCACTCGGTCGTGGCGGGCGGCTTGGAGGTGATGTCGAGCGCGATGCGCGCGATGCCCGGCACCTCGGCCAGGATGCGCCGCTGCAGCTCGACGAGCATCTCGAGAGGGAGGTCGCGGCCGGGCAGCGCGGGCTTGCCCGTCATGAAGTCGCGGGTGATGAAGGCGCGGATGCCGATCGAGCGCGCTCCCTCCACGCCGAAGCCGACCGGGAAGAGCACCACCGGCACCTGGGCGAGCGAGCGGAGCAGGTTGTACTTGGTCAGCGTCTGCGTGACGATGTGGTCCGCCGCGCGGAGCTGGTCGAGCGCGTCGCGCGTGAGGGTCGTCGGCGTGATGGCCTTTGGCGCCGCGGCGATCTTCTCGCCCAGCACGTAGACGATCCGGTTCACGTCGTGCAGATGGCACGGGATCTCTTGCGCCAGCGTGAAGAGCGCCTCCCACTGCTCGTCGGGCGGAGCGTCGGAAGAGAGCGCGGCAAGGTACGAGTACGAGCGGCCGTCGCCCTGCGCGTGGAAAGGGGAGGGAGCGCCGAGCGGTGAGCGCCTCCGCCGCGTGCATCCACACCACGCGGCACGCGGGGGAGGAGGGCATGGGGGCACGGCCTCGGGCGGAACACAACTCTCCTCCGGGGCGGTCGGACGTAAACTGCCACTGGGTTCGCGTCGTCACGGGCGGGGCGGGTGTACAGAGTGTGCGAATCTGGTGTGCCGCTGTGCGCGCGCCTGGACGCCGACCGTGCGGACGGGCAGCAGCGCCGAAGTGAGGCGCAGCTCGGGGTGGCGGGCACACTCGGCAGCGAGGGCGGCCGAGGAGCGGTCGTACTCCTCGGTGAGGTACGGCTCGGTCGCGCAGAGCGTGCGGATGGCGAGGCCGGGCCCGGGGAAGGGCTGCCTCCAGACGAGCGGCGCCGGCAGCCCGAGCTCGATCCCGAGCTCGCGCACCTCGTCCTTGTGGTAGTCCTTGAGCGGCTCGATGATGCGCCCCTGCGGGACGAAGAAGGGGTCCGAGAAGGGGTCCGAGAAGGGTCGGGAGAGAAGGGTCGGGGAAAGGGTCGGAGTCCAACGCGGCTGGCTTGGGAGCCGGTGGAAGAGGGGCCGGGGGGTTGGGCTGGCGCGTGGGGCGTGGACTTGGCGGGTAAGAAACAAGGTGGAGAGAAAGGGCCGGAAAAAGAAGGGGAAAAAAAAGAGGGGGAAGGGAGGGGGGCCCGGTCCCCGCAGGTCGCCGAACAAACCTGCGTGTCGATGGGGGCGCGGCCTTGATACCCTTCCCGTTGGAAGAAAACCCAGGGGTGGAAGCCCGGACTCGAACAAGGTCCGGGCCCCCACACG